TCTTTTCAGTATTTTTCAAGTTGTGCAGCTGGATTGAAGACTAGTTGTTAGTAGTACTTGTCAACAACATTTAATATGTATTATACTAGATATCTGCTCGAATTTTGATGTTCAGGTGGGTGGATGCAATTATTTTTGCAACGAGGACCCAAGATAAAAAATCATCGAGAGCGGCCTTAATGGTAGTTTATCGTATCCAGCAGTGCTCGAAACGCAGGCCCACTACCGACTTCGCACTTGGCACTTGGATCGCCCAGCAACACACAAAATCGCTTCGAACGTTCACGCGTGACCCAATCAATGTCTCGTAAGTCGTAGATGTGAACCCCAGAACCGCAGCTTTTCGCTACTTCCTCCCATGCTTTTTCGGAATAACGATAGCCACTTTCAGGAGAGAAGAATTCCTCTTCACAAGTCAATTTCATGTAGTCCTTACTGGTGATGGCTTGTTGTTGTTTAATGTCCTTGTTCTTCTCTCCTTTCTTCTTACTCATCTTGCCTGAAGTAGACCTGGCCCACGGGAACTGTTTGCCTCCTGTTCTCCTACGTGGATCATGTGCTACCGCATAGTATTTCAAACCAGGAACGATCTGTGAAAACTGCGGATGAAGTGAGGCGACTGGTGGAGGGCGAGAAGGTGTACCGCTTGCTGCACTGCCACCGGTACCACTAGGAGATGAAGAAGCACCTGTAGTAGGAGCAGGAGCAGCTTCATTAGCATTTTCGGGTAATGTTGAAGATGTTCTAGTGACACCGAACTTGTTTGACGTTGCGGGCGATAACGTAGGAGCAGAGGCATTTTCTTCCAACAGACATTTAGCAGCTGAATCTGGAACGTAGGCAAAGCATCCACTCGGCAAATGGTGCACTTTCGAGTCCTCTGTTTTCTCTTCAAACGCCGTAGTTAGAAGAGGCGGTAGTGTGGAAGTTTTGCTGTTCTTGGTTTTCTTGCTTCTCATGTCTTCAAAAAAGCTCGTGTTAACTAGAAGAACGAAGTAGAGTCACCCTCCAAAAAGCAGCCGGATACCCACTCAGCTCGGCACTTTTGCATTTGCAGAGGCTTGCTTAATAAGACTAAGCTTCGAGGAAGCAGGCAACGACAATAAACTGTGCGAAAGGGCGCACTACGACACTACTACTGTTAGGTAAGTAAGCTAGTGACGTACTCACCTGCCAGCCCCATCGCACAAGCTAGCGCGCAGTATCAGAGGATGCATGGAGCAAAGAAAGGGACATGAGAGAGTCAGAAATTAAAAGCAACCACCTCTAGCCTGGAGGGTCCTCCCCTTACGTTGCGCCACGACTGGCGACTCAGACTCTCTCATCCCCGTCGGCCATCACCAGCCCCCGCCAGGTCAGTCTATGCTCCTAATGAGCCTCCAGAAACCAAAGCGAGACCGACGGCTGGGCGCTTTGGACATTGGTGCGCCACGACGCTCGCCCGCTCTACCTTAAGCCCATAAAAAAAAGCCCCCGAGGCCCGCCGAGATCGTGGCAGAATCACAGACCACCTTCTCCACCCAAAGCCAAGCAGAACCATCGAGGGCCCCGACCGTCTGGAGGACATCGATCAGCCCACGCATGCGCTGCCCATTCAATCATTGCCCTAGCTGAGGGGAGAGCTTCTTCTGGCTCTCTGGGCCCGTGGGCTCACCTTGCGCCGCTCCTGGCTTGCGCCGCCGTCTCCTCTGCCGGAGGCGGGTCCTCTCCTTTGCGCTTTGGCTTCCGAGCGTGGTCGAGCTGCGTGGCTATTTACGTGCGCGACCCCGCGCGCCAAGACTCAGCACGCGGTAGCTGATGAACACTCGAGCAATGTCAGAAAAGCGCTCTACTTTTTGATAGTTCAATTATATCACGACCCTCGGCAACGCTCCTCCAGAGAATGTTCCAGACTTCCGTGCAAACGAAGCCAGGCAATGCGCTGCCTTTGCGTTTGACATCCTCTACCAGCTGGGGCGCCCAACTGGATACAATCCTTCCAGGGGAGCCCAAAGAAGCAAAGCCCCCACCCTTCCGGGCTTCGTTTCAGTTGATCAGCCTGCTGGCCAGCCGTGGCCTTGTTTCTTGGTGTATGCCCGCACATGAATCAGCCAGCGCCTCACTTTTTCCGGGGCCATTAATGTTCAGCCTCAGCGCGTCATTAATCTTCGGCCGCAGGCGAGGCAAGTGCCCCCCAAAGCGGTCGCCTGTGGCTTTCCCGGCTGCGCTTTTCTGCTAGATCCACCTCCTGAGACAAGATAGACTAAATTATGTAGGGCACGCGTACAGGTACAGGTAGTAGTAGACGAGGCACTTGGTTTTATTTTCATACAACAAACTAGTACAACGAGGAGCCTTAACAAAAGCAGATCTTCCGTATCGCTCGCACTGAGACCAAAGGACTTGGTGAATTTCGCTTGCAACAAGGCGTGTAAACGTCTTTTCCGTTCCGCAAAATGTTCCACTGACTCTTTCCACGCTGGTGGGGGCAAATACTTCATGGAGACTTTCACATCCTCGCCACAGACATTCTCCCAGTGTGCTTTTCGCACTTCGCATCGTTGCGCACTGGCACCGGCTTGTTGGTCCTCGACGCCTTCAATGTCGACCCACCACTGCTTGCGGAGGGAAAAGCGAGAAGCAGGAAGACCAGCAGCTTGGCCAGTGGTGGTTCTTGCGGGAGGAAGCGGGAACAACTTGGTTGGAAAAGGATTCCCAATGCCTGAACCTTTCAACATCGTCGAGGCGCCAACCTGATTTGCGAAGGGCTTGGCAGTTGGTGTCGTTCCACCATCACCTGATGCGGCTGAAGACAAAGAGGAGTTACTAGAAGGAACTGCTGCAGCTGCTCCTCCTGATGTGCTGCTTGCACTACTAGTCGCCTTATTATCAGTATTGAGACATACTGAAGTTGAAGCACTTGCTTTGCGTCCGCGGCCGCTTTGTCCATTGGCCCTAGCTGGCTCTTGCTCATCCGCTCCGTCCCCACCTTCATGATCGTCAAGGTGCTCATCTTCATCATCTCCAACAACATCTCCATCACCCACATCATGATCCTTATTAGAAAAATTGACCAGACAGCCAATAGGTACGTTGATGTCTAGCACCGTCTGCGACGTGTCTCCCAAGATCTGCTCGAGGCTGTTGTGAAACGAGTCCTCCTGTTCTAGAACTCGAGTACACATGTTGATCGCAGGTAGCAATGCCGCATCGGATTCCACATATTTCATCTTCTTCTCGAAGTACTCGCGGAAATTAGAGAAGCAAGGAGACAGGGTCGTGGTAGAGCTAGAAGGTGGACGATCATCTTGGATAAGAGCAGAGAGAGTATAAGAAGGTCAGAGAGAGTAGAGCATCCAAGGTGAATCACAGTTGTAACGGACTGTTTGTCCATTGAAGACGGAGCGGCTCTGCATTTCTGTCTATGTAGATTTTCACGTTGATCTTGGCCTTCCAACTATCATGAAGTGCACATAACTAAAGCCGGATACTCTGTTAGTCCGAAGTCTTCTTCTGCTCCACCTTCTGGTAGAATCGAAGCAAACCGGGTCAAAGACAGTCGCAGACCAGCATGATCACGAGGCCACACAACACGATTCTTGTTCTGCTTATCTTTCAAGTCTCGGATAACCGTGGAAAAGCTCTCTGCAAAACGAAAGACCGTTTCCTTCTGCTGTGCTGCAGATGGTTGCATCACTGCACTGGAATCAAGGAGAAAAACCACATCCACCGGTTGTAAGTACTGCTCACTGCTGTTGACGAAATCAGGCTGCAAAAAAGTCTTCCACAGAGCAACGGTGATGCCGGGATATGAAAGGAGCTCGAGGCTCGTTGCTGGGTGTGCTGGGTCATCAACATCAACAAGAACCGATAGAAGTGGTCTACAAGAACGTAAGTAGAACAACAATAAAACGACGGAGATACGTCTGTTCGCTATGGCTATTCACATCCACTTCACCTACTACATCAGTTACAATTCATCAGTGTCTCAACCTTGCCACTCCAAAAACATCCATTGTTCATAACAACAACGCCTGCAACGTGAGCACACACGAAATCCGTCTTTTTGTCTTTTCCCAGTTTTTGATTTGTTCCTTCTTCTCCTGTATGATCTCGTCAGTTTTTTGCAAGACTTGGGTCGTATTTAGAGCTTACTTATATAATTCATCTTGAAAAGAACCTTGACGCGTTCCTCTTTAAAGAAGTAGGTCCAAGCAAGATCAAGATGCTTCATCTTAAGATGAATTACTGTGAGCCTTAACATATAATCCCCATCTAGCAGCTGGTCTTCGTAGCGTCTTTCGGCATCCATAGAGAGAACTGGCCTCCCAATGCATCCTCCCACCGCGCCTTCATACAGCTCAACGTCGCCGTCGACGAGGAACTGAGTGTAACGGCCATTGATCATGTCAGAATTGCGCGTACGTTCATCAGCGCCTGCAGCTGAAATGCGGTCATCTTCATCCATGTTCATCGCAGCAGTGCTGTTCTTGGAATTGGATGTCATTTTCGCGGAAAGCAGTGGATCCCTAGTCGACGCCAATGGATGTGAAGGTGACGCTCGTTTCTCTGATTCACCCTGATCTGAAGAGCCTGGCGACGTAGCCGCGCCAGGTGACCCAGCAACCACGACTCGACTCGCCATCGTGCTGGCAGCAGCAGGCTGGCTAGAAGTTTACCTGGTTTCTCCTTTGGACAGATGAAAGATGAATATTATGATTGTTGTTGTGTTTGAAAAAACATCGTGGAGCCAGGAGAGCTGTGAACGTCGAAGCCATTCTTGTTGTTTTCGTGTGGCTGTGCTTCTTCTTAGACATATTTTTAAAGTTCTTAAATATGTTGGCAATCTTTTGTTCTGTTATAAAAGTAGGGAGAGATGATGATGACGACTCTGGAGCTGCCGAGGTTGCTTACCCTTGCTCCAGAGTCATGCAGCAATCCACCGCGACGAGAAGCAGAGCAGCACGAACATCAAGAAACTCAGAGTTACTACAACTGTGCGTCATCTGCTTGGGCAGTTCTTCTTGTGGCGTGATGGTGATATGTTGAAGAAAGATGGACACGTTAGCCAAATTGATAATATAACCCGCTTTGTTCCTCAATTCATTATCTAAGAGGAGAATCATCCACAAGCTTCAACCAAATGTGGAAGTCGATCATGGTGCGACGCGAAATTGATATAGAAGACTGGTGCAATCAGTTGCGCTAGATGTTCTAGTTGGTATGATGCCAAAAATTAGAATACCGCAATGACTTCTAACCCAATTCCTGTGATTCCATCCATCCCGATCCCCTATCGAAATCAATCAAGGAAGTTGTAATTGTTCTTCTGCTTCCGAGTTCCTGCGTTGCTTTGTTCTGACTGCGCTGTTTTGTTCTTGCGCACCTCAAGCACAATCTCGTCTAGTCTCGCTCTAGACGTCGCATGTCGAGGACGTTGATGTCTACGTTATCAGCATGCTGATGAAGCAGCGTGGTCAAAAAAACCTCGATATGACTCGGTCGTGACCGTGAGTAGGTCGTCCTCGTATGCCGTGAAGGGTTCGTAGAACTCCTGCTTAATATTGCGTTGACATCACGGTTTGTTTTGGCAAGAACTAGGTGTAGTCATCCAACTGCGTAATCGCAAACTGAGCAATGAGCGCAACGACCACTCCTCCGACGAAAGATTTGGTCACTGTTCCGACATCTGATCCCACTTCCCCCATGTCACTGCCTGTCCCACTCAAGCCAAAGAAGTCGGCGGCGTTTACTCCTTCGTCCTCGTCGTCTACTCCCAAGCCCTCCTCCTCTGTCTCGTTCGTATCTACCTTTTGGGACTGCTCATCACTCATCATATTCGTCGTCGTCGTCGTCGTCATCGTGGTCGTCGTTTTTGTTTCTGTCTTCGTTGTTGATGTTGTCGCCGTAGGATATAATGAAGAAGGGAATGCAGTGTTTTCCCATCGATCTTTCTAGAAGAGACACAAGTAGAAGACCATCCCCGCGCCTTTTCCTGCACTTAAAACAAGCAAGGATGGCCGGCCAATACATCAACAGCTAGAGACCACTGAGTGAAGACGTAGTGAAGACCACGTAGAGGAAAAAACTCAAAATGAAATCACCCATAAACTAGTGGTGGTCGACGAGCTCCGGGTGGTGGACCACGTGCCTGTCGTGCTCGTCACAGTCGTGCTCGTCACGGTCGAGCTCGTCATCGTCGTACTTGAGTTCTTAGAGCTTCATCATCCAATATACATTCATCCCTGGTAGTACTAGGGGACGACCCGAAAGAATGTTATGCCATAGCCGTCGCATCTCATGTATTTCGGTAGGTAATACGCGGCTTACAACGCTTGCGCGGGCGATCTTCCCTATTTATTATAACAGCGATGGATTTGGGGAAACCTTAAAGTTTGTTACAGTGGTACTGGAGCTTGAGGTACTCGAACTTGAGGTAGTCGAGCTTGAGGTACTCGAACTTGAGGTAGTCGAGCTTGAGGTAGTCGAGCTTGAGGTAGTCGAGCTTGAGGTAGTCGAGCTTGAGGTACTCCGAGTTGTGCTCGTACTAGTCGAGGTTGTGCTCGTACTAGTCGAGGTTGTGCTCGTACTCGTAGTCGTCGTGCTTGCCAACACACAACACTCTTGCGCTGTGCATCCGGTATCATTGTCTTGGCACCTTATTTCGTTGCTCGCCACTTTAGAGGAGCTCAAGAACAAAGAGACCCATTCGCTCAGAAGTTCGTTTCATATTCCGTATTTGTTTCATCAGAATCCTAAGAATACAGCACAACGCAATGAATCTCGCGCAAAGGTTTGCGCAGACTGCCATAGTAGAACCTAGTAAAGGTAAGAGAAGGAAGGAAGCTAATGGATTACTGGATCATTTCTTTCACTGTGGAAAAATAAAAATAATGTGAAGGAAATATTATAGATTCTTGCGCTTAACTATTTTTATATGGACAAGGCATATTACCCTTGTTACCACCAGTAGTATATAAGGATATGGGGGCAACATACCCTTGCCAGCACCACCAGGCGTACATCCATGATAGAAGTTGTACGTACAGTAATATCAGGATGAACAACATGCAGAGACGGACCCCTTTGGTCTTAACTATATCAGTTCTCGGTGCTTGGCCATGTGCTACGCAATCGAAACTCCCACAATGCCGTCTGCAACATTCTGCTATGTTGCAATTATTGGTCAAACCGCAAAGCCTATCTTAGAACAAGAGCAAGAGGTAACTTACTACCGAGAACAAGAGCAAGAGGTAACTTACTAATCGGATCAAGCTTTTTATGCTTATTTTGTTCTTTAAGCTCTCCTTCTATTTTCGTTTTTCCAGAGGGGCGCGTCAACTTACTTATTTGCGGAGCAGCTCAGTGTCACGAGGAGGAGCAGGAGGAGGAAAAGGAGCAAGAGCAAGGGGAGGAGACTGTCTTAGAACAAGGGCAAGAGGTAAGCGCAGGAGGAGGAAAAGGAGGAGGATAGGGGCTATATCTCCAGTTTCTATAGCCCGCTACGGAACGGCGATGCTGCCCTTAAGGAGGAGAGGGAGGAGGAGGGGGAGGAGGAGAAGCAGAATTGGGGTCCTGAATGGTTCTGGTATTTGGTAACCTGAATTTGATCATAAGGGAAAACAAGAAGAGAACCCCTATGATCAAACTCAGGTTACCAAGTACCAGAACCATACAGATCCATGATTGGGTACGTGCTTGTTCACACCTCCGTATAAAACCCCAGTAGTCTCAAATGAAATAGAACAGAAAGTAGTAGTAGAAGCCTTTGATGCCACGACCACCTTAATGATGAACAAACAGCTTCATAAACTTCTGGGGTTTGGACAATTTCTCAAGAAGTACAACTACAAATTATACAATCATGCGTATGTTAATACAGTTACCACGAGCCCTACTGAAAGAACTGCTGTTTGGTGGAAAATTTCAAGTAATAGAACTACAATCAACTGCAATCCACAGTACTAGAAGCCTTCATGAAACTGGTGAAGTTTGGGGCAATTTCAACTAAGTACGATCATATTACTCGAAGCCTTAATGACAGAAACCACTGCGGTTATCCAACTTCCTTCCAAAACTTCCAAGTATAAGAACTACAATTAAAAAAATACAATTTTGTTTATCATGTTACAGTGGGAGTAGTTACCAGGAGCCTTAATGAAGCTTGGGGTTGGATAGCTTATACACGAATTGTTCTTCAGGACAATCGGCCCAGTAGCAATTCGGCACGCAGCAAATCCATTTGGTGCAATAAAATGAATGATGACCACGATGGGGCCACCACCACTGCTTTTCGTGGTGAAGAAGATAAATAAAGATGAGCAGGCCACTTTTCCTGGTGAACATTATATTTTATTCTAATCATGTGAGAAGTGTAGACTTTGATGTCACCTCCGAATGGGAGAATTCACTTGTCAAGATACAACTAGAAGGGAGCGCGACTGCCATCTCGCCAAGATAAAAATGGGAGAACAGTTGTTCATTTTGATGTCTTCAGGATACAACTAGAACAAGGTCGGGGGAATGCCGGATGACGGCCGCTCTTCGACTTGTTCTCTTCTTCATGTAGAAGAACTCGTAGACGAGGAGGCTCTTGTTTTTAGTAACTTAGTTGCAACGACGACATTCCCCTATTTGTTCCTCATTTTATGTGGTGTTGTTCTCAATCACGTTTTTGGCGGGACCATAAACGGTGATTGGGGCAGTGTATGCTCGCCGGATTCGCCCTTTCCGAAAAACGCCTGCGCATCTTAGAATTGAATTGCGATGTGATCTTCTGTTACCAAGAACTTCCTTCGTCCAAAACTTCCAGTGCTTGTACTAAGTATGTAATACGAGTAAGATGAGTATAGTGTACTTCTAGGTAATATTAAAGAGCTAAAAAAAAACTTAACAACAACCCCGCCAAACTTGCACTCTCCAAATTCAAACTCTCTGGACTCAAACTCCCCAAAGTCAAACTCTCTGGACTCAAACTCTCCAAAGTCAAACTCTCCAAACGCCAACTCTCCGACACCCTCACCCCAAACTCATGAACTCATAAACTCCTGCACTTGTGAACTTGTGAACTTAGGAAATTGCGAACTTATGAAATTACGCACTTATGAAATTATGAACTTCTGAAATTATGATCTTCCGAACTTCTGAACTTATGAGAGCTCGCGAATCAAATCCAAGAAATTGAATTCCGGAGAAACTTGCTAAAGTCGAAAATTTTTGGATTTGAGGAATTCAAATCCAAGAAATTGAATGGCGGAACAACTTGCTAAAATCAAAAATTTTTAGGTTTGAGCAATTCAAATCCAAGAGGTTGAACCCCAGACAAACAAACTCGCTAAAATCGAAATTTTTTGGATTTGAATTGGCGGAACAACTTGCTAAAATCGAAAATTTTTAGGTTTGAGCAATTCAAATCCAAGAGGCTGAACCCCAGACAAACAAACTCGCTAAAGTCGAAAATTTTTGGATTCGAGAAATTCAAATCCAAGATATTGAATATCAGAAAAACTTGCGAAAGTCAGAAATTTTTGGATTTGAGCAATTCAAATCCAAGAGATTGAATCTCAGACAAACTTGCTAAAGTCGAAGCTGAACGCTTCAGCCTTCCGCAAGCGCAAAGATGTCAAACCCAGCAGAAGGCCAGCAAGCTCCCAGGCCTGCCATTTCCAGGCATGCCTATCCAATAGCCGCAGGCCGCCAAGAGCCCGACTCTTGTGCTGTTCCATCGCTCAACCCCGTAGGCACGGGGCGGGGCAAGCGGGGCCACGCGATGGCGGGGGAAGTGCGTGCAGAGGGTGGAGGATTCTAGTGGGATGAGTGCTACCGGGCACTTAAGTCTAGTATGAGTATAGCTATAGTGTAGTAAAAATACTAGTAATCTCGCATATCAGAGCACAAAGAAATCCGGCAGGATCGTACGCGTCGCCCGGAGCGCATCGAAACAAACAAACAAACAAACAAGCCTTACTTCTAGAACAACTTGTACTTGAACAAGAAACGTCGACTCAACATCTGCCTTCTACAGATATTAAAGTGAAGTAGTACAACATAATCATGAGCAATCATCAAGAACATCAGCTGGTGCCTTAACATAATGATAGCATCCGTTTGTAAACACTCTGCAGTTCCTGTCGCAGCATCTGGTCAGGCTAATGTCCCCCCCAAATATTTCGTCGTCGTTCTTAACGCTAGTTTTTCACTATCCCCACATGACACTGAGCTCTTCCCCTTTCTTTGCTTTTTCCCCTCAACATGTTCTCCCCTCTAAATCAAGGGGGACTCTACTTGCGCCTCCCATTCAGCATACATAGTCCACACCATGCATAATTCACCATGGGATCGATACGGAGAGATAGAGATTGATAGTGAAAAAATCCCAACTACCAGCCTTAAAACTCGCTTTCCTTGTGTACTGACCCTCGCAGGTTATCGAGTGGCAACTTGTTTTGCAACATTTCTCTTGCGTACACTGATTGTCGCTGCACACATGTATATTAGAACAACCCACTACAACAGGAGTCCATCTTTTGCAGCCTCATCTTTGTCCACTGTTCGTTGCTGTTCGAAGTACTTGAAAACAACTCACAGATGAATACCTAAAAAGGGTGCTAGACCTAAACGAACCTAAAGAGTACTTACTAGTCCCTGAGTTCATCGAGTTGTGGTTGTCTCTAAAAATATACAGTAATTAAAAGTCGTTCCCCAGATGCAGATGTATGAGGAGTAATAGTTTCAGCATCCAATCTCTAAAGTGGATTGAGTGAGGCCTTAGGGTTACGATCAAAAAGCCTCTGTTCTGCTGGGCAGTCGCTGTCGGTCATGGCCGCTCCGCATTGAACCGAACTGTCTACTCTGGTCGTGGTTGCAGCAGCTATTTGTTCGTCGAGAGCTGCAGCAGGCACAACTGCTTGTTCTGCTGCTTGCACCAGCACGGCTGTCGTCCTTGCAGCTGCAAAGATAAAAACACACAGAGAACAGAAGAGGAGGAGGTGGGAGGCTGTGCGAGGCCTCAACATCATTTTTCTTGTCGTGTCTAAGTAATTGACGTCGACCCGCGTCGTAACTTAGCGGCTTCTTGTCGTGTGCCAAATTTCACCGGTTGCCTGAAGTAGTTTACTGCTGCGGGTCATCGAACTGTAGTTTACTGCAGACGGGCCAAAGCGTTCCGCTGCCAACACCTACAAGGGACAGGAGCTGCGGCCGAATGGCAAACCTACAAGAGGCACCGCCACAGTGGAATCGAGAATCTGACACTTTCGATTTTGCTGTCTCTCTAATAACACTCGTGTCAGCTCTAATTGACGTCGACCCGCGTCGTAAGGCCACAGTTGTGGTCATGCTCCTGGCGACCCGCGTCGTAAGGCTACAGTTGTAATGCTCCTGACGACCCGCGTCGTAAGGCCACAGTTGTGGTCATGCTCCTGACAAGGCTTTCCGTCTTCTTCCCTGGCAGTAATCGAAGAGGACAGAAGATGCGGTCGAGTTTCTCGTGCTGTCATAATCGACGATCCCGGCACCACCGGATTAAATCATGATCCACCGAAAATGTGTTGTCGATCATTATAGCCCATGAAGATGCTGATGGTGATATAGAAGAGTGTGAGTGACCCGTCCATCTTGATGTACTTCTTGTACAACCGAGTTATCGACAGGCGTGGACAGGCAAGAAGCTTCCAAAGTGATCGTCGCGTACGTTTATAATTTTAATTTCCTGGTGAAACTGATCTCAATCTCGTGGTCTTTCCGAAGTAGTTCTAATCACTAGGATCGGATCCTCCACATAAGTGTAAGTCGAACAAGACCTGAATGATCCCGTCAAACTCGGTCGTGCCTTTGCTGGTGAAGGTGATGATCTTTATCGCCTCTTTCCTCTCCAACTGATGTTATCTCTCTCTCTCTGACGCGGTCTCTTCACGCTCTCGAGAATGTCATTACGGTCGTTCGGCTTAACAAGTAAGCACGTAGGAGTAGACATTCTGACGACGACCAAACATCCCAGTAACATTACACCGTCGACACTAGTTCTGCTTGCTGTGAGCAACAAGCAGTCACTGCTCGAGCACGAACAATAACACTATTGAGAAGAACGCATCATATTTTTCTATTCGGAACAATTAGACCTGTGTAGTTCATCATTTGTAGTTGATTGTTCTCTTTTTCGTGCTACTAAAAGGATAATCATTTGCTCTACCTCTTTTCATCATCGGTTTTTGTAGGTCGATTACTGAACCATCTTCATCAAGATCGAATGCCGCCCCCCAAGTACTCACTACATCAGAGTTCTTGTTGGTAAGTAGCCGAGAGAGACAATCGAACTAAGAAGTCATAGTCTTGTAATCCGCCTTTTAGGTTCTTCACCTTCTGACTGTGCATTAATTCTTTGCAGTCGTGCAGTTCTTCTCGTTGGAAATGGAATGGTAATTGTTCAATAAAACGATTTCCGGATTTCGAATACTTCATTTTAACGGGATGTTGAACAATGAGATTAGAAGATAGGTGATATCTTAGCTGTAAGAATCGGAAAGTTGTCGTTGTGGTCCTCGAAACAAGATGAAAGTAGATTAAGATGATTTGCTATGTTGATTGGTTTATTTGGTACTTCTACTAGAAGATCTTCAAGAATAATGTGCAATCACATTAACATGCCCTTTTTTACATTTACCCTACCCCAAGCGTTGAAATCACATGCGCAAACACAAGAGAGGAATAGCGAAGAGGAGGTGGTATTGATTCTATTGATGTCGGTGAATCAGTTTTCAAAGCGTCAAGGTCTTCAACACAAGAACTCACACAGGAATAAGCGCACACTATTATCGATCATTTTTGAGGACAAGTACAGGAGCAGCTCTGCTAAGTAAATGGAGGCTATCGAGAAGTTCAATGTCAGATGAATGTAGAGCAGAATTTGCAGCTGTAGAAGTTTGATGTTAGGTAAAAATAATACCTTGTAAGTAGTGATTTACGTCTTCTAACGTGAAAGATAGAAACACGAGCATCAAATTATGAAGTGGACCATTGTTACTTGTAATTCTCCCAACTACAAGTAGCAACTACTAGTCCCATAATTTTACCGACGAATGTTGATACCAGTTTTTAGGTCGACTGATCGCGGCTCTTTTCCTTCTTCGCTGCGATCCTTCTAGCACACCAATACTATGATACTTGTTTTTACGTAGCGAAAACTCGACGAATCGTCCATGAAGTCTCCTCCATTTTCATTTGGTTACTTCAGTAAATGTGAGGCTACGTTTGTGTCGAGCGGAATGCAGGGACCCCATCTTCACCCCTACTTTGTAATCATAGCACGATCAAGAACTTCAACCCTTCTAGTTCTTTTCTTTTTCTATGAAAGAACAATGGCAATCTCCTCTTGCCTGTTTTTTCAGTTCGAATGAATCATCATGATGATGTTACTTATTTATGCATTTTGATTTTGTAGTAGTGCTGTAATCACAAGAAGATGATAAACTCATCTATTTTGTTGCACATAGAAACAACTATTGACGCTTAGTATGAAGACAGTATGACATAAAATGAAGAATACGAGCACGAGAACAAGAAGAAGATTTTAACTGCTACGGTTTGAGGTGAAGCAACGGATGGTCATTCCCCAAACCGCAATAAAAATTTGCTAGGTCATCTAGTCTCTCTTCTTGTCAAGTCCAACATCTTCCGGAAGGAGGTGTTGATTGGGGAGGTGCTAAAAAATAAATGTTGTACAGTTAATATTTGGCAATTATATTTAATATGTGAGTGTTATTTGAGCAATTAGATGACATCATGTTCTTGTTGACATGAGAAAAAAAATATACAATGTTGGACGAGTTTTGACGTGTACAATGTCTTTAACCCACGATTTCTAAAGAAATCTTCCCGATTTAAGAGTAAGAACACAACTGTGCATGCTGGGCAATGTTGAACGTTGAGTATTGATTCCCAAAAATTGCTAATGACTGCTGTCAAATATGGAATCACGACTATGAATAAACTATGTGTCGATTAAGATCGAATAAATATGTTGAAGTCTAAGCTTACGCCTCGATGTAGTTTCGTTTTTAATTTTGATGTTGCCGTTGTTCTGCTAGTTGATTCAGATTCCATCGCTAATTAAAAGTAAGTATGCTACCTATCTTCACGAGATATTGACATATCATCCTTCCTATTTCAAGTACAATTTGTTCATCCTCATCCAAAGAAGTATCTATAAAAGTGCTCGTATGTTGACGTAGTTGAAATACCATGCTAAAACAACTCGTATTCAATTTGAAATTTCATGATGAGTTTTTAGGTCGTTCTTCTTAAATTCCATTACACCATCATCTACTGGAGGACATATTCATTTGTTCTCAAGACCTAGTACTACTTCTCTTAAGACGACATCAGCTCCAAATCTACATTCTCGCATACACCCAGCTCGCCAATTTTCTTCCTACCGTTGGCGGCTTTACTTCGATGAAGTTCGGACTCTTTACCTCGTAGCTTCGGATGTACGCCAATTCGCCCGTGCTTTGGTCGAAGCGGAAGACGCACACAGAGTCCGAGTCTTGGTTAGCGGAAAACAGATAGTTGCCGGTGCTGGAGAACTTGAAGTGTCGTGGTGTGTGACCTCCCGTGTGGAAGTAGCCAACGCACGTCAGATCGCCACGTTGTGGGTGTAGACTGTAGACGGCGACGCTGTCATGACCACGGTTGCTCACCAGAACCCAACGGCCGGTGGGGTCAACGCAAATGCGACCACAGGTGTTCAGGTTCTTGGGGAACGCTTCAGGCAAAGTGGAAATCTCCTGGATGCGCTCGAGAGTCGCAGGACACTCCTGCTTGCGGTAAGACTTTTCAAGCGCCTCTTGCACTCGGTACTCGTCAAATCGGAAGACTTGCACTGTGGAGGCAAGCTCGTTTACGACGTAACCTTGTGGTAGAGAAGATGGAGTTATGTTGTCAAAGAAGGATAGAAAAAATAGCTTCTAGAAGGAATAGCTCTAGAAATTAATACTTCTGGATTTGAAAATGGAAATGCAGCCTCGCAGGGATGCTATACGAAGCGCAAGTCCGAAACAAAGCATGAAAACAGTTCTTCTTCTTCTTCTTCTTGATTTTGAAAATTTGAATTTCAATTTTTTGGCGATAAAAACAAAATTTTTGAAATGGAAATGAAAAATTTTGTTTTTATCGACTTTCATTCAAATTGAAACTCTGATGAACAACTTGACACAACTTTCCAAGCAAGTAAGTATCATTGAAAAAGGATCGAAATTCAAAAACCTCGAATTTTTCATTTTCAGAGCATGGCATTTGGGAATCAACTTCTAGCCTCTCATGGTACCATCACAGCTATCATAGCAAGTTTTAGCACGACCTTTCGGGGACACACCAATTATGAATTTCCAATTTCAAACTCATCTTCGAATTTTTCAATTTCATAAACTTTGAATTTTTGGTTTTCAGAGCGTGCACATTTCAGCTCAAAAGAGGGTATGTCATTACATGATCAAGTCTCAATCAAGTAATTCGCACGAGGCTCAGATGAAGGAGGCTTGAGTTTCAATTTTCCAATTATGGAGTGTCTTAATATCCTGATGTCAAGCAACAGTGTGCAGTTGTCGAGCCAGGACAACAGGTGTGTTTGTGTATCATCAGCAAAGAAGAGAAGCGAGGGTGGAGCGAGAAGAGGAAAGACACCATGCTTTTATGACAATCTCATTCTCAATGAAGCAAGAACCTAAGAAAAAAAAGGATCAAAGAGTTAAATTACAGACATCGAGCGATGGATGGAATTCGAGATAGCGAGGTCCTGCGCGCTCACCGCAACTGATGGTGCCAGCATATCTACTGCTACCGTCGTTTTCGTCGAAAACGAACTGCTTGAGGCATCCTTCACCTAGATCCGGCACGTAGGCCATGCGACCGAAGGCAGGATCGAAGACACAGGCATGCGCATGCGATTCCTTGAATCGGTGACTGCTATGAGGGTCGTCACCATGGGCAGCACGCTCTTTCCTGTTTGGAAATCATTTGAACGAGAATCGTGCTCGGTTTATCTTTACTAGCTCTTCATTCTATAATCACGAAATTCTTCAAAACAAGGCTATTTTGTTTGGTGAAGGAAATTCAGACATGATCATACACCAGATAGTGATACTAGACACTCACTCTCACTGTCACCAAGTAAAAAAGTCACCAGATCTTCAACAACATCTAAATCTAAAAATCAATACTTCGCATTTTGGCCTGGAATTTGACTCTTGACTGCCTCATGTGTCAGAAAGAGGCCTTCTTCATCGATTGGAACGGATGCGAGCGTTGAGTCCCAGTAGTTGGTGACCAAGATGTATCGCAAATCGTGGCTCAACTGTTTGTTTTTGGAACGACAGTGGCAGGGGTTGGTTTTGCGTCTGAATCAGAATCACAAGAGTTCTTTGTTGTTGTAAAGAAATCAAGGTCATTGCAGCTGAAAAATAACGAGAACTACGACGAACCTCCGTGACAAGCGCACTTGCTATTTTCATGAAAAAGATCACCTGTACGCCGATATTCAATCGCAATAAGGAGTACCGAAATATACATCTGTACGTCGATATTCAATCGCGGCAATATTAAGGAGTACCGAAATATAGCAAGCCGATCGTCCTTCGGTTGATATTTTGCCTAGTTCTCGCAACTGACCCGTCACCGGACATAGTCTAAATGCGAAAAGCCACCCGTTTTCGTTGATGCTCTCTGTCACCACGTAAAGGATGTTCTTCTTAGGATGACTTCGCACAAAAGCTGCATTCTGAAATTCCTTCGAACCACCTTGGGAGACTGTCAGTTTCGTCAAACGTCCAGTAACATTGCAGAGAGCAAAAACCGTCATGGTTTCGTTGGCTGGCGTGCCGCGAGGCTTATGCGCAAGGTTGTCGAGCTTGGTGTAACTGCAAACGCAGACATACTCGGTCAGAGGTGCTTCCCGTGCTTGGGTCTGCTGTGCAGTGTTGTCCTGCTCGCGAGATCGTGTGCGCTGGAGGGATTAGAGCTGGAGCTAGTAGTTGATCTAGTTCTAGTTCTACAGACACGACCTTCTACAGACATGACCCATGACACCAAATGGCACCACCCACGACAGTTTAAATTAATAGCGAGATGAAACACTTTTTCATTTTCACCATAAGGAATATTGAACGGCACAGTAGGATGGACTCCTGGCGTTCCGCGCCCGCTCGGCGTTGGCCCAGATGGTACTGGTGTGCGCGTATTCGGCACGACCACTGGCGTCACTGGTCCGCCAGTGGGCACCTCAATCCGCAGCATCGGTGCAGCTGATGCAGAAATTCCTGAAGCACTGCTGGAGGAGGATGACGCGGCCTGCTGGGACTGAGTGGCCATTGCTGGCGCACTCTTGCTGTTGCTTCCGGACGATGACGACATCTTTTTTTTCACTGATGAAGATACGTTTTTTTGAAATACAAGGAAGATGAACAAGAAGATTTCTCAGACGGAAATTCTCATACAGAAGGTGACCACGAGGATGGTGATGGATTGTACAACTACTATCTCAATACAACTGTAATGTTTATTTTGTTACAGTACGGAAAAAGTATCCTGCTTACATGCCTTTTCAAACTTCTTACCGCTGTTGATCACTAGATGATCTCGTACTTTTTAAAGATGATCAAGGTTTAGTCGTAACTAACTCTAAGTCTAACTAACTAACTATGATCAAAAAAATTGCCGCAACGAAATTCCAAACACTTGCGACATCAAATTGTGAAGATTTCTTAACAAACTCAGTAGGGCTGATACTAGGACTGTAAAAAATACAGAAATCTAAACTTGGACTGGAATTACAACAACTATCTTAATTGATTTTACCTTATTTGATTGATGTTTTTATTACACGACACGACCTACAAGATGTTGTTTTTGAAAGGTTCATCTAAGAAAGTATACTATACGAGCAGTAGAATATACCTGAACCACTCACTAGACAACACTCACTAGTTGATTTTGATGATTGCTTTTGTTGATCTTCAGATTATACAGATGAAGATTTGGTGAATCTTTGAAGAGAACCTTGTTGGATGAATGTTTTTAGTTTAGACACTAGTACGAGGATAAGATCCTAAGGTGGAGGAGCAGGCCATGAAAAAGCTGACAAACTATACTAGCCAATCATGGTGCTTTGAGCACACCAACACTTCCTATCCCTTCTAAAATTAAAGATCCTACGAGTCCCATTGTAGGTCCGTGCGTCGGTTGCAGTCAACCTTCTTTCTGTTAAAAAGCTGCGGTTGGTTCGTCGGTCCGTTGACAAAAAATAAATCTTCTCATCGACTCAAATAAAAACAAATCAATATCTAAGTTTCATCTGAGACAACAGGCACTTGCTTGTTCGCAAAAAAAATCATGAAGACATTACATCAACGAGGGTGCCGTGAACATTCGATAAAAATCTTCTACGACGTCTCATCTATAACTATAACTATAAGTACAAGAAGTAGATGAACAAATATTAAAGAAGTAGGGGATTTACTTATAAATTTAATACAGAATGCTCCTCCTGATCCTGTGACGAGAGTGGTGCGGGTGCGAGGAATGAAGTCATATTGCTCTTTTTACGACAACGACAAGTCAAGGACGTCGAGGCGGAACAAAAAAGGTCTAAGAAATCACTCAAATGAATTGTTGAACGAAAAATGTTGACGACCTGTCGCTCTCGTCACGACAGACTCAGCTCTCGTCACAACGACAGATGATGACTGGACCACTCACTTGTTCGTTTTTCGTCTTTCAGTCTTAACAGACACAGCGACAACTACAACGTGGCACATCACGGATTAAGCGAACACTTACTAGCTCTGTTCTCACGGTGTGGTGATCATCATGATGAACCATCTTCACTTCTCAGCGATTACAGACCATCATGTTGTTCTTGTTGCTCTCTCGTTATCAAATAGATGTAAAGTCCACAGATCGTCGGCACTCGAACTCGTGACAGATCGATCACATGCTGCTCTCCGCGCATTTTATTCGAACACTGAGCCGCTCCACCCTCGTCGCACACCTACTTGAAGTAAAAGTAATCATCAAGATCAAGAAGTACAACTACATTTTCGACATAGTACATCGTTTTTCTTCCGCCCAGGTTGTAATAGTAAAATTTGAGATAAAAGTGGCATAAGTGTTACTTATAATAGAGCAGTTACAAGAACTGCAACTCCTATTTACGTAGTTTCGATTAAATTCGTGCTAACTTCTATTCTTGAGCTCCTCAGTTTAGGGTGTCAACGTTAGTCCATTTTTCCTCAGGATGTCAACGTTCTTGAGCTCCTACGTCTACTAGTCGACCGCTTCTGTTGCACTTCTCCGTCTCCATCCCCTGCTCCTTCGCGGCCCACTGCTAAAAGTAATCGAGATTGCAAGGATTGGACTTGCTTTTGAAGGATGTTCACCAAGTCACCTTTCACTTCTCTGGCGTTTCCTGCTTCCACTTTTTTTAACAACGCAGTTCGTTCTTTCGCCCAGAGAGCTTTCTCCTGATGTTCAATGTTGATAAATCCATGAGAAGTAACAGCGTCGAGTCCTGCTCTGGGCTTTACTGAATGTGAGAAAGGTTTTGTTCTTTGTTGAGCTCCTTGAGTCTATTCGACTTGTTCTACGACGTTGTACTAGGTGATGAATGTGCACGACGCAGCAGGAGCTAAATCAACATAACAGAGTAAGTAGGTACCTCCATCCCTCGATCCTTAACACTTTGTAGCTGTTTGGCAAGGGACTCACTCTTCTTTTCCTCGTCTTGGAAAGCATTGAAGGCTTCCCGAACCGCTTTCATGGCTTCAGAGACTCGGATCTCTAGCTTTGCCGACTGGGCGTCGAAAGCGGCTATCTCGTCTTGTCTCTCTGCTAGTTGCTGCCTTAGCCTTGCGGTTTCGCGTTTTAGCTCGTCTGTCAGAGCGATTTGCCGCATCAGTTGGGCTTTTAGAGGGGGACGAGGAAAGGCTCCTGTGCGAGTCAGCGTCGTGAAGCGACACCACGAGACCGGCGTCCGCATAGTGGAGTTCCAGCATTCAGTATTACATGTAGCATGAAGTACTGGATCATGTAAAAATAGATTTATATTGTTAACCTACTTAATAATACGGGTGGAGCCAAGCTAACTAGGAAGAAAAAGTAAGGATAGGTAAAAAGTATATAAGTACAGAATTATAGTAATGGCCAAGCTAAGATAGTAAGGCGCCGCGTGTCGTCCAACAGCCCTGGAGGTCTTCTCATCAGAGGCGGCCGAGGCGTGTGCTTGTGTATTACATGTAGCATGAAGTACTGGATCATGTAAAAATAAATTCAACAGATGTCACATTGATGTTCATAAAACTCTCGCTTGCTGTTGTTGTTTGGCAATCTTGCTTCCGTCTCGAAGTTTTTCCAACTGTTGTCGCAGCTCCAAAGCCTGCTGTTCAGCTGCCTCAGCGCGAATACGGGTATCCAAGAGAAGGAGGAATGAAGATGTTGGGACGAGTCTAAGATGTTCTTCTTGGAGGTATAGAAATTATATGCTCAACATAGAGTTGCATAGTAGAAGAGGTGTATTATTTTCGCGTAGATGAAGGAAGGCGTCTTTTTAGTCAATGTTGAACGAAGATAAAAATAACTACGTCGAGATGAAGATTCGACATGACTCGCCTGTAGAAGGTCAGGATTAGAGCTGCCGGGAATCCCTCTACTTGAAAGTCATCTTGGACCTCCGTGTAAGGGGGAAACGGGTCCAAGATGACTTTCAAGTAGAGGGATTCCCGGAAGGGTTAATCCTTAATCTATTCGAAAAACTGAAATAAGCAAGTAACTGATCAGAATAACCGAGATACTGATGAGAAGGAAGAGTAGAATTGGCGTTAAGCTACCTCCCTTATTTCAGTCAGTAACTCGGTTATTTTGAGTTTTCGAATATTTCTGTGTTGCAAGAACGAGCTTTCTAAATCTTCACACCTAACAAGCGGCCTCATACTTGGTGTTCTTGCTCTGACCGATTTTTATGGGTCTTTTTCGCCTCCGCCAGTTCGCTATCGATAGACTCGCAATGTTTCCGCCACCTCCTAATCTCCATCTGATAGCTTTCGATCTCCGCTGCAACTGCCTTACTAACCGAAGAGGAGGACGACGACGCACCTGCGAGAGAGCCACCGCCTCCTAGGCCTAGACCAAGAGGACCCAAGGCAGTTGTACTAGAACTTGTTGGAGCCTGTTGGTAAGGTCCGGCAGTGCGAGATGCGAAGAACATTTTTTTTGGTCTTCTTGTTAAATGGTGCAGTCAAGAGGTGGATTACTATTCGAAGGCGTAATACAGTTGTAGTGATGTTTAAGAAACTCCTGCTCTATTTCTTGAGCCCTACACTACACTAACCTGCTAGTCGTTTGTCCACCTAATCTTTAAGGGGTAGCCGCAATGGGGCATTTTTACTATTCAGTTTCAGTATGGGCACACCCAGTGTCACATCACTCAGTAAGCGATTGTCCTTTCTCGGTACTAAGGCCGTCCTCAACATCGTCACACTTCTCATGTGCCTTCGCGCAATGTACTGGCGCAACAAGACTAAAGAGACGATGCTCATGTTCCGAGAACACTCGGTCCTCTCCAATCTTCTGATTGTGTCATTGTAGGCATAATGCGAGTCGAAACTACTTCCAAAGGATCCTACAAACTTTCTCCTAATATGCTGGATTAAAATCTGGATGATAATCCTTACATCGGTCATCGTAAGGGTATATCCACATATCCAAATGGAAATTTTTCTGGAGTTTGCTCACCATTATCTCATCAGCAAAGTTTGGCCAGTACTCAACGTGCAACCGATGAACTTCGGTTGATTCAAAAGCAAAGCAGAAAGATTCTCTATGTCTGATTTCTTCTATCTTTCTTGCTAACGAAGTAGGTGCACTACTTTTTGTTTGGTTCATGATCTTGCTATTGTTAGAGCTACCGCATTCGCATCCCAGAGTGAATCCTTGGTCCCGTTTTCCTCTTGAAAAAGAAGCCAAGGATCGATGGCGCTGAGGATGCTTCAGCGGTAGCCTTAATATTGAGCACATCATTCTCGATGGGAGTCCTTGACAGAACTTCTTGATGTCTTGTATCTGGATCGTACGCAACTTCGACATTGTTCATGGTGTACTCCAAAACCCATTTTTTGTAGTCGGGAGCTCCTGGCTTGAGGATGTTGTCCGCTATAACCACAGCACCGGGGGCTAGAAGTCCGGCGCCGGAGTAGAGTTAGAGGGGTGCTTTCGGTTGTAGATGTAGAAGTTCTTGATATTAATGCCTTATGTACTTATGTTGCGGCATATCTACTTCTATCCGCTGTAGTGCATTTCCTTTTTCCACCTCTTCTACTTCAATTACCAAGTGAAATGGAGCGGCTAGCAGTAGGAACTAGTACGCATCAAAAGATATTATAAGTATGCCAGCTCTTCTTGCCAAGAACTTGAACAACAACTTCTACTCGACGTCTCCCTTAAAACAAAGCTGCATCCCGTAGATCCGAAAGGTAGAGCTCTTTCACATGATCCAAGAACAAGATATCTATAGATCCTACACCGTGAACGATATAATTCTTCCTTTTCATCGTTTCGCGCCTGGTGCGTCCTTCCTGCAACAGAATATCTGTCGAAAACTCTTTTCGAAGTCGAACGGTTAAAGTGCATGATGATATTTTTGCATTTATTGAGGCCGCAGAGGCACCACGTCCAGACACTGACACATGATAAGAATCTGGTCCTTCTTCATCTGCTGGTAAACACGGAAGATTATCTCCTAGAACACCAGCACGGTGAAGCAATGCAGTACTAGCAGCGTGGCTCAGTGGTGAAGGATCCACGCTTTCAAGAAGAATCGAGACGTTCAGGTTCTTGTCGCTCCTCATCTTGTCCTCGTCCAGCAGCGCTAGTAATGCTTCCCTGACCCCAGAAATCATCTGCATCGTTCCGTAGCCCAAAAAGGTACCAAACTCCATGATTCTGATCTTCACGACCTCTTTTGTTCCACTAGTCGTGCTAGTCTCCTGGTGTGCTTCATCTTCTGTAGAAATAGATGAAGCGGCCTTTTCCTCTTTGGATTTGGACATTGCGAAGTCTTGCATAATTTTCTCCCGTACTTTCTCCCTGACCGCATTCCGCAATACACGTCCCTTCGTATTCCCCACGCTAATCAGCATGTTGCCGCTCCAAGCAAATTCATCGATTGCGTCTATGACACCCTGTAGATCGCCTTGTGGGACAGGACGACGAGGACCACCAGTTCTGGTTTTATTGGCCGAGTTATCATCTCCTTGACGTTGGCCTTGGCGTTGCCCTAACATTTGTCGTCCTTCATTATCCGTGAAGATACCAAAACCACCTCCATAGCGACGGCTCTTCCTCTTGTCCTCGTCAGCTTCATCACCTTTACCTCCACCTTGTCCTAAACGGTCCGGCCCCAACACATAGTCCAGAACGTGTAACTGTGGATGCACGTTCGAAACGTCGAAATACTCCGACGTCGAAAACAGGATTTTAAGCAAACTTCTGGCATTTCGAACATAGCTTCCAAGAAAGAAACCAACAAAAGTTTCTGGATAGGGAGAGAGGAAAATGCCGAGAAGAATTGCCACAGGAGCGAGCAGCATCGGTAGGAAAGGTAAAGGAGAAATGAAACTACGCATCTTGGTATTTTTCCCTTGTTCTTGTACTCTTAAGATGAACCCGTCTCCAATCTTATCCTTAGAATCCCTCTCGTCGTTGATACCTAATCATCTTCCTGCTTGAAGCTAATCATCCTTGTTTACTTTAGGTTCGTTTACGCCTTTGTAGATTACTTTTTGTTTTTGTTCTAGGTTATCCTTATCATTTTACCTCGTCAATGTGGCTAAGTAGTCTACTTTGTGATTTTTGACACTACCAGAATAAAGGTTGCAAATGAGAATGTGACTTTCGAGTTCAAGAACTACGGGCTCAGAAAAGTTTTTCTAACCTTCGTGTTCTTCCTGTTGCTTTGGGGGAAAGAATTCGCCTTGTCATGAAGTAGAAACAAGTCACTTCCGAACAGAGCAGGACCGCGGATCAGAGCTGTCCTCGTTACGATTTCATTCTCGTTCTTCAGCTTTAAGCAGAAGTTGTAACCCGCCCCCTGACAATGCCACTTCTACTACAAAAGGTGGTTCCTGCTTCGTAAATTTTCTTCATCATTTTTGTATCTCCACAAAGGAGTTGTAGGAGGATTAGAGGCCAGTACAAAAATGTTGTTGACCCGCCTTTGAGTTATAATGTTCATCAAGTGACTTAGCAGGTTTCAAAAAATTCATTGTGTTTTTTCCTTACCCCCACTTCCTCCAGGACGCCGTCTACACAGGGCGTCGTCTTTTCGATGTAGCAGGTCCGCTGGAGCGTAGAAAAACAGCGTTGATAGCATGATAATCGGATATCCTAGCATGAATCCTATTGACACCTCAAACCCGTGGAGTTGGTAGGCGATATAAGTCGTGAATATCGTCGTCAGGCTCACTTGGTAGATCTTCAGGATAACGTCGCCGAAACGGGGAAGTTAGAGAAAGAAAATCACTACCAGCGCATAAGGAAAACAAGAAGAGAAGCCTTGTGATCAAATTCAGGCTACCAAATACCGGAACCATTCACAACAGCACGATGAATGAAAAGCCCATCGTCCATAAAATATGAAGCTAATGCACAGTCCCAGATATGCCTGGACGACTAAGACGGCAGGAATAAGAAATGGAGCGTTGTTTGAGGGTGAAGTTCTTGGCTGCGTGTCGAAGAAATAAAGCCCGCTCTCCTGGAGAAATGCTTTCGTTCGGGTTGTGCTCGCTAATGAGAAGAAACCAAAGCCAACCTGCTCCTCTGAAAAAGCTGTACTAGTTGTTGCACTTGCCTGTCCATTGGTCATCTTCTTCCCTAGTCGTGCTTCTGCTTGTCCTTGTTGTAGACCTCCTAGCCCTTCTTTTTCTTGGTAGCTTTCCAATTCCATATGCAATATGGAAAAGCATATGCCTATCACATACATCTTTACGTTTGCGAAATGCATATTTCCTGCTTTTTTCAGGAGTATTTCATTAGTGACGCCTGCTACAGCACTACATAGACACATCCCAAGCACACTCGCAAGACCCTTGATGAAATCGGAAGAAGGAGGAGATGTACTACTTCTAGTAGTAGTATTGGAGCTAGTTCTTGTACTTGTTTTTCCGCCTTTTTCGAACGCGTCACGTCCTGACACCAGCATCCCTAGCGTCAACAGAAGTAATGCACACCACTGAAGCACGGTTAGTGGCTTGTTCACCACCACGCGAAAGAGTAGGCTGGTAACCGCTATCTTTGCGTTGCAGAACATCTGGTAGTGTGGCGCTGACAACCATCCATGCGAGAGCGTCCAAAACATCAGATTATTCTGAATCGCGTAGCACAAAGCGGGAACCACTACCGAGATTTCGCCTAGGAAAAAGCGCTTGATAGAGGTCGTTGCGGTTGTGCTCCTGTTTCCTCCATCACCTGTAGCTGCAACGAGTGTTAGAGCTAGACATTAGACTTAGTCGTGGTGCGTTCTTCGCACCAACAGCAACAGTTTCAGCAGCCAAATATTGGGTTCTTTGAGATAGAAATGCTGAAGCAGAAGATATTACAAGAACCCACTAATCGGAAATAGAAATTAATAGGAGAGCAGGGACGAGAACTCAAAATTATATATAGAATTCGCCTCGAGGAAGGGAAATTTTCATAGGATTCGCCTCGAGGAAGGACCATAACACTTTCCCTGCCTTCTGTTTCTCTCCTATCCATTGTCGAAGGCCCAGCAGTAGAGATGCGAAAATTTTCAACACCTCTGCCAGCATGACTGCGACTTGCGTGTCGTACTTGATCTCGTAGATTTTTGTCAACCCGATGAGCGTACTCTGCCCAGCGTAGCCGAGGGCGGCGAGAAAGGCTGCCAGAACGCCATACCACCATGACGAAGCGTCAGCGGCAACGGCGGCCATTTTTATGCTAGGAGATGGAGGAACAAGGGGTTTTTCTTTGATTCATTTGTTGTCATTTCGTAGTGAACAAGAGTTTCCGAAGTTTCTGATCTTCGAAATCACGCTTCGTTAAAGAAGAACGTTTCCACAAACTTGGTGAAGAAACCCGCACCAAAAGGGCGCCGCCTCGCTTGCGGATGTCGATCATACGGCCAGAGCCGGAATATCAACACAGATGATCTAGAAGCTGTATGGAATAGATGGGTCTAAAACTTGTAGGATCTTCACGAAGAAGTAGGTCGTGTAGGACTAGCATGAACAAATTCCATAAAACTTGTTGTTCTTAGAACCTGTGTATGCACATGTCTCAGGTATGAAAAATCCTTGGACGCTACAATGTCGCAATCGAAGATGTTGATTCCGAGCCCAAGCATATCAAGTCCATGAAGGTAGTCAGCATACTCCTTGTTGTACTTCCCAAACTTACAACTATACCCATACTCCTTCTTGTTGTACTTCCCAAACTTACAACTAGGAGTTACAGCATACTCCTTCACCTTCTTGTACTTCTTCTTCCGAATATGAGTTGTATCACAATCAACTACTTCTAGGAGTTATCAACAAGTTCTGCATTCGCAGCGACTTGGATCGTTGGTTCCACTTTTTTCGCTTGCCTTTCCTCTAGTGTTTTCCTCGAATCCAACACGCGTTGGACGATCGTCTCGCTAGAAAAGACATTCTTACCGTCTACCCAGACGTCGAATGTTAGAAGTTGCCGCTCCTGACTACGACGGACGAGATGGAAAAGAGAATCTTCGAGTGAGGTTCTTGTAGACAGTAGAGAAAAGAGAATAGAAGAGTGAGGTTTGATCATCATGTTGATCAGAAGTGTCTACAATCATGTCTACCTCATTTACTACAATGTTGTTCTCGCACTCGCAGCACTCGTCGCAACATGTTCATTCTTGATCAAAATCAGTAAATAGTTCCTGTCATAAAATCTCCTCTTCAGTAGTCGCATTGTACACGAAGTCCGGATGGTGTTTGATACCGTATACCGTGTCAATTCCCAGAGAGCGACGCAGATTAGAGGTAGGTTTTTGGTGCTCGCTTACCCCGCTTTTTATGCCTTTCTCCCTTAGGAGAGGCATAAAAAGCGGTAAGAAAAGCACCTTTAACCTACCCTTAAGCAGAGTCTCATCCACCGGATTCAAGACGTCTAGAACCACGTCATCGACACAACGCAGACTCAGGATGCTGAGGCTTAGAGGGTGTTTGATGAAAGAAGCTATAGCACTTCTAGTATGTTCTTGCACTGGAACCACGAGGACGATGGATGAAATTATCATTCTCGATTTGCAAGAACATTCAATTCATCAGAACGGATTGATTCACGTAGATAAGAAAGTCAAAGACTGAGCTCCTGCCTTAATATACCACGTTCGTGCAGGCTCTGCAGACAGCGGAATCTGTCTTCGTGTATTGAGGTGGACGACTGTTCTGGATCCGGTAAGCTGCTGACAACCGATGCTGAGGATGGCGTTCTTTCTAACGCACCATCTTCTTTCCCCTTTTTTGAACCATCCTCCTGGTTGTTCTTGTTTGATGCCGATGCGCTCCTCTGCGCGGTCGTTGCCGAATAGCTAAACAGCACGCCCACTACCAAAAAGACGTCTTGCACACTTTGCAACTGTTTTCGATCCCTCTCAGTTTCTAAGATCAAATGCAATAGGTCAAGATAACCCACATGAAACAGATCAAAGCAGCCTTGGACGTAAACGACTGACTTGCACATTGTCCTTGGCCTTCCAGGCAAGAAAAAACGGCTTATTCTTGATGTTGTCGCATTAATGTACTGAATGCTCGCTCTGTCCTGCTGCGACAGGATTGCTTCGCCGAGAGAACGATGCTTTTTTTGCACTTTTTTGCGCTGGGCTTTGGCACTCCCACTCCTACTTGGCGAGCCGTCTTGCAGTTCTTCTAACGAACAAGATGACTGATGCAAAAAGCGGGAAATCATCAAGGTAGTCGAGATTCCCTCAGTCCGACGCAAAGTCTTGAACCTGCCTTGTTTCTTTGCGTATCCGAAAATGTCGTTGCCGCTAACTACGACTTCATCGTCACCGTGCCAACAGTAGGCGCAATTGTACTTCTCCGGCTCGACCGTATCATAAGCCACGCCGTGAGCAACTTCGTCCACAAATTTGCAACCTTTGATTTTAGTTGTTCGACATCACAATATACAAGACTTCTTCTAGTAATTCTACTTAGAAATTAAAATTCAAATTAGACTTCTTACCCAACAAAAGCCTTTCCTTCTCCGTCTCATCCAGGATACACACTCCCCCCTTCACCCTCAAAATTTCCGCGTTCGGATGTATCGCAGCCACTACATGCACATTTGGCGCGCTCTGCTTCACCTGTCTCAACGCGTTCAAATGTCCAAAATGCAAGAGCTCGTAACACCCAGAGAGCATATGCCGCTCTGAAGGTCCTGCTCTACTTAGACCTTACCGATATTTTTCACCTTAAAGTCTCCCATCTTCGACGGATATTCTCCATGAAATCGTGTCAAAGATGCCTCTTATAAGATGAATTTTTACGGCAAGCCATAATCTACCGCTGGTGCCACTTTCAGGATAGAGCGGCGTCTCAGACGCAGGAGGACCTAGCATCGTGTCGGAAACCATTTTGGTTGTGATATAATTTGCTCAAATCAGTAGGCGACTCTCATCAAAGTGAAACGATCATAATCAGTTTTCGTTATTCTAGTACTACTATAAAAGTACAACCTTTGTCGGACGGTTCCCTGTCTGCACACGACAGTAATGACTGGATAGTGTAGTTCATGAGATAAATCACTCTCCTGGAGGCAAAAAGCCTTTAATATGTTGAGTCTCGAGGAGCGTCCTCGCCAATCTCCATAGCTCAGTCTAAGGAATCCGATCAGTCTCAGAATCCTCGTCGTTGAAGTCCTATGGTCCTTCTCTCTGGCTCTCTCTCTCTCTTGTTTGTCTCTCTCTCTTGTTTGTCTCTCTCTCTCTCGCCGTTTCTGCACTACAGTTCTCGCGGCTCTCAAAAACACGTGTCCTTATTTAAGGAACTCATCAACAAGAAGAAGAACTCCGAGCTTGTGAAGTAGCTAGACATCACTGCGTATCAATGTTTCTGTGTAGCGTACTAAGCATGAAGATGACCACGAAAGATATTGCGCAAAACCCGGCATTGAGTTTTCACTTGTTTCACAGAGGACGAGCAGGCGATGATATAACATCAATCATGTTGAAAACTTTTTTGTTTGCGGAAGCAGTGCTCCTATCTCCCAATCCCAAATCATGAATCTTCTTCCTCAGCCATTTTAGAGCTCTCCCCTATTCATTCCTGTGGCAGATATCCCTGAAGCATATGCGTCCTCAGCGTTTCCCTTGTATTGGTGGCGCATATCTATGTTTGAGGGATCCCTATAGAGGAGATGGATTAGGGGAAGCCTTAACCATTCCACTGCATCGAGTGTTCCCTCACAATAGCTTCGTCGTCCGCAGACATTGTGGTGAAAGCAAAACTCGACACTCTCGCTGTTGGCAGAGGCAGAAGTTTTCAACTTGTAAGTATGGAAAGCGTGTCCTCCTAGGCTTGCTTCCGGCACACCCATTTCCTGCATGGCAGATTTGTCGTCACGTACTGGGGTTAGAGAAGATTTTTGATAATGAAAGAGAAGAAGAAGATGAAAAACAGAAGAAGTTGTACTTCTGATGAAGAATGAAAAAATCAACATCAAAGTTTAATATTCAGCACTATCAGAATCTTAGACAGAATTACCATTACGCCTCAGTCTGGTTCTAATTTTGTGTTTCGTGTTTTGTTATCGGACCTCTACTTTTTCGTTTTGCTTCTCTTCGCTCAGCTCCTCACTTAATGGAATCGAAAGAATGCACTAGTACTATCACTTCTATCTTAACTTTTCAATATCCACAACCGCAAAATCCTTCCTTCCGGCCAACGTCGCCAGATGTCCACATACTGCTTTCGCAGTGCCCGATGTGTCTTTCTTCGTCTTCTGATGTGATTCTTTTATCGACAAATCGTAGCCGGCAAAAGCGCCAGGAAACGTCTCCGCAGCATAGGCCATCATCGCTTGAAACGCTACGATTTGCTTGTTCATATTTGGCGCAATCACTGCGTAACATGTTGGTGACTTTTCAACCAAACCTGTGAGGGTCTTCGGATCTCCGGCAAAGCCTGTGGTTCCGAGAACGAAAGGGATACCGTATTTAGCGTATAGAGTAACGTTATTTTCGACCGCGGATGGAGAGGTGTAGTCGATGATCAGCAACTCCTTGTCTTCCCCGTTTGCATCTCTGCTTTTACATGCAAGTGTCATCGCCTCTTCGTGTTTATCCTTAGGATAAAGTTCCACTTCGCGGCTTGACGACGCACCACCTCCAGAAGCAGCGATCTCAATTTTCTCACCTCGAGAACCAGCTAGTGAGACGGGACACAATTCGAAGCCCCGCTCTAGAACGATTTCAGCACAGCCAAGTGCCATTTTCCCTGGCAAACCGTTCACCATGACGACCAGTTTCTTCTTCGAAGACATGCCTTGGCCAGTTTCGTTGCCTGCTTGTTCTCCGGAGAATGCACCCATTTTCTTCTCTCTTGTTTGAAATTTCAATTTGCCTTTGCGTATCATGTGAAAGTCAATTTTTATGAAACACTTCTTGCTGAAGTAGATAGTCGTGTCCTGACGGGAGAGCCGCTGGTGCTGAGCTCTTGATTTGACAGGTGGCAATAGGCTTACTTGTTCTCTTTCATTCTTGTCAGAAGGATCGATTTTTCTCCAGCAGGTTTGGGTTATTTATGAAGCAGGGCTGATTTCATCTTCATATGTGGAACACGACTTCTGGACTCTAGTAGAGATAGATTTTCATGGTATTTGATGAGGTAAAAATTTTGTCGCACTCGCAGAGGACCACGCACGAGAGTCTTTCAATATTAACCATTATAATCGTGAAAAAAATCGACATGCTAGAGAAGTGAAGAGAAGTTTATCCTTCCGATATAGGGTCCGCCACCTGCGATGCGGAAAGGAGGAGGTTCTGAGAGGGGCTTCCAGTATGACACTTCCTTGTCACTGCTTGGGTGGGCATCATTATTTGTTGGATTTTCTATTTGCCCATAGTAAACACATGACGTTCCTTTCGCAACATCATGATTATCCTGGTCCTCGATCGCAACAGTGTCGGCTGCGCCCGGTATAATACGAACATCTCCTTCCGCCTCTGCTGCCTGCGCATCACCATGATCACATACTGCCGCTTCTTCTTGCTCCTCCGCGTATGTCGGAAACGTTATTTCGAAAAACACCGCCAGCTCACTATCACTAGGATTATGAAGCTGATGCAGATTCCTTTCTGGCGTTACACTGAAGATTTCACCAGGGCTGACGGTTTCGGGCCTTGCGATTCTGGTACTAGTAGGGGCCAATGACGATCCACCATCCGTCGGAATTTCCCCACTTCCTCCAACGCCTGCCGAAGATGAGGTTGATGTTCGAGTGGGCTCTTTGTCCAATTCTTCCGCTTGTTTTTTGTCTACTTCAACAACACATTCCAACTTCCCACTAAGCAGCTTCCCAACAACGTATGCTGGATGACTGTGCATTGGTATCGTCTGTCTAGGCATTAACGTCCACAAACTAGCACTCGCCATTCCTTTTGGCGCTTCCCACACAGTTCCTACGATGGCGGTGAGACCAGCATGTTGACCGTGCTGGTCGTCTTCAACGCCATCTGCTTCTCCTGTTGGCTCATTAGGAGCTACCTCGGATGACATCACGCTGTCTAAACAATGTCTGATGATGCTATTCCATAGTGGGAAGGATGCTGGTTGCGCTTCCACCTGATCCTGCCCTTCTTGGGCGGGAGGCTCATCAACAGCAGATCCCTGTGTAGGAGGTTCGAGCATATCCCGAGGATGAACCGAATCCCGTAAAATGGCTTGTAACTCATCGGAGATTTTGCGCAGATTTGACATAGTTGTAGGGGTGACGAAAACACGCCGCAAGCACTCAATGAGGGGGTGCTGCGGACGTGCGAGTGATGTAGTTTCCATCTCCTCCATTTTTGTCGTGTCAGTGTAAAATGATGATGAACTAGTACATGATGAACTGAAATGAGCGACCTGAGCTTGACCTTTACGACATCTTGCTAGAGAAGCAAGAGTTCTTGTAGGTCTATTTAACACAACACGTGGGGTGTCTTTGCGCCGGGGATATAGAGTCAACACGTTAGTCGTAGATGAGTTCAATTGCATCAGTTTACTTGATACTGATGTTTTTCTAGTAGAAGCAAACCTGAATAGGGGGGGAATCATTTTGCGCTATACATTGATGCTGGGTGGGGGAACAACGATGTGGGCGCCTGTTAATTGCATTTGAAAATTTGTGAGAAAATAAAGGTTCACAAAATCGGGATCAACGACGAGGCTAGCTCGCTCCATGGTATCTTTCGTGGTGCTACATGAAACACGAGAAGCGCAATCTATGGAAACAACTCTCTCGGGTCTACAACGGTGCACGAACAACACCACACCTCTTGCTTTCATCTTTTCACGCATGAAGCTGGCGACCAACATTGACGTTGCCATGACGTTGTTGTACTCAGTATTCCTTACTCATGCACATGCAGGTTGTTCAACAAGATCTGTACAGACTATGATCAGGCAACAAGCCGAAGCCCAAAGAATCGCCAATAAGAAGTTCTCCCCGAAAAGGGATGATACTACATGCAATAAAACCGGAGACTGAGACTGAGCAGACATTGGATCAACTATAAACAAGCTGCTACGTAGTACTGTTTTCTGCAAAACCAAAACCTGACTAATTTCTTCATCTTTGAGTCTCAGCATACTCGCAACTAAGAACTTCTCTAATATACTTGGTGATGGTTAACTTTTCTTTACTTGGTGCTGCACTACCTGCATTGAGCTTTCCTATAATATTAAGGCATCATGCACGCTATAATGATGTCTATGCAGTAGTGAATATATTGAATCCACCCGTAAAACTTACTTCACTTTGATGTCGAAGGTCAAGAAGAGCAAGCTTGTCACGACATGCACACGAGGAAAAAAGAACAGAAGAAAATATTCACATCAACTTGATTAGTACTCGATGAAGGTGCATAATCAAAGAATAAATTGATTGTGTATCCTATAATTATGATAATCATCATGAATCACATGATAAAGGGGCTTGGACTCCAAGTAGAAGAAGACGCGACAACATCAACGTCCTTATATATAGGAACAATACAACAACAACCGGCGACAAAAGGAAAACCTGCGCTCAGAATTCGTCATGCTATGTATATGATCGACGGTGCCCAAAGCGGTCTACTCGTCTCGACCTACTATATGATCGACGGTGCCCAAACCGGTCTACGCCCGAAGATGGCTGCTGCGCGGTCCCTTAGTCCCTGAGGAACAAACCGGAAGGTGGTCCCACTTTCATCGCTATCTTCAGATAAGGACGATAATTCATCTCCTGCTGAGACTGAGTCTTCACTGACTACCGTGCTTCCTCGAGTCGAGTGCCGACTTGAGAAGCGCACGCTGCGAACTTTCTGGAGGATGGATTGATGGGGTTCTTGTTGAGCTGGTGTTTTTAAGCAGGTCTCCTCTACTGCTCCAGTGGTAGACGGCACCGGCGCCGACGAAATGTAGTTTACTCCCATAGGATGACTATCAAGAATGAAGCTTACGTCACTGACATCCAGAACGTTTGAGGGACCAACGCGACTGTCTCGAGCGTGCTGATCCGCGGCAGAAGGAGCGCCGCTCGAACTGACCAAGTCCGTGATTCTTAGAGATGGAGGAGGAAATATTTGTAGTTCAGCATGTTAAAAACAGGAGCATGTTGAGTTATATATTTAGCGATCTTGTTATTGTTTCATCATTGTTTCTGTCAGACTGAGTTTGTTAGTATCTTGATCTAGTTGTAGTTGTACTCTAGAAGTACAACAGTTACAGTTGTACCAGAAATTTGCAGTTCTTGATGACCATTTCTGGCTGCCTTGTATAAGGTTCAATACTTCTTGTTCTTGAACTTGTTGCGTACGACTACGAAATTTGTTAACCTGATTTCATCTTAACTTCGCCTGCGACGCTCGAGTCTTCTTTCCCGTACTTGCACAAGGACAGCAGATGTTTTTCGCTGTTCTAGAACCTCCAGACACTGTGGACTTCACGTTCGAGACTGTCTTCATCAACATAGTCCGTCTGCCTCCCTCAGCTTCACGGGTTATTAGAAGGTGTACAGCTTCTTCTTGGTGCTGTTGCATAAATATTATAAATATAGCATGATATTTGTAGCATGTTTGTAGTTCTTCTGACTTACTTTTTTTAGGGTGCATCATGGAGTGCATCGCCCACTGGATGGACATGGACAGATCCGTGTGCCTGTACGTAGTCGTGAAACAACTACTGCTAAACGAATACAAACATTCAAACTATCGAAGCAAAAGCATAACTTGAGTTGTCTCATTCGCCGTCGATGTTCTTTACGTTGCTGTGCTTGATGAATTTTCTGTGCCTTCAGCACTCCACGACAAAAGACTGCATTTAATTTGTCCGAGAACTTGAATAAGACAGACAAATTCGTCAAGTCAGGATCGTCCGCCATGTACCCGTTGTAAAGCCTCATCTTCACGAGCATCGAGAAAATCACGTCGATGACGATGAGGACTGCAAAAGAGGTATTGATGAAGCCGTCGAAGACCACGAACATGATAGACGCCACTAAATCAGCACCCGTCATGGTCATATCTATGAAACCCTCGCCTTCCTCCAAAACGCCTAGGAACAGCAGTAGAAAGGATATCCTATGCAGCCAAAATGTCCACCCACGCGTCACCAACATTAGAGCTCTCCCCTTTTCATCGATCCCTGTGGAAAAGGAAATCCCTCAAGCATAATATGCGTCGGTATCTCGTCCTTTGCTTTTTCGGGGCGCATATGTTTGAGGGATCCCTATAGAGGAGATGGATTAGGGGAAGCCTTAACAACATGCAATCTTTTGTCTTCGTACACAAGTGTTTGATCAATGCCGCTTGTACCATGGTGTAATCAGCAATAGCACCCCCTTCTTCCTCGGATTCGTCTTCGTCATCCTCATCTCCATAACGACTGTTGTAGTAGGTATTTCGTTGTAAATCTCCTGTAGGATCAGCAAGAAAGTCTCCATCATCTGTAGTTCCTGTTGATGTCTCTCTTCCGATTTGAATTTCTTCACGGTTTATTCCATATTTAACTAAGTCGGGATGTGGTGGAAGCTCGTTGGTTGGATCACCAATTATAGAGCCAAGTTGCTCATTGCCGCTACCAGTTGAGAAACTACTACGACCACCTCCTCCCATCTTCGCAGTTCCAGCACTTGTATTTCGTGTAAAACGTGACGGAGATGACGACGAGCCTCCACCTCCTCTACTGTTATTCGGCGAGTTCGAGTAGTCGGGGCTATAATTACCTTCTCCATGATTACCTCCGTAGTTAACGCTACCTCCACTAGGACTCCGGTTCAAACCGGAATTGGACCTTTTTAAAGCTGCTTTCTTGCTTTTTCCCGCGACATTCCGATGATGAGCACCGAGAAAACCGGAGCTAATGAGCGCGTTCGTTTTGATCGTCGAACCATTCAGTAACTTGTCCGCGACAGCACCATGCCAAACATCCGTTGTTCGCTTCTTTTCTCCAGACGAGGTGGTGGTTGATGTCTATTTTAGAAGTTAGTAGAGCAAAGGAGGAATGAGATTGAATAAAAGCGAGCAGCCGAGATGACATGCTCCATTTCTTATGGTAGTTAGGAGACAAGGACTAGGCCTAGGACATGGACACCTTCCTCTATTCGTAAATGTTTGGCATTCATCGCTGGTATGTTGTTCTTTGTTGATCTGGTGTTACGACCTGCTCCTCCACCAGATGTAGATCCTACTGTAGTCCTATTTGTACTAGTAGTATTCACAGTAGCCCGATTTCCACCTTGACTGGACACGGAAGGCGAACCCCTCTGCATCAGATGCATGCCTTCAAAATAGGAGGCACCAGTCGAGCTCCCGCCAGACGGGACTCCCAATATGGCGCTATCGCCCACCCCAGTAGCCGATGTTCTTGTTGATGGCACTACATGGTCCCCACCTCCTTCGCCCTCGTCCAGAATAAGGGTCAGAGCATGGTCTACTTCATGTTCATTTAGGGCACTTCTCATCGTATCATCAGGATTGTCTTCTTCATCTTCTTCTTCTTCTTCAATTCGCGTAATATTTGGTGCCAATGTTGGTCGTGTAATATTTGCATTTTTGTTTCCACTAGTAGACGAAGTCTCTATATTTTTCAGTGTCGGATTCGCGGAGCCGCCAGCTGCTCCTGCGAGAGTCAACAGCGACGTGAATCCGCTTGAATCCTGTCTTCCCACTTGAAGGTTCCCTTCCTTGACGTTATCGTCATTAGAAGCGCCAAAGTCAAGAACATACAAAAGTAAGGTTGGATCGATACAGAGGTAGAGGGTCTCACTTGCATCTTTTAAGGTTTTAGTTTTTCTCTTAACTTCACGCTCACGACCGCTGCCATCCAACTCGACGTCCACATTGCTTTCACCTTCTAGTTCATCGTCGTGATCACCCCCTTCTTGGCTCCAGATGCTTTCTCTTGCGAACTGTTGCAACGCTTCTCGTCTTGCCGCTTCGTCGTTTTCTTTTCTCTGTTTCCTGGCCAATAGAGACTCGAAGATCTCCTTTCCGAATGCCTCAAAAGCCCCTACTTCACGCATCGAGTACCAGGCACCCCAGGAAAAGAGGACGCCGTACAGAACGTAGCACAAGCAGCCCCAAAACAGCGTGTCAGAGACGACCGCGTGAGCAACCAGGGAAAGCATCGGCCAAACACCAATGCCGATGATTAGGAGAGGTGCTGCGGCCATTATGAAGTAGGGAAAGATCGTGAACGGAAGAATCTCGGTGGTGTGGATAGCCGCAAGAATAATGCCGGGTGTAATCGACAACGCCAAGACGATCACTGGTGTGTTCAAGATAACGTCCATGTAGAGCCGAGCAGGTAGGAGGAGTCGGTCGCAGAATTTCTCACCGGATAGACAGAGTTCGTCACGATCCGCAAACACGATATGATACCACGGCAGATAGGAAAGAAACGAGACCAAGCTGACCTTGGCGATGAAGCCCCGCTGAACCCAAAGGGCGCTGTGACAGTAGTCGCACCTGGTCAAGAGAGAAAGGGCCTCTGTGCTTGTTTTTGTGCGCTAAATCTAATGAGCTTGATGACAACGAGAGGAGAGGGTCATAATTGAACCACTGGGGCATCTGTTTGCCCTACTTCTTCCGCAGCTCACTGAGCCGGGCTATTGCTAGCTTCCTACCTACGACGTTTATCAATCAAAGTGGGTAAGATAAATTGATATGGCAAAAGCCTGCTGCCCTCTTCTTCAACGTGGGCGCCACCTGGGGCCGCTCCCTATTCTCTTGGCTTCCGACCGCCCGCGCGCGTGTTTTTTTACTCTTCGCCGATGGATTGCAGCGACGTTGAAGCCGGGGCCTGTTGCGGCTCCGCCTCACGCCTGCTGCTTCGTGTTTCCATCATCATGCACAAAGCGCGCTCTCCAGTCCAACTCCAACTCTTTCCGAAGAGAGACGAATTCTCACAAGGGGAAGCTCTGCACCCAGAAACTGCCCGAGCCCGCACCGGCGCAGCGAATGATACGAGCCTCGCCCGCCCGCTGCCTGCCTGCGCGCCGGCGCGAACCGTTGACCAAAGTGTTCGAAGGCTTCCGAGAGAAAGCAAGCACGCCCGCAAGGTAGCGCAGAGGGACAACCAGAAGCCACGCCCCTCGCTGGTTTAGCCCGCCGCGGGGTATTTATTTGCGCCATTGCAGGCCGGCCCTCTCGCTACCTCGCCCAAACATGCCCGACCACGTACCGACATGGCCCACGCTGGTCGCCGATGTCATAGAACAACAACAGCCGGGACCTCCGGGAGCCCATTGCGATCGCGATCCATTTAGCCGGCCGCAAACTTGCGGGGCAGCTGGGTAGCAGCAACCTTGGTAGCCCGCACGCCGCCGTCTGATCTGTTACCCGGGGCCAGCTCGCAAGCTTTGCGCGTACGCTCGCCCCCCCTTTCGTTGTACGGGACCGCCGTGTAGAAGTTTCGAAGCCCGGCGCCGCTTGTCGTGCAACTGACTCAGAACGACTCCAAGCATGTCCCATCGAGCCCACCCGTGCGCCACGCCTCGGAGACGCGGCGCGCTCCAACCTGCTGGCTTGCGCCAGGGTTGCCATTTTTTGCGAACAAGACCCGGCGCACCGGTCGGAAGCCCCTTAGGTGGACCGCGCCGCCCCCTCCGCATCGAAGGCGCTACACCGTTGACGGTCTGCGGCCTGCGTCTGAACAGAATTTGAAAGGGCGGATGAAAAAAAGGAAGAAGTACCAGAATGCCGCTCCGCGGATTCCGCAGAGTAAGGTGATGAGGGCGAGGATGAAATTCCTTATGCCCATCAACGCAGAAAATTGCTGCACCCGCTCCGCGATGATTATGGCATCCAGTAATTGATTTATACCTTGAGCAGCTAGCTGGCCAGCTCGGTCTCCCATGTAAGTCGCATTGATTATTCCTGTATTTGAAGATGTTGATAGTGAAGACGAAGTGCTGTTGAGGTTGCCATGATTGGGGCCACTCGTTGTTGAAGGTGTAACATTCGCTGCGTGCGTCGACGTGTGATTGCCATCAATAGTTGTCGCAGGTTGCAGCTTGCGGATATTCAGATAATTGTTCATGTTGTCCATCTTCCGAACTGCACCAGCATGCTGGTGAAAATTCATCCCTCTACGCACTTCGGCTTCTGCTCTAGGCGGGTCGTCCTCTACGTCTTCAACCGCCCATGTCTCATCTTCTTCATCATTCAGTAGCCCTTCAACTGCATCTCCTACCGGTTGCAAAAATGGAAAGGCAATGATTGAGCTTCTTGCTCCCCATTTCTTACTGAGGAGTCGATACCACCCAAAACTTCTCGAAAGCGTTCCTGTCCAAGCTTGAAGTGCCTCATCTATCGATTCGGATAAGCTACGACACCAAGATACGGCTTCTACTTGCTTCGGTTCATCGTCTTCTTGGTTAGAGGTCAGTACTTCTACTTGTGGTGAAAATATTCTTCTTGAAGAGCTTGTCCTTCTGCGTGAAGATGAAAACATGACACTGTTGAGCGCCGTCACGGTCTTGGGAAACATCGTACTAGTTGCCGGAGGTTTATTGTCATCATGGGAAGGCAGCCCGTAACCAAAGGGCAACTCCTCTTTCTTTTCTGCGTACTTTAAGAGTGTCTGCAACAGTCGATTATGTGTGAATCTCTTATGCTGACCATCGAGAAAGTCGTCGTACGGAAGGTCGCGCGGTCGTATTCCTGTCTCGCCACCATGCTCAGCACCTCCTATTCCGTGTTGTAGTATCCGATGAAGAATACCTGGTGGATCATGCTGTAATTTTGTTTGACGAATGTGCAGAAAACGGTCGGGTCTCTCGTTTTGCTCACCTCGATGTTCTTCCCATTTCCACGACCACATAGTACTTCTACTTTTTTCTTCCGGTGTCGCTCTACCATTTTCTTGCTCATCATCATCATCATCTTGCTCTGGTGACGTTGCAGGGACCGAGTCAACATCTGTAGTTCTTGTTCCCGTGGTTGTAGTATGTGTATCTGCTCGTGGTCCACCAGAGCGGGAAAAACTATTTTTCAATACATTTACATTCATGATCAGAATTCTCGTCGTTGTTCTACTCCTACTAGGTAACTCACCTCCTCCTGGAACTACGGAAGATGAAGATGAAGAAGATAGCCGTCTGCCGGCTTCTCCTCCCATCGACACATCCACATCCTCCATCATGCCCACGCTTTGCCTCACCTCCCGCTGCGTCCGTTCACGTCTCCCTGACTCGATCAGATGCTCTAAAACTAATTTTGTTTCAGCCACTGCCGTTGCCAGCATGAGCCAAGCACTACTGCCTACAAATATCGTCAACACCGAGCGCCGCCACACCATGAATTTCTTCAAAATAGGGCTTGGCTGTAATTTTTCAGGCACGGTGCGGAAATGCGTCACCTCGTCACCGAAAATCGGCAGATCCATGAAGCGCATACAACGGCCACGAATGTTGACAACGCGTAAGCAGTGTAAAGCGAATTGAAAGCACGCGAGAAACTGCCACATGACTTTCTTTGGTATCCTATGAGCCAAGGTGAGCATTCCGCAACAATTGCTCTCGATAGCGTCAAAGTCAAAAGCTTCCTGCACTTCTTTTCCCCTCTTGACTAGTTCAATACCCGTCAAGGGTGGAGCATCTTCGACTTCCTCTAGCTCGTCTTCTTCTTGCATTTCCTGGAACTCATCTATTTCTTCATCTGCATGTGGTGCGTCATTGTAGCGTCCTTCAGCTTCCAGATCTTCATCATGATCAGTCAAAAGGGTAGGAGGACGATCCTTCGATCCTGCTATATTACCGATTTTAGCTTCAACTGCGCCTCCTACAACGGCTCGAGAAGTTCTAGCGCTTTGTCTCGCTATCTTCGACGCCCGACCAGTTGATGTGTTGGTATCCTTAAGACAAGCTGATCCATCTTCGATAGCAGCAGCATCACCGACCCACAAATTTTCGCCGACAATCGCGCTATCCCTACTGTTTCCAACTCCATCTAGAATCAGGGTTGCTTCGCCTGTACCTTCCCCTTCACCGGGCGACTTCAACATCGTTTCGAGTTCCACGCCTTCGCGCAGAAGTTTCGCTTGCCGCTTTTCCTCTTGCGATTTTGTGTAATCCGAGCGATCATAGCTTTCGACCCCAAGCCGTTTCAGCATATGCAAAACCGGAATGCCGAAACAAGAGCCGAATATGAACGCCAGGAGCATGAAGGCTGGCGCTGATATCCCGATATAATAGGTCGCCGTTTCGACGCCTGTGTTGAACTCATCGTCCTCTATCAACTTTGTGCCAATTTCAGGCTCTGCCGGTTCTAGAGTGAACCTTGGTCCCTGAGGACTACTCTGCAGCTGTTGTTGGGTTTCTAGGCGACGAAGGAGAAGCACCAGCTCTTGGGCTTGAAGTTCTTCATCTGATGAAGCTGGTGAGGTAGACGAGGGTGTTTGCTCAGAAGCAGATGAACTGTCCTCTAGGTCCTCGAGTGAAGAAGACTCATCTCCTTTTTCCAAGTTCCTTCGCGGGAGTAAGTTGGATATGCTGCTGGAGTTGAAGGTTGTCAAGTTCATCAGTAGACCATTGGCATTAATACTGCTTATTGCATTAATAACTGCACCACTTGCGGTAAGATTCAGATTGTTGAGTGATCCTCCAGCTCCGGCAACATCACTGCCACTACCAGAAGATGAGGACGAAGCAGTTGCCGTTCCATCTTGTTGTATTTCGATCAACTTCGTCGACCGCACTATTTTAATCACTGGTATCTTGCGACATCTTCGCAAAAGCACAGGCACACAAATCCGAAATACGATTTGAAATTTCAGAACTAACTCGTCCCCTATCCTTTCTGCAGGTAGCAACGGGATTGACTTCAAGCAGGCATCCGCCAGAGGTATGGTGTTTCCGCGAGCTGCAGTGCCTAAGACGATGCATGAAGAGTCTACGCCTAGCATTTCGCCACCCATTGGCAGGATGTGTCGCATCAAGACGGTTCCTGAACCGCGAAGAGCGAATGGGATCTGGTCATGCCGGAAATTGCGTTCTACGAGGAGGTCCGTGTCGTCAGTTAGTGTGAATTGCACCCCAGGGAGCCCGGGAGCTATTTCAGTCACTTCTGTTTTCAGAGCGAGTAAACGGTAAAAGGAAAACTGTGGGAAAACCATGAGACCAAGGTCGACGTAAGCAGACATGACATGCATTGCCTCGCGCTGCGGAGGACTAGATGAAGTCACCCCCGTGCCACTGGCTCCACCTCCAGACGCGCCACCTGCTCCAGCAACAGAAGTCGCCACATTCATTTCTTTGCCTTCTACAACAGGGCTGTAGTCCAACCGCACAAAGCTTTTCGGCGACAACAAAACGCAAACCTCATATGGGTTTCCCGCACTTTTGTCCGGATAGACCATAAAGGGCGTCACACCGCTATTCGCATGGTCGGGATACAGACAAGAATGGCCTACCTCTTGCGGCCTCAAAGCTCCTGGCAGGTTGCTGTCGATGCAGAAGCGATTGTCAGGACTCAGGCATTGTGCGGCAGGACAGCTGCACACGTTCTGAACACCACTAGCGACGCAGATAGATCCTGGAACGAGGGATTCGCATTCTTGATTCGTCGTGCACATACCACGTGAATTCGGAACGTCTCTAGCGCAATAGGCCACGATCGACCCTGGCTGCAATTGGACAACTTCAACAAGACCTTCCACTGCTGGACTGGCACTACCATAAACGAGCGATCCGACGTCGTCTCCGAGGGGCAGGGTTGAGGCTGAGGATGCGACGCTTGTTGCTGACGATGCAGCTGAAGACGATGCAGCAGATGAGGTCAACGCGGAGGATGCTGCTGAAGATGCAGCTGAGGACGCTGCTGAAGAAGCCGCTGACGCTTGTTGCTCAGCTCCTGCTTGAGCCAAGATGATCGAAGACAAATATCTTCTTGAAGATGAAGTCGATCTCGATGTAGGTGGTAGGAACGAAGCTGTAAGAGCAGAAGGAGCACTGGCAACGTCAATGTCGTTGGCGGTAAACGTTTTGGAGCGATCATATGCCGGTTCGCCAGGCAGTAGGGTCAAAGTTCGCGCTGCTCCGTCAACAGTTGCTAGTGTTTTTTGATAAGCCACGAAGTCCTCTCTGCCGAAGTAGACTCGGAACTGCAGGGAACCAGAGTCCTCGTGTTGTGGAAACAGTAAGCAGATCCGCACATTATTCCCAAAGAATCTGCGACAGAAGTAGGAATTCAAAGGCAAGTGATACTCAAACTGCGTGACTCCCGGTATTTGGGTTTGGATTTGTGGTGAAGAAATGGTGACGTGAAGCGTGTTCGTGTATGGACCTGGCAGTATCGAGACTCGGATCTCGACTACGAAAGAGCTTGGTAGCTGAACTTGTGGTGCTCCCTGTATTGAGTCTGGCAGTCTAGAGAGCGAATTCTGAAACAATTCCGTAGCCGATGATGAAGGAGTGATCGTCACTGTGAAGACAGCTGTATCTGAGTTTGCGTTGCTAGACGCTGAAGGTTCAGCGACTGCAGTGAAAGCGATTTCTGCACCTTCACCAGGTCCAGGGATCAACAGTCGCGTGGCAGAATTCACACTGTTAAATGCTGTTGTCAACGAAGAAGATGAGGCTTGCGGCACTGCAGCTGGTACTACAGCCCCCATCGTCGAGTGGTACATTGTTGAAACCGTAGAAAAGGCTACCTCTGGTCTCAAAGAAGCTAGAGACGAAGATGAACCCGAGTCCTCTCGTCGTCCTAACGCAGGAATCATCTTAGAGGGTGTCATTGCATTTCGTAGAGCAGCTTTGCCAGTCCACTCTAGTCGCAAACGTGACCGGAGAAACTCTCGACCCCATGCACAACGGCCATCATGATCACCTTCATTGCAAAGTGCATTAACACAAGTTTCCACACGATCAGCCGCGCTCGCAACTTGACACTTACCGGACACAGGACCCTGAGATAATGCATAGCTATCAATCCACGCTTCATACGTGCTCGAAAAGTGGGGCACATTACTGCATAGACTGAGTTCGCCTATTTCGAATGCGTTACAACCGAGATCCTGGACTACTCCATCTCCAGGTCCACCTGCTTCTCCCAAAGAAGATGTTGATGCGTCTATCCCTATAATCGCAGACGATGAATCGCACAAGGTATGCTCCCTCACTCCTTTGAGCGTAAATCCTGGAGGACTGCCCTTCACTGGATCCTGCTGTGTATGGAACGAGTCGCCGAAGCACTTTGATGTATGTGGATACGAATAGACAGGCGATACCGGAGGTGCGGCAAACATCACCAGTCTGCCAAATTCCACGTCTAAACGGTGGACCCAAGCAAGCGCTGCCCCAAAGCCGTGACCAGTTAAGTAGATCTGTTGACACTTCCTCTGCGCGAAGTCGAGCCATGAAACTTTCCACTCTGGGTGAGACTTGTAGCGAGAATAGGCAGCGGCTACTGTTTGGAGAACTTCGTAGCCGTTGACGATGCTGCGGCCACGTTTCCAGGAGAACCAAGAGTCGAAGCCTTCATTGCCTTCTTGTGGTTCACCCTGCAGGAGCACTTGAGTCTCTTTGTGATCCGGAAAAGCAAGAAGACAAATCTTTTGTGTCGTGTTAGCGAGACCAGTCACAGGATGTTCAGCACTCAAGGTGACACTTTTCTCTGCGACTGTTGCACAAGATTCTGGCGAAAAATGGGGATGCTGTTCATTTGGCGCCGTATTGAACAAGCAGAGTCGTTTTTTCGTGATCCAACCGTCTTCCTCGTAGATCGAGCCGGTCATCACATTCGGCGTCGCTGCTCCGAGACCTGAAAATCTCTGTAGTTGTTGTAGGATTGTGCGTTGCTCTGGCACGACTGAAGATGAATCTCCTGAAAAGAAGCTATACAAGCTTGGATAGCACGATCGATCTTCGCCGGCTACAACTTCTGCAGTCAATAAACTTGTCTCACTTGTTCCGCGAATAAAGCATTCGAATCCGTCTGGACATGTGACGAAGCGGCACTCATCATGTGGCTGAGCGGACACAACGGCGTCGAAACCTCGGAAGTTGCTTGCTCCCCCACCCCCGATCATCCAAGATCCATCCACGATGCGCATCGTCTTGGCCAGTGAGTCAAGCGCCGCAAGCGGAAAAACACGCTTTTCCTCGTAATTTTGACCCCCGGGTCGGGGGCCTCCTCCAGCAATAATTGTTCTTTTTACTGCAACAGCCAAGACGCTTTCAGTGCTGCTCAGAACTGACGAGAGCCTTCTCCTTCTCGTGCCGCTGCTCAAAGCTGTACTAGTATTGTACACTTCTTGTCCCAAAGTCCAAGTGGCTGGCAAAGGGATGCCTTCAGTACTGCGTTCGACACAAATAGAAAACGCACCGCCAGGCAGACATCGCTCTTGACCTGAGTCCAAATCTATGTCAGCCATTCGATACCCACCGAGGTCGAGCTGAACCCTCACGTCGGAACGCGCTTCGTCTTTCAAAAAACGAATTCGAAGTCTTTGCTTGTGCAGCTGATGTTGTGCTCCCTCCTGGCCAACTTGTTGGCCGCTTGCACCGATGTCAAATAGATCCACAGTAACATTTACACTACACCTATAGTCCGAGGTGCATACAACTGACGATGCGAAGTAGCTATGCTCGTGGATCGCTGAACAGGCTCGCAGCGCTGTTGTCGTATGCTCCAAAGTGCGACTTGCATATTCATCACTAGAACCGTGCCAAGTACGCATCAAACAGGGATGTGGAGTAGGCGTCTCGAAAAGCTGGATGGATGGAGAGGACAAGGATGCGGAGCTGCCACTAAGCCGTAGTCGTCCGATGATGACAGATTTTGTACCTCTGGCTGATGTGCGGAGACCGGGAATGGTACTTGATGAGGAATAGAGTTGTCGTTCTGCGCAAAGCTCCACTCCCAGGAAGGCATCGTCGAGGCTTGCACATGATGAGGGATTTTTTACGAGAGAGTAGACCTCGTCTTCCTCCACACCAGTCTCAGACTCTAGGAGAGCCCCCGAAAAGGAGTTCGTCCGTGTCGTTCCTATCACGTTGCCATTCGTCAGCACCAACTCCAAACCTGACATGCCACTATCCAAAATGCCGAAAAAACTACTCACAAGAAGTCGGTTGGGTAGAAATTCGGAAACAAGATCGATGCGAAAAGCGTCGCTTGTCGTGGAAAAGGGAGGTGAAGAGCCAAAGCGATCACGAAATGCTGTCTGCACAGCCCACGCATCAGTAGCACCTTTGTTTATCGCAGCCCAACGTTGCGCTAGTGGTGTAAGACTGCTAGCGGAGGCGGACGCAGTCGCAGTGGCTGAAGAGTCGCCAGAAGAGGGCATCTTCCTAACCACCTCCGCACTGAGGTGCAAAAACAGCAACAGGAAAGCACGAAACGGGTACTCTTGAGGTGCAGCGCAGGTTGCCGCTGGAGAAAGGTGAGCAGCCCAGGCAAAAAGATGCGCTGTTGTAGATGTGGTTGAAGAAGAGTTGTAGTTGCTATGTCCACTGTGTATATCTTCAGACAGCGTTCCACTTGTTCCACTGGCAAGAAAGGCTGCTTCTAACATATTCTTGTGCTCCATCGACTCAAATGGCAGAAAATTCTTGCCAGCAAAAGTCTCTGCGAGTGTAATTAGGGGACTGGCCAAGTCGGGAAATCCGCGTCGAAACTGCACCATTGCCAGGGACAGGAGGACTTGCTCCACGTGTTGACTTTTCTCGATTGCGAACTTCGTTTTTGTGCTGGTGTCGCAACACGTCTTATTCCCGGAAATGCTCGCAGCACTCGTAGAAGTCAGATTTCGCAAATTCTTGTCGTCATAGTAGGATGAGAAGTCGAACCTCGTAGTAAAGTCGTCTGCCCAAAATGCTTGAGTCCATGTGTTCATGAGCAAGTCCAGCGATTTGAGTAATGTCGTTTCGGATGGTGTGAGGATAGAAGCTACTTCCCCATTGCCATGAGAACGACGCGCTTCAATGACTGCATTCACGACAGTCGTGAAAGCTTGCGAACTTTCTGCAGCAGTCTGCGTGACAAGATCGAGGGCTATGCCGTAGTGGAGTGCAGCAAGCATGGTGGAGTTTGATGAAGAAGATCGTCCGAAGATTGCATCTTCCAGGTGCAAAGATGAGTCGTCGATCGCAGTGCAAAGAAACGTAGCTAGCACGGCGTTGCTTGCAGCACAAGATGCCACTTGATCCAGAAGGCTCAAGATGCTGCTGGTTCTTTGTGCCAATTTCGTCGCTACCGCTGTTGCCGTTAGTTCTGGCACAGCTGCAGTTAGATTGAGGCGTGATATCACGTCATTGACAGCTGCTGCGTTTACTGTCTGGATCGGTGGCGTGGAGGACCCTGAGAAAACGGTAGCCTGCTCAAACACAATCTGTTTCACTCGATCCACACACGCCGTGTGTTCTTGCTGCCGCTGGATTACGTCAGAAGGCGTTTGCAGTAATGATGACGCAATCGGTCGTCTTGGCTGCTGAATCAAAGACGCGGATGAAGATATCGGTGAGATCTTTGCGCCAGCTTGTGGTGTCAAGACAAGACAGGAGGCTTCATCTGTAGAATTTCTGAGGGCGTTTGGTGAAGGTGGTACGACAGCCAGGGGATAGCGGTATTTCTGCTTCTCGTTTGAAGTTGAAAGTCCAGAAAAACATATGTGTGAAGAAGGGATGACGGCAGAAGTTGTTGTAAGTAGAGCAGCATCAGCATTTTGGAAGTACACTTTCTGCACATTCTGACTGAATGATGGCGCAATCGCGGAAACGGCTTGCAATTTCTCAGCTAATTGAAGCGCGGCTTGAGAGGCGGCTTGAGAGATGAGCGTAGGAGCTAGCTGAAGCTGCCCTCCTCCTGGAAATATGAGCTCGTCCATGCCAGGGTCAGCAAAAACAAAATCGATAGCACCTCCGAATGTTGAAGATGTGTCATTCCTTGTGGCCTCTGCCACCTTCAGCATGAGTGGTGGTGCAAACGCTGCCTCTCCTGTCCTTCCTGTCTTGAGACTCAATCCTACGAAAACTTGGAGGGTATTTTGTTCTGCACCACCCTTGACAGCGATCAAGCAAAGCTCGACATAGTCGTAGATGGTGCCACACTGCTTTGAATCTGCTACTAAGTTAGCGTCAAGTAAAGTGTAGACGCTATCTTGATCTTCTTGGTTGGCGGATGGTGCTGGTCTCGTTCTGTAAGTAGAAGCCGTGGCTGTTGTATACTGCAAGAAAGCATGGACGTGTTGAAGCAAGTTGTTGGAAGAAGATGATGAGTTCGATGCTGGTGACGTGCTCATACTTGCACTGCTTCCGACTGCTGAAGAAGAAGCCAAAGGCAGCGTTTCTAACATCAAACTAGCCTGGAAATTGGCGTCAATTCCAAAACGATTCACGCGAAAAGCTAGGTTGAGTGCTTTGTTGAGAACGTCGGAGGTAGTTGTCGAGTTACCTCCTACAACTTCCCCACCGCTACTTCCAACCATCAAAAAATCCTCACTACCTCCAAGAAAAAAGCAGTGCTGAAAACGTCCACCATGAGTCAGTGCGCCTGAGAGAGGAATGCTACTGCCTGCTTCTCCGACCTCCATTCCAGAGTTCGATTTCAAGCACGGATGACGAAGAGGCAAGTTGGTCAAAGCGTCACGGACAGCAAAAGGATTCAAAACTGGATCCAGGCTCCATCCAATAGCGAGTTGGGGTAGAGAGCTGCTTTTGCGACTAGGTGGACATGCTTGTTGCTGTTGAGAAGATGAGTCTCCACCCGTGCCGAAATGAACTACAGCAACAGTAGCATTTCTTGATGTGCATCCTCCATCGGTACTCCCATCTGGAAATAGCACACTATCGTCACTTAGCCAGTGCGTCACCGACAGAGGGGAATGCGTCAAATACTGACACACGGCGAAGTCCTTTCTCTCGAGAGATGAGGCGAGAGTTGATGAGAATGAGAGAGTTGATGAGAATGACACCCCACTAGTTGCGAAGAGCTTCCCTCCGTTCCAACCAACGATGCGACCACACACTTCGCGCGTGATGTCGGACCGCAAGGCGGTATCAAACTTTCTTGGTTGGCTACTGGAGTAGGCACGACTTGCGGTAGTCGCGTATTTGCACACCCTACCGTTCTGAAAATCCATTTGACCAACTGCGTCCAGCGAATGGACGTATTGCGTTATTTGAGGGTAAAACTTTGTCACATCGATATCGGTAGCATAAGCAGATGGCAGGACTTGCGAGACCAAACACTGAGTACCAGGTGCATCAAAGGTGTACGCAGGAGCTGTAATGTTCTTTTTCCCATCTAACCACATGCTCACAAGCGCTGCGCGGGTGCCGCCTAACCCATGTCCTGTGAGGTACAGTGTCTTGTTCGCGATCGAAGGGAGCACAGAATCCTCAACGAGCTGTTTCGTGAGAGGCCACAGACCCTCAGAAGCCAAGTCGAAGTGGCTCAGACCAGTAGAAAATTGCCATTCGCGAGCGCGCCGATTGGCTATCATCTGCGCTTTAGCGAAAAGCTGGGCACGCTCCGCAAGATTAGGCAGCGCGGCTCGGACCTGATGTTGCGATGAAGTACTAGAGCTACCGGGTCAATGTGAATGTGTGGGTGGTCGTCGTGGAAAATTTTCTCACAGAAGATGAGCTTGAGCATGATTATGAGTAATAATAAATATTCCTATTCTTACACTACGACAAGAATATGAAGACAGTTATCTTCGAGGTTACAACTGGCTCGACCCATTTTTAGCAGATGTAGTTTCTTTCCGCCCTAAATCATATCTAGTTGTACCTTCATCTCCGCTGTCGCATTGGTCTCGGTTGCTTCCTCCCAGTCCTGCAGCATTTGAGCCTGTAGTTTTGACGCTAACCATCCCTCATAGAGACTGACAATGCTGTCTCGATCGTCTCCACTAGTAGAAAAGACGAGAACAGCCTCATTCGCGGATTGGTAGAGGCCAGCAGCGATGTTCAAAAGCGAAGGAAGCGAAGTGGGAGTTGCTCCTGCAGAGGACGCCGGAGGAGGTCCTGAAGCTGATGATGACGTTGTGGAGGTTGAAGGCTGTGCATAGCTACTCATAGTCCAGTTAGAGAATGTTAGGTTTGCGCCAGCACCTGCATTCTCACTAAGCCACTCCCAATCCGCTTTCTTTTCGTGCTTTGCGCGATCCCGCACTGACGCACCCACAAAGGTGGCGAGATCGGAAATCGGGTTGAAATTCGCACCAACCTCCAATAGTTCCGCAAAGGTTGCAAGATCGTTTTCCATATCGACAGTCGGCGAACTCATAGCGCGGCTCATGCGAGCCAAGCTGCGAATGCGATCTCTTGCATTTGACCATGAAGACGAGTGGGTGATTGAGGACTGCTGCAAATTACGATGATTTCGTGATGTCGTAGAAGAGTCATCTTCTTCATGGTAGAGCAGGCGATGTTCGACCGAATGGCGCTTCCATCTCCTTCTGGAAGTGTCGTCTTCGCCCGAAATGGTGGTGGTCTCATCCTCAACCAGATTGGTACCCTCAGGACGAGCCTTGGTGACGCTGCTGGAGGCCGCTAGCTGTCGCAGAGTATTTCCCTGAGCGGTAGCATCGTCTTCATCACGGCCGTGATCGGATGTTGACGCGATTGTAAAGAGAGAGGTAAGTTTGAGTCCGTCAATATTACGATTCACACCAGGCCAGTAACTTGCGCGATCTTCAGCCAACGCAGCTCCGACGCCAAGCCACAAGACCAAACTCCTCGGCCGCCTTGTGATCATCTTGAACATGTTCACCCGAGCAGATGGTAGCTACTTCCAAGGTCTCCAATTGTACGGCGGGAGCAAGACGTACGAGATCGCTGCATGCAGACGACGACGTGGGAAAATATTCATATCGTAGGCATTTCCCTCTATCTCGTAGATTTATCCCTGAGGCAAATCAAAATCTTGTTCACGCTCTTTACTACTTCATCGGCATACGATTACCTTTATCAAGTGTAGGACTAAGTCATATTCAGAGTCGTTTCTTCATTTTTTCCTTAGAGCCTTCATCTGGCCGTGGCCTCCAACCAATGCTAAAGTGGGGAAAATAAGCTGCTCTTGTACATGTACTCGGCTACCTCCACTCGTCACTCTCATCCAGTGTAAATGCAGTTCTCGTCGAACTCTCGCATATACTATCGACTATCTTCTATTCCAGAAATAGCACACCGACACCGGCGACACCAGTAACGCCAGCACTCGAGTAGAGCTCCGACCACCTCGTCTCATTTTCCTCTTCATTTGTTTGCTGTCCTGCATTTATTGTCCTCTGCAACAAATGGAGACAATTCCGAATTTCAAATTCTAGAACCAGAACAATTATGAATTTTCAGTCACTGATATTGATTACTCAATCTTTCTTCGCTTCGGACTGTTTGACTTCATCGGTGAAGAGCCCGCCTTTGGACTAGCTGGTGGATTTCCTTCCCCACCCAACTTCGTAAGAAATTCAAGTGCTCCTACAATACAGGCAACTTGCGCTTTGTTGCAGATCTCACCGGTTACTCCTTCTGCGTCTGGATACACCTCTGTAGTCGTCGTATACGGTGCGTCGGTCAGAGCTTGACACAAGTTCAAACTCTTAACCGGAATCGGCACTGCGCCACCTTCCTCCACGCAGGCAAACCCTAGGATGGCATCGTCCGTACACACATGTGTGATCTTTTTGACTTCCTTCAACATTGACATGTAAAACTTCTTCTGCAGAGGATGGTCCTTCGGAACAACAGCCTTTATTTGCAAGTCAGCACCATCAGTACTAGATGAAGATAGACCTGCCGCGATCCGTTCTCCTTCGGTGAGCTTTTTCCCAGATGGGATTTTACCTGGATTTGTGACATCGCGACCCGCACAGTAGACGCTATCCATCACGAGATAAAAGCCGTAAGGTATCTGTCCATCTCGCTCAAAAACGAAAGCGTTGCCATCTCTTGCCGCTTTGGCGGGTCTAAACTCCGTTGCATCCGTGTCAGTGGTTTCGTGCAGGTCGATGTGGAGGTCGATAGGAATCATGCTACGAGCTGCAGCTCCCGTCGAACAAGTATCCACCTTTTTACAACTTCTAGTACTTGTCGGCGAGCTTGGACAAGAACTTTTCATCTTTTTACTACTAGTACCAGGGCTCCTTGGAGGCTCATCATCTTGTTGTGATGGTCCTACAATATCGTCAATAAACTTCATTAAAGCCACGCTTTCCTCGGTCTGGACTGTCTGGTCTGTTCTCGAGAAAGACCTATTCGGATCGACCGCTTTCCAGGTCCACCGTTGAATATGCTCGTAGCCCCAAGGACTGACACACGGCGCGCAGATGATGTTAAATCTCTTCGAGTATTCAACTGCATGTTTCTCCAGGAACAGAAGAGCGCCTTGCACCCCGCTCGTCTCGTAGCCGTGGACTCCACCAGTGAAAAGCACCGTCTTCTTCGTCTTACAAAAAGTTCCTGCTCGAGGTTTCACAGCCATTAATGGGTAGCGCTTTGGATTCACGGACAAAAACCCGTACTTGACCACCTCAAAGAGTTCGTCGAAGTTAGGGACAGATTTCTTGAACTTATCCAGCTTACCCAGTACTTCTTCCTTGTAAGAACGTTGCGGCGACCAGCGTGATTCCCACTCTAACTTCTGTTTATCAGTCCACGCCTTACCAGCGGTCCCAACAGGATACGGCCAAGCGCAGTCGCTCTCCTTTGGCTGCGGCATTTTATTCGTTTGTTGATCTTCTCAAGAACTATGCTGATGCTACAACAATTTTACTCTAATATCTCTAATAGATGTAGCTGCTTCTACTCTTACTCTCTCTTGCAGCAAGAACGCGAAAGATATCAGTAGGGTTAAGTACGAACAATACACTCTGTCGCTGCTCTATTATAAGAACAAACTCCATCTCCCCTGTCGCTGTGATGTAACCACCTGTAAGATGATCAGAGTCATCTTCATCCTAACAGATTTGATCGGGAAGATGGATCTTCGCAGATTCTCTCCCACATTTTGTGCGCCGAAACAAACCGCCGCGATTAACCTCTCAATCATGGCGCACTTACGACCATGATAAAGCGCAGGAACAAAGTGAACACTTCAAAATTCGGAAGTTGAAGAAGATCTTCTTGCTGTAGTTCTAGTAGTTCTTTATAGCGGATTATACAAAAAAGGAATCAATTGAATCCCAGAAATATCAGTATCAAGTTGCATGACTGGTGAGCGACAATCTTCATGGACGAATGCGCCAAAAGTGAATTTCTATTCCGACTGTTTGTTCGTGGTCGGAATACTTTCCAACAGCGACTGCTTCATCTATGTCATAGCATAATGATCTTCACTTTTTCTGTTGGGAGGTTCCGTTGTTTTTACTGAAGGTTGAGCAGGTTCTTCAATCTTCATCAACTTGGAATTGCTTCCACTACAATGGAATGAACTCATAAGGCATATCCAAAAACGAGATTTGAAATATCTTTGCAAGCTCTTGAGTTAGTTTGTCCGCTTTTTCGACGAAAAGGATGGAGACGACGTCTCGCGTCGGCGTTGGATCCAGGGATAGTAGGCGAAGTGAGTAAATCGATGGCATTTCTGCAGGAACGTCCATGTGGAAAACGCAACTGCTCGTCACGTTTTGACATACTGACGGATCGGAGACCGTAAACAAGAACGGATTCTTGCCACCGGAAAAGTCCTGTCGAGATGAGCAGGTTACGTATTGGATATCTAACGCCATCCTGATGAATACTTCCTCCACGAGTCGTCGCCGAGTACAAGAAAGAACGATGAGGAGTGGGAAGGCCGTGTTGAAGTTGATCATGATCACCTACGTATCACAGCTATCAAATATTCATTGAAAAGAAATGCTGCGCCTGCGGTGGACGCGGTTGCTAGTGGTCCTAGTGCTAGTGCCGGTTCTGCCCAAGATTAACGTAAATTTCTACGACAAACGCAAAAAAAAGACGCCAGCTAAGCCCCCAGCCCAACCCACCCCCACCAAGCCTGCGGCCGCGTCTGCGTGCTCAACGAACTGGAGGCAAGACTTCTTTGCATATGTCGTGGCGCGTGCGTGGCAGTCACGAAGCCGCCTGAGTGGCAGCGGGCGGCAATGTCTGGCTTTGGTCCCTTACCTAACGGATACAAGGCTGCTGGCAACTCACTAAGCCGACAAGCAGCGACGATCATATTGCCGACGTTCATACTCGAGAGCACTCCTACCGCGCTAAGAAAAGGCAGCACCCTAATCACAGCCCATCCCTCCAGAGTAACACACATAATAATATAACACCGAGGCAGCGTCTCACGCTGTGGGTACCCCGCTCTTCCTGCCCACTTCAATGGCATCCCGACACCTGGCGTGGAGGGCATTCCAGCTACTGCGGCTCTATTGATGGCATCGCAGATCCGAGTCGCAGGGGCCACATCCCTGCCCCTGGCGTCATTCTTGGGCCCCAAGATCATACGGAGCGTCATTTTGACCGAGATGCCTGAACGAGAGGCCGCAGAAGATGGCCCGCAAGTCAGTGCTGCGAGCGCCTGGAATCTCATGTCGGCGGTTCGCTGCTCGTTTACGGGCTCACCCGTTAGTGGCACCAGGGGGCCTTGCCAGTTTTTCCGCCAAGGCGCAGCGTTCTTTGTCTAAAATTTACGCGGAGGCGGTTGCAGTTGCATACTACTCCGAGAAGCTTTCCCCCGAGCGAGCGGCCGGGCAGCGAAAGCTGCTGCTAAGCGAGCTGCGGGCACGAGACTTAGCGAACACAAAAGCAGTCGAGAAAAATATGGGGGAGCAGACTGAACAAGCCGCAGAAGTAGACAACCCCAACGAAGAGCAACCGCAGTAGCCGCATGAGCCGCGGCCTCTGATTTGCGCGAGCCTTCCAGGCTAGAGCTCGAGTGCGTCAAGAGAGGGCGGCGCAGCTACTCACGCACTCGGAACCCTAGCAAAGTGCCGCGCTTGGTCTCTCTGGTCTCATTCCTCAGCGATTGCCTTTGCCACGCGATGACCTGGCCGAAAGCCGCGAAGCGATGGCGCCCCGTCCGTCCTGGCGGTCGAACCATGGCGACCCAGCTAAAGAAACCGACGCCATCGATGGCGCCGCTTGGTAGTCAGCATGGGGCGCCATGGCTGGCCATCTTGCTCGCGCATAGACTCGCTATGGCGTAAGAAAAACCCCATCGCAAGTAATTGCTTAGAATTAGGTCTCATCTGCAAAGTGATAACGCAGAGCCATAATCAGTGGCACTGAATTACTTAGCGACGCACACCCTTGCCACCGCTAGGGACAGCGTGGCCGCCGCAATTGTTCCCCCCGGTGAAGGAAGTTGGATAAGTTGGGCGGGGTCGACTGGGGTCCCGCCTCAGACTTCGCACGCCTCCCAAGGGAAAAGCTTGCGCCTTTCGAGTCAACTGCAAGGAGTGCCGCCCGGAAATCTTGGAGCATGAGCCGGCTGCTCGATTCCAACACATCAACCGGAGGCATAAGGAGCGCAAGCCAAGGCGCCGGCTGCTGCTCTTCGAACTTCATGCGAGTTGGTAAATAAAGCGAAGAACGCACGCCAAGCGGCATGCCCTTGGAGGGGGTGCAGTAGTCGGCAGCGTCACGACGTCGGCGCGGTTCACTCGTATTCATACGCTTTGCTGCTGCCCTCAATCAGGCTGCGTTAGCTTGGTGAGATACTTCAGGGGGCGACGGTACCGGTGAGCTCTCGCTCGAGCCGTTACTGCCAGTGCTCAACATACATGGGTCGCGCAGCACTCGGAGCGGCAGCGTTGCAAGTTGCATTTCCGTCGGATACTGGCCGCGCCGAATGCGGCGCCGGTGCCGATATCATATGTGCGGCCGTTCAGCAACTGGCGGCGATGACAGCACTGCCGGTGGAGCTGTGTTGCTGATCGGCGGCACTTGCGACTCGCCAGCGCAGTCTATATCTACATATAAGCTACCACCTCTGCCGATAAATTTCCCCAAAATGCTCCATGTTCCGCGGCAGAGTGCGGCCCCCCAGACACTTCCCGCGGAGCGGGGCGGCCCATCCTCGCCGACGAGCAGCCCCATAGCTGCGACGGCCGGGGGATGCCTGGGCTTCAATTTCGGCAATTTTGTCCGACATCGTTGGCGCCCGAGAGTTTTCACACAAGTACACAACTGCGCGAACATCCAGCAACAGCGCAGCGCAGTCCAAAAGTGTGCGAGCTCGCGACCTACTGCGCCCAGCTATTGAGCCAGCGGGGCCTCTGGCGGCCCTCTAACTATGTCGCCCCGCGCTCCCCAGGCAAGCCGCCCACTGCCTGGCTTTTGTCGTCTTTTGGCTCCCGTCCAAAAGTGCGCGAATGTGGTGCGCGCGCTTTCCCTTTTTGTCCCTCGGCACACTCCTTCAGCCAGCCCCTCAATATGAAGCGACATCCTGCTCGCGGGGTGTTCCATGTGCTCGCTTGAGAAAACGGCGCGGGCACACCTTCCCGCTGGCACTAGGGTAGCCCCGAGGGCTTCGCACTGCACTCAGCGGCACCACCGTAGCGCCTTCAGCTCAAGCCAGACCCTTGCCTCCGAGACAGACCGCATCAGAGCCACAAAGGTGCGCGGCGCTCTTCAATATCTTGCGGGCGTTACCCGTCCAGCCGGCGCGACTCTCGCCGAAGTCGATGCGGCCGCCTATATGTCCACAAGCCATCCACTTCGGAAGATGGGCCAGCCCCGCCAGCCGTACCGCCCCCAAAGACGATCGGACCCGCGACGCAGCAGCGGTGAATTATAATGGATTGAAAGAACCCAAAAAGGAAAACAGCGGAAGGATTACCAAATATACTACTAATTAGACCTGAATCGCCTGCATTCTTTTCGGCATATTTGCGATAGAGTCTTGTCGCGATCCAAGGTTGATGCTTGCGCTCAATCCCAGCGCCTTCATCTGTGCTGGGTATTGCTCTACCCGTTTCTTGTCATCACAGAAGATGATCGCTTTCGGAAACATCAAGGAGGTCACCAGAGCTTTCAGGATTTTCAGCCACTTTTCTCTTGGCGCTTCTACCACGTAATGCTTCACGTTTGGTCGCAACTTGGTCGGCAGATCGGGCATCACCGAGAAGAGGTTTTTCTTCTTCATCACGCTGGATTTTAGTAATCTGAGAACTTTCCTCGATCCGGGTGTTTCGGTCGACGCCATCATGCGGGATAGGAGTACGTACCGCAGTTTGCCGGCTAAAAGGCGGCATTCGACTATATGCGAAACTTGAATTACCTGGTCCATCTCAGAACCAGTGCTGGGTGTACCACTGTCGCTGCTTGGTGCTGCAAGTGGTGGTAGATGCGAGGTGAGTGCCAAACTATGGCAATGCGTGACTCATTTGCAATTGCTCCAATTGGAAAATGATGATGTAGAAGTAGATTGGTTCGTTAGCTAACATCTTCACGAAAAAAATTTCATTAGTACGAAGAATTTCTTTCGACGTCTCCTCGAGCACCAAGTCTTGGGCGTCGTCGAGCACGAGGACGCTAACGTAATCGAGACAAATATCGTGTTTATTCAGCAGATCTAACACTTGCCCAGGGCGACCGCAAATGACCTGCGCGTTTAGCGGTGTGATCGGCCCGATTGCGGTTGTACTAGCCAGCTCTCTGTTACTGGCGCCAGCACTGGCATTCCACGCAGTCGTGTCTAGCGACGTTGGGACTCCTGTGGCTGAAGGTGTTGCAGGAGTCATTCCTGCAATATTCACAGGTGCTGGCGTCGGACTACTAGGCCCTCCCAGCACGGAACATGACTCTGCATCTCTGACACTGTGTTGTGCTTTGAACTGCAATTCCTCTATCTCCGGACCTTGGAAGCCAACCATTGGCATTGGCGTTTCTCCCGCTAAAAAAGGAGGGACGCTGTCCGGTGCTCCTCCTGCTGGTGCTATAGAAGTATTAGAATTTGTAGGTACAACGCTACTACCCGGGTTATTTGTTCCCACACTTGCCAGTCCTGGAGATGTGCCACTCCCTCCAGGCTGCGCAGAGTGTTGGTCTGGTACGACGGCAGTTCCTCCTGACGAAGTTCCAATCCCCGATGTTGTACAACCTGCTCCAGTAGTACCGCCGCCCATCAACGACAACAATTTGACTGGATGAAACAGAGTGAAAATGTTGAAGAACTTGTCAAAGTCTCGGGTCTTGGACATGCACAAAACCAGCGCTTGACAATGCTTGATGCGCAGATCAACTCCAGCCGCTACAGCAAGTGCTAATCCAGCGGTTTTCCCAGATCCTTTTGGACCTTGGACTACTACGCAGCTTTTCTGCCCTTGATGGTGACCGCTTTTCATCACTTGTGCAATCGCTGGAATAGTGTGCGCCTGCAACTTGGTTGGCTTTTCGAGGCCATAGAGCTTTACACATTGCAGAATCGGACCTACCTCTGTTGAAGAGTGTCCTCCGTTAGGATTGTTTGCTCCACCTCTAGCACTAGAGGAATCGCCTTTAGTGCCGCCTATACCTGCCAAGGAATTCGTCGCCCCACCAATGGATGTCCCTGTCACTCCACTGGCTACACTTGCCGCGGTTCCGCCTGCTTTAGCGTTGCCTGGAGCCGACCGAACCGTCATCGTGCCATCACACGTCGTTGTTTCGGAATGCTTCTTACTATCCCCAGGAGTGCTCGTACTACCATGAGGACCGCGGTCGCAGTTCGTGCTGGAACTTCTACTGCTCAGAATGCTTTCTCTCTGCTCACCTAGAAGATGACCTTGCGCCTGTGTTGATTGTGTTGTCATCAAAGAACTGTTTAAGTAGTTCGACGACTGCGCCCCGCTTCCGGCTGCATGCGACTGTGAGGACGACCGCGTACTGTGGTGCGAAGATGTGGTCGGCGGATGCTTGCCACCAAATGAGAACAGTTCCGCGAAGTCCTTCATCACCCAGAGTCCCGTTGCGTCTCGCGCGCTCCCTCCAGTCTCGATATCAATACTGCAGCGACCTCGGTCTTCAAACCCGATGTGCAGAGAGCGAGAAGACCGCTTCCGCTTCTTATTGTCCGAACCCTGAGACTGCGAACTGGTGGAAGATTGTCTAGACCCGGAGAAGCCTCCTCCAGGTGAACCGAGGCTGGAAGCTGAATACGTGGAATTCTGCGAGGATCCAACTGAACTCGTGTCGTCGTCTGCGGACGCAGCAGAATTGTCGCCGAATAGGTTACTGCCCATGCCGAAGAACGGACCCCTCGTCGGTCCATCGAGGGTCGAAGTCGAGAGCAACGAGCGACCACGTGAGGGTGACGTCACGGAAGTAGTCGAAGCTCCTGTTGCTGGACCGACTCCTGTAGTTGAAGATTTCTTGGTAACATCAAACAGGTGTAAAGGAGATGAAGTGCAACAAGTGCTGGTCCTCTATTCCAAGTAAGTACCACCTCCCAGCAGGCCTCTCGGCTTGTCGGGCGGCTTTTTTACCGTGTGTTTTCCCGAGGTCTCGCTCGCAGCTGAGGAAATCGACCCTGACTGCGGCTTCACACTTGCTCCAGGTGATCTTTCCAACAGTGTCGTTCCTCCTCCAACGCCTGTTGTACCACTGGAATAGGCAGAAGAAACTGCGCTAGGCGATCGACTCCTCGGTCCTCCTATCGCTGAAGGAGAGGATAAATGCTGCATCTGACTGTTCATCAACATTGTTCCCGATTGTATCTGCTGCAAGGGACTGCGATGAGTTGAAGAACTACCTCCGGGAAATTGAGCAGAACTACCTATAATATAAGTCCCTCCACTACGATCAGGGCTCCTCATCAAGCTTCCTGCAATTCCTATCGTGCCAGTCGTCGGGTTTATCCCTGAATTTGGCGGTGGCGACACACGTGCTATGTTCCTGGCAGCTGCCACTCTGTTTGCGCTCGTCATAGTGGAGTGCGAAATTCCACTACTGCCAGTACTGCTAACGGAATAGTTTCTGATTCCAGGTTGCTCAGGACCGTTTGCGGGGTCTGAGCCGACCTGGCCTGGAGATGAAGGGCCTATGCTTCCTATTGCTCCTGTATACGAAGTGCCTGGTGACAATTGTGGCAAGAAAATGCTACCCTCATCCTTTATTCGCAATCCTGATGAGCCAGAAGGTTGCTGCGGTTCCCGTAAACGCGGCTGTGCTGCGCCTTGTGGAGAGACTGGTGAACCTCCAATGGCTGCATGCTCTCCAACCCTACTCGGACTGTGGCTTCCATTTCCAGCACCGGCGCTCGGCGAGATACTCACCTCATCTGCTTTTGCAGCGATCAGCAACCGACCGGGCCTGATGCTCGGCTTCACCCGATGAGCGTTCGTCGGAGAAGTCGGGGAGCCGGGAGATGCCATTCTTGGTGGGTAAGCGGAGGTGCTGAGAGTTCTGTACTCACTCAATGGCTCGTCTGTCAACACGTCGGTTCTTCAATCACGACTATCATCAACTTGTTAATTTTCTTTCTTTCTTCGAATCCGAAATCGTGCTTCTTTATTGATGTCTTCCTGCCCTTGCGTTCTTTCTACAATTCTGCGCAGACGAATAACTAATTTCAAGGAGCTGGACTGCAGGAGGACACCACAAGATCGGAGCGCACAGTCACAACATCCCTTTACTCTTTTTTTCGTGGTGCAGGAACGAACTGTTGTAGGCATTTCAGTCCTTCTGGTTTGCATGAAACAATTACAAGCGTCGTCATTGAAAGACTGCTCTTCGTGCAACCTTTCCTTCACAATCACATCATACTTGATGCGCACATCATGTTCATCTACTGCAACTTACTACCAGCAACTCCTATTCCGCTCTAGTATTTTTTTTACTTCCTCCTGTCGAACTTCGACGAAGTTTCTTTGCAAATGCAATGTCACGTTTCTTACGTTCCTCACACTTCAGCTCAGCCGCTTCCAGGCGATTATCTTCGAGCCATCTAAACCTGTTCTCTCTGCGCATACGTTCTCGCTGAGGTAGCATCCAACCGCAATTTCTGTAAGGCACACGCTTGTGCCAAGGCTGCTTGGGTTCCTTAGAGATGTGAAGACATGAGTTGATGTCTGGATAGGTGTACTACGTAGGTCGTAGGGGTCGTACAACCAACATAAAAAGTAAGTACTCATCTTGTCTTGCTGATGATCAATCAAGCGGTCGAGTCTACTGATCTACAAGCCAGGCAGCCTTAAGTGGTCTATTCTCCGTGTCAGTGTCGTCGCTCGTGAGATGATCTTGACCCGCGGCGGACGTTTCAACAGTGTTCTTTGGTTTCTTTGCGAAAAATTTCAATCTCCAAAAATCGTTTCCGCTAAAAGACGAAATTCCTGCAGCCGTAAGTTCGTCACTCTGGTGGTCTCCTCCACCACCCAAATTTGTACTCATACCTGCGGCCACCTGCTCGCCAACAGCGCTGTTCTTCGCACTCTCAAGATTTTGAAGATGCTGGCTCCTTGCGGCCTTTCCCACACCTGAGGAACCAGCGGTGCTGGTGCTGAAGCCTCTGCTTTGGGACTTCTTGGATCGTGCAGCATGTGAAAGCGCGATGTAGTTATTTACGCGCGCCGTTGTAGTGTCGAGTGTGGGCGATGTTGAAGACGCTACTTGCTGGTGGCCATCCACCGATTCAAGGACAGCTTCTCCTGCTGGTTGTAGGCCTGTACTAGTACTGGATTTCGAGGTGGTGGCCGTTTGTTGTTTGCTTAAAGTGGCCACAGTTGTACGTAGTTTGTTTTTTCTGACAATACGTGCAGTATCCACAAGACGCTGTAAAATGCCATCTAAATCCTGCTGTACGAAATCGCTGGGGCTCTTGGACATACTCGATAATCCAAATTTGGTACAAATTCTTGACCAAGGTAAGGCTGCTCGCAAAATCAGGGGTCCTCGTGAAGATGGAGGTTGTTCTTCGGCAAAAGATAGAAGTGCGACTTCTTTCGTTTTCGTATCCGTGTCCTTCTCTAGTCGTACAGCTTCAATTTTCACTACGCTTTGTTCGTTCTTGGTTTGGTTTGGATGTTGAGCCAAGATGTTCAATTTGATAGTGAATAACCAAGGATCGTGCTTCGAAGCATTCTTGCTCTTCATTTCCTGAAGAAGATCGCGGTTCCCTCTGCTAGCACTGGTATAGTCTTGTGCTCCTTTGTTGTTCCTACCAGGATTGCTGTAGTTGTTCCTGTTGTGCCGGTCTTGGTCGTCAGCGCGCCCTGCTCTCCCTCGTCCTTGCGTTGTTGTTCTCTCTATATCTGAAGCGCTTCTTGAATCAAGCTCGGCATCTTTCCCTGGAGCCCGTTCCTCTCCCTCCTCATGACTCCCTCCACGTCCAGGTCCAAAAAAGAGATCAGTCTTTACAACACCAGTAAAGTTAACGACGTAGTGAAAAATCGATTCATCTCTCCTTTCGTGCTTGTAGTTGTCTTCTGCACCGCCGCTTGGGTCTCCGGGCGCAAAGCCATATTGACTAGTGCCATGATCTGCGTCCACAGCGATGCGAGTCCGAAAGCGTCCACCGGTGCTAGAACTTGCGCCGCTCGAAGCCGATCCTTGTCGGAGTAGAACAGAGGACATGGTGTTCTTTTCTTATGTGGCAGAAGTGGCTCAATGACTCTACTTCGTTATTCATCCGCTTTGTTTTCGTCTTGGATGGAACAGTTCCGAGCTTATCAAATGAAAAAATCGCTATCGACTTCACTACACCTACACGTCCTCGTCTGCGGCTACTTACATCGATAACCTACACCTCTTTTACACTCTCTGTCAAGTCCCATTTCACCTAAAAATGCGTAAGTAAGTCCAAGCGCAATGATCGCAAAAGAGTCTTGATATGGAGTTTTGCTTGGATGAAGGTTTCCCAACAGATACAGTGCGAAAAATTCAAACATTTTGTGAAGAATGGTAAGTAAATCGAAAACTCCAGTTAAAAACTAGCGTTCATCTGCCTTCCAGAAAAAGTCAAATCTTCGTCGTGGCTAACACCACGGATTGTCGAAAAAAACGCAAAAAATCGCTAGCGAGAAAACCCCATCTTGAGAGGGCTAGCAGAGACTCCTTCTACTACATCACACTACATGCTTGCTGCATGTTCGTCGGCGCAAGCCCTCTCTGCACACCTGGCCCGGCCTGATCTTGCATCTCCCCACCTTCATCTTGTTCTCCCGGACCATAACGATAGTAAGAACCATTTCCGCCACTCACCTGTTCACTATTGCGACCGAATGGCATCACTGGCGGATGGTATGTCGCGGAAGAAGCGTATCTGTAGGTGTACTGTGTGCGGATGTCACGACCTTCGCGATCGTATGAGCCACTAGATGCGATATGAGGCCCACCTCCAGCTGTGTCTTCACCACCAAGAGACATGGCACCAGGAGGGCGACTATAGTACCCCCCATCGTGGTATGAAAGAGAAAAGGGGAGAAAAAGGGGAGAAAAAGGGGATTCTAGTCAAGTAATCAGGGAGAAAAGCAATAGCAAAGGCTGCAGCTCTTCATTCTTGTCAATACAAGGACTCAGTGCCACTGTCAGCTGCATCTATGAGACGAGTTATCACGAATTATTTTTCCCGTCTTGTTCCCGTCAGCATCTATGAGATAAGTTATCAGGAATTTATTTTTCCATTTCCGCCTTGTTGAACTACAACCCGTTTTTATCATATTCATAAGTCTTCTTCCCGCTGATATCTTCTGCGTTCTTCTCTTTCCCTCAAGTAGACTTCCAGCCAGAAGTAGTGCGCAGAGTCGAAATGGATCGGTCGATCGAAGTCCAGCGGTTGAGCGGGTGAAAGCATCCGATACTGTCCATTCGATTGTCGCATGACGAAGCGTTCTCCTAGTTCTGTCAAAGCTGTGGGAAGGTAGTTGTAATCGTCAAGCCTCTGCTTCGCGATGTGCTCCACCTCGTGACACAAGCGGAGAACATGCATCGGGTAGCCCCAGGCTTGTTGTGCCTTTATTCCGAGGTCCAAGACGTCGCCACGACGCGCAGAAGAACGGCTAGAAGAAGTAGTCGCAGCTCCTGCTGTCCCTGTGGTGACAGATGTTGGCTCTACTGCTCCTGCACCCATTGTGGTTGAAGTTGCCGTTGTAGGGACCTGGTCATCACTGCTCTCGTCGGCGCCTCGTCCTCCAGGAGACGACTTACCACCTGCTGCTCCTGTGGTCTTCTTGCTTCGACTAGAGGACGATGCGACCTCTGCAGGTTCTTCTTGTCTTTCTACTCTTGCATCTTGCTTTGCCTTGTTTGGCCTCTTTGACGCTGTTGTACTCATCTCCGTCAATTCCATGATTTCACCTCCGTCATCGCCGCCCCCAACAAGCCCGCCAGTAAGAGTTTCATCGTGGCTTGGTGTGTTGCGGTACCTGATCGATGATGTTCGGCGTTCCTCTGGAAGTGGATCGTTGTCTTTTTGAAAAGGTTCGAAGTTGTACTTGTAGTTGTAGTTAGCTGCAGCTGAAAAAACGAAAGGTACAACTAGGTAGTTCCAGTTGTAAAGAAGATGTCAACGTGGAATTATATACATAGTTGTGATAGATGCTTTCAATGATAGAAGGAGTACATGAAAGCAAAGCTGAGTGCACTCTTCTCGATTTTTCCGTCTCTGCTTAGTCTTGGATCCGTCTTGTCCAATTCGAAACAGCCTAGACTGCACCAATCTCCCAGGTTTTCGCTTTCATACAGAGTATTCCGAAGGAAATTGCAGATGTCGATAGAGGCAGCTGGCAGATAGACGAGCAGCAAAATGGGAGTGACGAGCAGGCCATAGATCTCTTCAACCATCTGCTGAATGCGTGGAACATAGAAATTGGTCTGCAGTTCGTCGCGTGAGCGAGCTGTAGGTGACAAGATAAATACTAGGTTTTAAGTTGTTTGTGATTTTGATGAGCAAAGCCAAAGGCAGCAGTTTCTAGACTTAGTACTAGCTCAAGCTCCTGGTAAAAACCGCGTCGAATTACTAGTTAGTAGTGGTAACAACATGTTGTACCAAACGCTTCCACAATCCGATACTTCTCGTGAAGGTTCAACCTCTGTGTCCCTGTCAGCCGTCTATTCGGATTATCTGCGAAAACGTGTTGTCTCCAACTAGCTGGGATGTAGTGTGTGCACTTCGCGAACTCCAGAATCACCTTTTCCATATAGAGTGTTGCGCTACTGTGTCCCTCGTAGGGACTGCCAGTGTATCGTTTTTTCTTCGAACTTGTGTCCGAAAGGGTGACGATGAAACCCAACAAGGCGAGATACCAAAGTAGATTCTTGCCACCAATCTTGAGGAAGAGCAAAGGTGCATCGTCGAAAACGGCTACGATGAGGAGGACGCCGGGTGTTAGAGAAGAAAAGAGAAAAAGACCCGTAGAGCAGAACTAGAAGAATCTTCACAAACAGCATGTAAACATCAAGTGTGTTTCTGCTGTACTTTTTTATCCCCCACGAGCACGCTCCTTTTTTGAACGATACAACAAAGATAGATACAACTACATCATCAAGCCTTACAAGCAACGATCCACTGACGTACTTGACGCATTTTCTAGCACCGTCTGCTATAGGTGTGTTGGCGACGATCTCGTTCCTATCCACTATGTCGTTCGCACCCTTCTTTGACAGCTCCATCCGCTGCTTGAAGGAGTGTGATAGGCATTAGAGAAGGAGTGTGATAGGCATTAGGGAAACGTCATGTGGAGAAGAGCAAATTCGTCTCTGATATTAGTGCCTTCTTTGATAGTGCTGTCCGTGGGCAGGGAATTTTTTTTTTTTTTGCGTCAAGTACAAAAGGTCTCGTCAAGTACAAAAGCTCACCACACGACCTTCATAAAGTTCATTGTATTCGCGAAAGAACCATTCTGCGTAGCCGGTCCATTGTCGTTCCAAGGGACTGTTTCGATGTGACCGAAAGTCTTCTGCATGGCGCATGAAGAAGTAGAGAAAAACAAAAACGCAGATCGGTCCCAGACCTATGAGCGCGAAGAGGCCTATGATCCGAAAGTGGTTGCACAAGATTTCCGGTTTCAAACTTCCTGGGTCCACTTTGGACCGATGATCAAAGAAGGTCTTGTACACGATGTTCCTGAAAGCGAACATGACACTCTTCGAATAGAATATTCTGACTGGAAGCCATGGGGGCAAATGGTTCGTGATGTGGCCGAGATTCACCAAGCCGATGATGAGATTTTCTTCGCGCATGATCATGTTCGTGACTTGCAGAGCGGTCAATTCGTCTTGCTTCACAACGAAGGGCGATCGACGCTGCTCTACGAGAATCCGATCTATAATTTCGGCCCAGGACATACAGGCTAAGACGTCATCAGAGGGGATGCCCAGCTTGTCCTTGTAGAACCTGTTGTACAAACACAAAGTGAGTCTATAATCAAGATTACTTAGAAGCGCTTGAGGGTTTTCAGATAAAAAGATTGAAGAGTTGTAATCCATGATGATGATCTAGGTGGTCAGTATCGTACTCCCGTAGAGTTTCCTACTAGTAAACTGTAACTAAGCAGTACGCATTCGCTTCCAACGCGTGCTTCAAATCCTCCAGACACTTGAAAACGTTGTACACCAGGTATACGCCCGCCAGCATAAAGTAGAAGAGGGATATGAGGCCAAAGAAGCTGAGATTGTCGAAGGGTTTCTCGTAGAAAAACTGAACGTCTGCACAAGTAGCTTCTGATCGACAGCTGAAGATCGCCTGCCAGTCAATGTAGAATACTAGGACGAACGAAAAACCGATGGTAAACGAAAGGGCGATCACGTGGCCTAGATGATCCGCGACGCGTCCGTGAAGTCCCTTCGCTTCGTAGTATTTGGAGATTAGAAGTTAGAGCAGAGCCTTCTATCGGGCGCATCTACTGCTGCAACATCATGTCGTCGATGTTAGGAATGAACGATTTTTGTTCTCCATATCTTATTTGAAAATGCAAAAGCCGTAAATACAAATGCCCAAGAAACTCGTCTACATTCGTCACAGCGCTGTACTCCTCGTCTCCGTCATAGTCTGGGCCACCAACTCCTAGGAGCATAGGATTCTGCAATGACGCTGGATAGACAGATCTGGTGCTTCCTCCAGAAGGGCCTCCGGCACCTCCACCAGGTCCACCGACTCTACCACCAGTACCCGCTAGTCCGCGGCTACTACTTGACATACCGTTGAAAAGGTAACTATCGGCAAGTGATCCTCCACCGCCACCATCGTTGTTCCACCAATAAGCGCTCAACTGGTCACGAGCACGACTCGAGAATTGAGCAAATTAAAGGTCGTGATCATGTGAGGGTACGGTGACAGGAGCTACAGCTTGTTCTACTAGGCAACTATCAAGAACAGTGAATCTCAATGTTGTAGTACCAGTGGAAGAGGATGTTCTATCCCCCTTGGGTTGTTCGGCGTCATAAATCTACCTAGTACAACAACATGTGGGATGAACTTGAAGTCGTGTGTCAGTCTTCGCATAAGAAAAACTATCCGTCATTTGTCCCAGCGAGCTTCCCCAGTCCTGTCTCATTAGCTGATCCCGAAAAACACCGCTTGCTACAGCTGGCGCTGTAGAACTCGACGATCCACCCGATGTAAAATTTCTCCCACTCTGCAGACCTGGTCTTCTAGGTAATTGCTCTCCACCAAATCCTCTATTGTTGAGAGGTGAATTTGGTGAATGGACTTCACGAGCACGTGGAAATCCGTCATCATCCTGGTCGTCTCCGCCCACTTGTTGCATATTGGTACTCCGAGAGCCTCCTGGTCCTGCTCCTCTACGTCCACCACCAGCACGACTCGGGTCGTGATCACGGTCACCCCAAAAGTGCGCCTCTGCCTCATCAGACGAGTAGGACGAATGGTGGTCCAAAACTTCTCCTGGTGCTCCACGATCATTGTTGTATCTACGATCATCCCCGTAGTCACCTCCATAGGGTGGATATCCTCCGTAACTGTCGTGGTGGTCTCCTCTGTAATGATCATCATCAACATGCTCGTCGTCGTATTCGTAGTCGACATATCTGTTTGTGGGATCGTCGTCATCGTGATAGCCACCATGATCGCTGTACATTCCTCCATTAGAACATCCATCAATCCACTCCTTCCCTGAGCATCTTCGTCACCTTTTTCCCTTGTTAAAAAAGGGGCTCTTGGCTCAAGATGGTGCTTGGCATACACAAGCGACTCGGTTATTTCATATTTGAGCCGTAACTCCAAAGTCGTGTTCTTCTCTTCCTTCGGCTCCACTATGCTCATCGTCGTAGCGGATCATCTTTGGGCTGTTGTCGTAGTACTGCTCTTGGGAGTGGCTGTCTATCATAAAATGCCCCTCTCGTGGTACCACCTCTGGCACATTAGCATCGTCTCCACTGCTGTCCCCACCTCTCGTTCTTGCGTGAGGATGTGCGGGGGTATGAAGGACGCATGATTAAATGCTGGACTTTGTTGAGACCAAGGGGAGTGATTCTTGCTACAGGAGTCACTACACTCTGACTGTGTAAAAATACAAGAACGCATCTCAACATTTTTTCTACAACAACAGCGGTCGATATCGAATTCTTATTCTTCGATGCAGTTAATAAGCAAGATCAAATCACACCATACATAGTAGATCCGAGGTAATCCCCATCTTCCTGCCTCCTCCTCATTAGTCCTGGATCGCCCTCTACCATTGTAGGATATGAAGGCTGTCTCGTTTCCACTACCGCGCCTCCAGCTTCAGCACCTCCACCTTCAGCACCATGCAGCTCATCTTGACGGCGTCTCGTTGCTATCTTGATCTCGTATTCTCGGTCTGTCCATGCTTGCGAGTCTTGCATAGACATTTGCGAGACTGCCATCTTGTTGTTTTCAACGCCATTCTGCTGCGGAGACCGTCCGGGAGGAGGCGGCGACTCAGGGTCGCCGCCTGGAGGTCGTGGATCCATTTTTTCGCGGCTGAGTTGAAGATGTTCACTTCTATGCTAATGCTTGCTGTGAGATTATGTTATTATTTACACGACACCTTGTTTTCGGATGAAAAGAAAAATAGTGCAGTTGGTGAGCTAAAGTTAATCAAGAGCCGGAAAAATCCGATTATTCTCTCGCAATGCAAATTCTAAATTTGTAGTGCGGGGGGACATGAATTTGACAACTTCTGTAGCTTCACATGTAATCTCTCTCATGCTCGCTGCTGGAACACGTTTTCCTTTGCGAATACCTTTTCGCGCGCTGCAGCACTGAAAACTAGCGTGGTCTACTTCTATGTGGAGAAGATGCGCAAAAACAAAATCACAAAGATCCCCAAAAAGTACTCATTTGAGGTCACTCTCTCTATCTGAGTCAAACCATTGGTATTAATATCGGTTGAAGCCAGCACAAAAATTTGTGGACAAAAGAACTCATAAGCAATCACCAAATAGGTGGTTCTCATCAAATACAGTAATGGAAATTGGAAAACATTAACATGAACTCGTCAAATGGAATTGGAAACGTTGAACCCACCCCTAGAAGTATTACTTACAACTAAGCAGTTTGTCTAGACCCCCTAGACGCCACTCTTGCTCACCCCCGAGATGCAACTAATCCCCTCGCCTGTGGAAACTGTTGTGGAAATTGTTGATTATCTCCCTTAAACCCTTGCACCTCCCCACTAGACCCTATCTGGTCGCCTCCAAATGTGGTCACTGCCTCAAAATCTTCATCTGCAAAGGCCAAAGTCAAAAACTTCTCGACCTTAGGGTCATGAGATGGGCTCACGTCGTCGTAGTCACAGGTTTGTCGCTCTGGCATCTCTAGGTCGGTTAAGAGTAGGTTGTCATGTCGAAAGCGGGGATCGCTATCTGCCATCTTGAGAAGCGCGTACTCGCACAGAGGTCTGGGAGCGCCAACACAACTATCGGGTCGTCGGAGTGTTAGAGCAAGTCGTGTGTGAGGATGCTCTTTAGTGACTACTTGCACCTAATATAGATACCTTGTCAAGCACAAGAATCATGATGAACTACTAGATGAAAAAGAGGATGAATGTGAATGAAATTGTGCAGAACACAGAATCAAATTCCAGTAAGTGGTTAGATGATCACGGTGACCCTTGCAATGCAGGCAAAGCTTAGCAGCCAGTGCCCCAAACGAGGTAATAGTAAGACTATCAACGAATCTATAGACCTATCATATTACGATTAGGATTGGACCAATAAAAAACGCTGTATCTTTCTGACGATTGATTGATAACAGAGGACTATTCATCGATCGTCCTACTCCTATTCCTATTCATACAACGAATAGACGAGGAGATGAAGAACACAGATGAATCAAAATCACAAGTAAGTGGATCTCCAAGGCCGAGCATAACATTTCTGCCAATATCCTCCTCTTGACATCTTCGCCATGGTCGTCTGCGCCCATGACCCATTCGTCGTCGTCTTCTCGCCAGACACAGTTATCTGCGACGCGCTGTTGTTCTTCATGGGGGACGAAGTTTTCTAGCACCAATTTCTTGTATTCCAACTCTTTATAGAGCTGCCGAACAGTGTTCATCATATCCTCTTTGTCATTTTGGAACTCGTGTGTGACATCTTCGATTTCCCGGCTTTAGAACTACTTACTGTGTTTGCATCCCTTGTTGCAGCATCCTACCTGCTGGTTTCTTTTTCCATTTGAAAAAGATGCTAGCCATCAGGGATGGTCATGGTGTTGAGGCAGGAAGAACAATCAACCTCCAACAGGAAGAACGACAACCAACGGTAGAAGCCACCTTAATGTCTAGTTTTCTGGTATTTCTGCCAGAGGGTTTCCAATTTTTTCGTCAACTTATTCGCCTGTTCTTCCTGGGAGTCGTACTGCTGTTGGAGAATCTCCTTCGCTTCTAATTCCGCCTGTGCTGCTTCTCTCGCCCTTAATTCTGCCTCTCTTCTTTCTGTTTCTTCTTGTTTCGCCCTTCGCAGTTCCTTCTCCTGCACCATGGCTTTTTCGATGACGGCGTGTCCCTGAAGCATTTTGTCTCCCATGAATTTCAGTTTCTGCAGCATCACCTCTTGGTCTTCCTTAGAGCCACCGCCAATCCATGATCCCTGTACAGTATGCATGTGGTTGTCCCGCCCTTAATGCTATCAGTGAAGAATAGAGGAGGCTCGTTCTGTCGTATTCCTCTAAGCTTTTTAAGCAGATACTTCTAAGGGATCGATCCACCAGCCACACAGTACTCTATGGATTAGCGGGAGCCCTAACTTTCTGGGCTTTTCGGACTGCATCTTCTTTTTGTTGGAGCTCGGTCAAGACCTGTTTCCTCTCAGCTTCTGCCATTTCTCTGGCTTCCGCCACAGCCCGTTTCTCCGCGTCCATCTGGTCGCGTGCTCGCTCATTATCTATCCTTAGTTGCTCCTCGATCGCTTCCAGGTTCTCGTTGTTTACCTAGTATAACATGTATGGATGTAGTATCATGAGACGGTGGAGATGGTGAAGATGATGATCATAGATTGAACTTGAAGGAAATGTAAAAAATGCAACTGGTTTCCCATTGATTTGCCAAGTTATTCATTATGCAAACAGGATGAAGCTGAAGCATGACGATGATGATGATCTACCCAGTCCTCGTTCTTAGACGGGTTTGCAAAGTTGTGTTTAATACCGGTGGAGCACGTCTAACAGGAAACAAAATTACATTCATAAAAAGGAAGAAGTCCAACTGTTTAAAATTTGTATCATCAATACCTCTTTCACAACCTCTTTGACCACCTCCTTTTCGATCGTTACTACGCCTCCTGGCCCTATATTTCCTGACGCCATCTGCTGTTGTACTTGGGCAGAGTTCGCCATCAGCATCTCCTTCAATTTCTTAATTTCATCCTGAAACTCACGGAGGGTGTTAGACAGTGCAGTAGGAGTGGGATGAAATGGAGGTAGGACTCTCAAGTGTTGTATAGGTGAGTAGGTGATCGAGATTCTTTTACTCAATCTACTGCGTATTTATGCTCGTCCTCCTCGTCCTGGATTAGGTTTTAATCACTACATCATTGGACGTCTAGTAAGTACTGAAGTGAAAGAAATTTATTCCAACACTTCGCACAAAGAGCCTTAATCATCGCATCCTTCGGGTCTTCGTTGATTTTCGGCTTGTTCTTGATGCTCTTCGCCCGATAAGCGTAACGAAGGGTTGAGAGCGTCTCTTCATAGTTGTAGTCAGCAGGACCACAATTCGCAACCATCATCGTTTTTGTGTTACCACCTTGATTTTTGGTAGTAGATGTGGGTATTTGATTACAAGGTTCCCGACAGAGGTGGACCACGTAGCCAAGGTCGTGAAGACACGCAAACTCAGAGCCCCAGACTAGAAGAGCTGTACCTGTAGGATAGTCACAAATTACATATCAAGGCAGTGTACAAAGAACTAGGAGGTACCTAAAGAATCCTGCAGCAGTCTCGTCAGTTTTGAGTCTCGGTATGGGATATGACTCGAATGCCCGTCAACCAGCGAACTAATCACGTTTCCCAACGCAGACAAACTCAGATTGATTTTAGTCGCTTCCTTTAATCGGTCACCGGTTGCACCAGTTTTTGATTGACGTTCACTACCTGAGAAAAGGAAATGGATTTGAAAACTACACCAAGAGAAATCCTTCCATGTACTAAAAACCTCTTCGTACAACAAAAGTAAAACGTGTAAGAAGCTGCATAAGAAGTAGATTCTAGTGTCGTCAACATCGAACCTTAATCTTTTTTTATCGCATACCTGCCAGATCCACCATGTGCAACTTCCCAACCCGAATATGGCCTTCATCTTCGCCGGGTAAGGGCACGTCTGCAGTTTCGACAGTCACCGTACGATTAGAAGAAAAGAATGGCCAACCCTTCCTCGGCTTCTGAATGTACACGCAAAACTGAAATAACCTTAACCGAGTAGCCTAGCCGCGATGAATAACCATCTTCTCAGATACTCGTCGCTTGTTGTGTAGTAATCAAGCCGAGAACCACACTTTGCTGAGCAGGTTCTTCTTCCTGCTCCCAGCAGTGGTAGATGACGACTAGATACCCAGTCAAGAAGATCATGACCAAGACGGGTTATTTACATCCTTGTTAATTGTGGTGGAGCCGACCTAACTAGAAAAAAGACAGACCAGAGGAAGATAGAAAAGAGAAGAGGGTAATGAAAATACAGTGCGATCGACCTAATGAAAATACTGTGGGATCGACTCGACTCGGCGTTCATCAATGTTGCTCCAGTACTTCTGTTCTTGAGTCCTTGAGCTAAAACTTGCTCAATTTCTTCGGATCCTAAGATTAGAAGCATGGTTGGAGACCAAGCAGGCATGGTTGTAGTGGCACAACCTATACCTACTACTTTTTGTCAACATACTTAGTTTGATGTAGGACAAACAGTTGCATCTTCTTCAGTATCTTAAGTGTGTTGTCATGTTGAGGAAGGCCCTAGTACCAGAGCATAGGTAAATAGAAAATACTGGTAATCCTAACTTGCTGATCTTCATGGGAAGTACTTTTTACTTATGTTGACGATCATTCAGTTCCAGTCTCCTTCCTCAACGTCACATTTTCATCTTTCGATCGTAACTTCACCACGAACGCTGAGAGGTCTTTCACATATACCCCATTGGTCGGATGCTCCTTTAAGTCGCATTTTCCTGTGGACTTTGGGTCTTTCACCAATAGGTCACGAATCTCTTCGTTGTAAATCTCGAGAAACGAAGCTCGGACTAAAAATCGCGTCACCGCTGGGTCGGCCGTAGCGATATCGTTGAATATGTGATCGAACGCCCTGGGAAGCAACCCTTTGGAGCTATCGGACAACTTTGGAGAGGGCTACTTGCACTTGGAGAGGCGGGCTAATATTTGGGAAGGAGTTGTTGTATTTGGAGAAGATGCCTACGTAGCACTCAGCATATTACCACATAGAAGTTGCTGGTGAACTCATAGATACTTTTTTTGGGTTCGCGTGAAAAAGTAGTAAAGAAGTACTCTTCTAGATTAGATGAAGCAACAAGTAGGTGGGTAAAGTTAGCATAATCTCTGATCTGGTCCGTTCATCGTGTGCGTCTTGCCCGAACCCGTCTGTCCGTAGGCAAAGACGGTCCCGTTATACCCCTCCATGACGCTCTCTACTATACCAGAAGCCGTCTCCTCATAGATCACTTGTTGTGTTGCGCCGTCGTCGTACCTAAGTAGAGATGTAAGATGGCAGAGGAGGTAGACACTGTTTTTAGTCGTCGTCATTGCCTATAGAGATAGCAATAGAGATAGTAACAGTAACTTGACCTTGAGAATAAAATGTTAATGTATGCGTACAGCTGGTGCAGTTAGTAGTTCATCCCTTAGAACAAGATGAAGAAGGTCTAGATGATCCTTAATATCATACATAGATAAGTCCATCGAGATTTTTGGGTCCTGGTGCTGGTCACTGCTCTAGTCCGTCGTAGTAGAAAAAACAAAAAGTACACTGCATCATATGTGAAATCCTTCGTGTCCTTCTCGCTTCCTTCTGGCTTTAAGAGGCTTGCCATCGCAGTCTTTGTGTCCATGAAGACGACTTTTTTCCTCCCATCTTCGATCTCTCGACCGCTCATAGGTCGACATCTTACCACCACCTTCACACATTCGCTGTTCTTTCCGCCGCCTCCGCCGGCCATCTTGTTGTCTGCTTTTCTTTTGAGGTCAGAACAAAGCCAGAAACAGGCCGCTAGCGAAAAGCTCTACAACGATGTCGCGGGCTTAGCTTTCTGCGCTCCAGTGAGAACCCTCTCCTTAGACGCCTGATGAGGATGCACCCTGTGATGTGCGTCGTCCAGCTTGCATCTGCCCGAAAATTTTCACGAGTTTAACGTCAGCATCTGTGACCGATTCGCCTGTACGTCATGTGCTGACAATTTGCGTACTTATGCATGATCATGACGGATTTCTTTTTCATGTCTTTTTCGCAGTAGCTGCAGTACGAGTTGTTGTGCCAGTTTGTTCATAGGCCAAAATCATTTACCAACTTTATTTCATGTTGTACTTCGCTTTTCTCGTACTTTGCCATATTTTTCGGTGCCCTCTAACAACTTTTTGTTGTCCTGGTGTCAGACACTAAAAAAGATGAAGAGCAGAAATCTAAATGGTTATACATCATAGCATCTATCAATCCGTATCACAGTGTTCTCAGCTTGTGGCGCTTTGCAATCCTGTACAGCTGTTTTTGCTTGCAATTGAATCATCCAAGTTTCCACTCAGCAGCACACGCGACACACGACAAGAACTACGTCACAAACACAATCGACAACTGAAATAAAACTACACACTAGAATTCATCGTTCAGATGTTAATAAAATCCGTACTACCGGATGTAGTAATGCTTAAAAAATCTAACGCTAGTTGTACTACGAAAAAGAAGATAAGAAGGAGATCGAAACTCCTGCTCTAAGCACTGCTGATGAGTGTATGAATTCCGAGTTGTCTTCCCTACCCACAAAGATCTTTCTCGTGTTCTTCTAGTATTAATTCTCCTCCCCATCCTTCTCTATTCCCTCCCACCAACAGGCGACCCTGGCGATCCCGGTTCTAGCTGGTCTTCAGCGTTGTACGTTGTCGGCACTTCGTATGCCCCAATCACTCTTGGGCTGGCGCTATCTTCTAGCGAGTGTGCACCAAAGCCTGCTTCGCCAACATGGGCTTCTGGAAGAGCAATGTATGCGCACAACGATTACTATGAAGGGAAACGATCATCATGATGTTGTTCGACTTATTTATTTACTCTCAGGAAAGGTAAAGAGCTACTTCCTTTCTACTGAGAACTACGCAACTACTTAATTTCTTGAGTATGAGAAGTACAAGATGAACTACATCTACAACATTTTTTCTTGTCATAATAACCCACACAATGCCGCGTAGAGTATGAAGCAAGCACGATATCCGATGCTGTCGAACAAAATGCCTCCGATGTAGACCGCTAGGAACGGACCAACACCTTGAAATGTGAGCTGGAGGACTCCTTGAGCTGATGACTTCATCGAAGGAGGCGCCATTTTCCCAACCTCATGCACAGCAGCGGTCCAAGAAATTAGAAAAATCAGGCCTTGGTCGTTATTCGTCGTTTAAAAGAAGTTTCAGTCTACATTTAAATTTAATACGTCGGTTGCTGGTCCATTTATTTTAGTTGTGAACCAACTACAACTTTTACACAATTTACGTCGTAACACAAGAGCAAACGTGATCCCATGCAATGGCTCGACCAGCAAGACGTAGTCGGCACTTGGCATATAGGCGTAAAAGAGGGCGCGAAAGACCCACGCTGCCTGTCCCAGTAAAACCATCTTCTTCACCCCTAACCGCTCCAAAAGACGATCACCATACCAGAAAATCGGTAGTTCGAAGATGACCGTTGTCAAAACGGACAAGCCACACAGTGTTGCTGAAGCATTCAGCTTTTCCAAGACCAGGAAGAGGAGAGTTTCGACAAGCGAAAAACCACCCCCGAGGATGATGATTAGAAGAAGAGGAGAGAGAAAAACCACCACGACCGAGGATGATGATTAGAAGAAGAGGGGAGAGAAAACCCACCACGACCGATGATGGGGATTGAGAGAAGGGGAGAAGAGGGAATTGGGCAAGAGGGGCTCGTTGCTTAGAAGCGAAGGTAGAGAGCAAGTGAAGAGATTAGCTCGTGGTCCTGGTGAAGACATTAGCGCGTCGTGGTGAAGCTGAAGACATTAGCTCGTCCTGGTGAAGACATTAATAGCTCGTGGTCCTGGCCCTGGTGTCTAACTCAAAATAGTTGCGGTCCGTTCATCTTGCCATAATGTAAGATTGAAGAAGAAAATGCGTCGCGTGTGAAGCATCTCGCGAATGAGAGACCAACTAACTGGTGCCGCGTCCTTGCTGGCGTGGTCTGGGTAGTGCTTTCGCAGGCCGCGAACGGTTAAGAGAGCAAAGAACTGATATCCTACCCATATGGGCAGAAAGGACATGGCTGGAGAGGAGGAAGCGGGAGTAAGAACTGTGTCGGTGGAGGTGGAGGTCGTTGCTTTATTCGAATTTGACGTCGTGCTAGACGAGGCAGTAGCAGTACTAGCAGCCACGATGGATGAAGATGGTGTTCCTTTAGTCCCAGTTGTATCTAGATTTTTTGAAAAAGACTGATGCAGACCTGTTCTTGCCACTGATGTAGACGTATTCTCCTGGACAAGGACCTCCTGGTCTTTCTTGGCTGTGGCGGTCTCCCCTCGATCTCGATTTAATATTTCCTTACTGGTACTATCTTCACTAGCAGATGAAGCAGTGGGAGGACTTGCTGCAGCAGTAGGAGAAGACGGTTCTGCTGTGCCAGCGTGCGAAGCCATCAACATTCTATTTCCACTTCCCACTTGAGCATTGCCGCTTCTAGGAGTTGTACTACTACTCCTACTTGTCGCAGTGTAGTTGGTGTTCGCAGCACCAGCAGCATCAAGAAGAACTCCAAGGATCACATGCATGATGCCCCACCCGATGGCTCCCCACATCCTACTTTTGGACCAAAACCCGTTGTCATTTCCCCCCAAGGCCAATGTCAGCGCATCCATGAGACTATTCTGTGGCGATCGGACTAGGTTAAAGGCGAGGAACACTGCTACCACTGGCAGGAGGTGGAAAAAAGTACTCGCACTAGAGGAGGAAGACGTGCTAGTGCTGGTGGTGGCGATGGTGGAAGACGAAGTAGTTCTTGTACTAGCAGTAGAGTCCTCACCTCTACTAGTGTAATAGAAGCTTTGTCCGGCGAAAGGCAGCAAGAAGAACATCGCCTGACTCGCGAAAATGCTAAAAACGAGTACAGTTCGCGCACATCGGAGACGGTCCGCGATCCAACAGCCGAAGGGGCTTGTGATTAGAAAAATCATAGCATATAATGAAGAAAACAGTTTTTCCTTCCACTTCTTTTGAGCAGTTTCGATATTTTTCTTAGCGTAATTTGTAATTGGAAGTATTTTTGGATCTCCAGCAGCACAACATCAAAACTTGACGACGAACCTTCTCATAAAGTAAACATCGTCGTTAGCTTGCCGCAAACGATGAAATGAAGCAGGTATCATGGATCGTCGATGATCTTGTGAGACTAGTCCGGACCCGGAGATGGTAGTCACCAGAAGATGTAGATGAATCAAAGACACAGCAATAACAGTTTTCCGGTCTACTTGTTCTGACACTTTCATTCTTAGTACAACATCTACACGTACTTACACAATTAGTTCTGTGCAATCATCATTGTCTTCATAAACGCAACCAGAGCGCCAATTTGAGCTGCTGTGCATCCTATCGCGATAAAGTACAACGTCAGAAGCCGGACCCAGTGCGCGTACATACAAAACACCAGGAAATACATCATCGCTCCTACTTTGCATTAGCGTGTTGAGATGAGCGTGAGCTTCTTGAGCATGGCTTGTTGAGGAGATTCGAACAAGGCGATTTAGATCTTCTTATGTTAATTCGATTGATTTTCAAATTGCTTATCATCGAATTTCAAATTGCTTCTACTAGCCTTAACAACTATATATAATATCATATTGCATTATTTCAAGTCGAAGTGATAAATCTAAGAATTATAGAGGGAACTTCTTTACTAGCCTTAACTATACAATTCTTTACTTCGAAGTTCCCCTTGACCTTGGTCTCCAGAAGCTCCAGATAAGCTAGAAGCACCTTCACATGGAGGACGTTCTTGGTCAGGAGATGTTGATATAATGTTGCTTGATGAAGATGTTCCCATCTTCTCAGCATCGGGGTCAGCGTCACACGAGGAAGATGCAGACGGCGGACGCTCGAACCCCTTGCTCGACATAGTGCTGCTGAAACTTGAGCAGTTTCCAGCATTCCTACTGGTCGGAGCAGACGATGAAGAAAGCGAAACCAATGCGTGCTTCGATGGTGTCGCGAAGAGAGACATGATTTTGATTTTCTTGTAGTTCAACGACAAGGCTCAAGTAAGTTGACGAGGAGGATCTACAACTGGTATTTCCTCTTTTTTTGTAGTACAATGCTTTTCAAGTTCTGTACTACTAGTACTTGCTATAATTGAGTCAATTTCGTATGCAGGCAAGCAAGAAACGCTTGTCGTCGCAAATAAGGACCTCGAACTTTTTGTCTCTCTGGCTCTTCAACAAGTTCTTGCCCACGCTACATTAAGTAATACCGTTCGTTCTCCTATGTCAGGAGGGAATGAAACGCTCACCGTCAGCACAAAGCACTTTATTTCCTCTCAAAGACTCTCTCCAAATCCTCTTTTCAATTCTTGAAGATGCGCACGTCGAACACTAATAGGATATTAGGATAGGATAGGATAGGATAGGATAGAATGTGATTTGATTCGCCGTCAAACATGTTCAGGATTTCCCGCATACTTACATACTGGTACAACCTAGCATTCTGTGGGAATCATCTTCAGGGGATCGAAGAAAGGCGCGGGCCACGTTGTGCCAATAGGGAGAAGCACGACGTGGGCGTCCTGGAGCAGATGAAGGGAGTCTCAGTATATCTCAATTTCAAAGTACTAGATCTCGTTCAAACAATGAAGATCGAAAAAATTCAAGATAGAACTTCTAAGAAGAGGAGAGGGTCCTCCAAGTTTATAAGTTTTAAACATCTGTTTCTGTACAAGAAGAACTAAAACTACTACAACTACATACGAGTGTAGTAACACTACGGTCTTTCACAAAAGTTAAAGTAACACAACTACGGTCTTTCACAAAAAAATCTAAGTCTGTTCACGATTTTACAACTACGAGAAAGAAGTCCAAGGGGACAAGGATGTTGGTTAAGGATGTACAACATCGTGGACCTACTGTAGACAAGAGTATTGAATGATTTTCAGATTCTCTACAACCATAAAACTTCTACTACTACAAAGGACGCCGTGCGGGAAATCATACAAGCCCCCTGAAAAGGTTAGGATACAGAAGCTGAATACCATCAGAAGAACAAAGGGTCACAAGATTACAACACGGGCAGGCTACGGCTTGCTCATTTTTTCGGCTTTTAACACACAATTAATCAATTTCTGTTTTAAGGAAATTGAAAGTAACACAAACGATCGCTCAAAGTAGAGGCAGCGAACACATAGAAAACAAGGAAATGGAAAACTTTCAGCGGAAAAAGAACTCATCTAGTGAAAGCCCTATAATTAGGCTGACGTTGCGGTTCCGGTTGCACTCGTTCGAGGTACATCGGGGTCAACTACATGTAGTTGGTCTGATAAAGAATATTGTAAGCGAAAATATTGGGTGGGATGCAAAAATCATTGTCGTAATTCTTTACTTTCTGCCGCAGCCGGTAAAAATATGTCTCTGCTCCAGCACTAAATAGAGGAAGCTGTGGTACACAAGGTCATGTTGCGCATATTGAAGGATATTCGGGTACGTCTAACTCAAAAGGCATGATTGATAAATACTGGGATCATATCGAGACCTTTCTTCTAAACAATCATATGCGAAAGCGAATTTTGACGATCTATGTATAATTTCTAATTATATTGTCGAATGCAGACACTACTAGTAGTTGCCCAGCACCGTGGTGATGTCTATCGTCTATGTCGCATCTGTTGCTCTAGATAGCGCACCATCCGCGTCAAGGGTGATCGATCAAGAGCAGAGGCAAATCTGCTAGGAGCTCCCGATGATTCATGAGGAGCCTCAGTGGTGGTGGTACATCCTTCAAGACTACTAGAAGAAGATACGTCCTTATTGTCGCCTCCAGCTCCGTCACGCAGTCCTTCTGAGGCGAGAGAAGATGGTTGCCGTGGAAAGTGATCAACATGTTGAGAGGCACTTGCTCCTGTCGCTCTTCTACTACTCCCGGTCGTGACAGCAGTGCTGGCCTCGGATGTATCAAGGGAGCTCGAATGCAGCGGATTTGCGGTGCTCGTCGCACCACCACCACCATTTCCACCAGAGGACGTAGTCGTAGTTGGTGTCGAGAGCCCATATAATCGTTCCACTTGATCTATTTGCTCATGGAATTCTCTGACGCGTTGTTCAGCTCTCTGCCTTCGATTCCACGTTCCTACGAGCACCATAGACCCTCGATCGTCTTGTCTAACCACAACACCCGACGTCGGAGCCAGACCCTGCGTCGGGGACCAGTCTTCGGCTAGTGAGGACATCATGGCAGGTGGGGGAACAGGAGCTACAGGTACAGGATGCAGGTCATCATGACTAATTGACCTTCTTCTAGTACTTCCTGCAGGAGTAGGAATTGAAGATGGTGATGCCAATGATGTAGTCGTAGTTTCGTGTGGTAGACCGGCACTGGCACTAGCACTTCTTCCTCCACCCCCACCTAGGTAATTGTAATCACCGTCTTGGTCGTGAACTTGTGAGGGGCCAGATGAAGCTGCAACTTCATTTCCAGGACTACTTTGTTCGCTTTCCCTGCGTCGTTGCATATTGGCAACTACTGGTAAAACTTGTTCTAGTTGAGAGGATGACTCATGATTAGATGGAAGAGGAAGAGCGTCTCTTTGCTGCTCACGACCCACCTCACGACCACGTACCACTTCTACATTAGCATTTGATGGCGCAGTAGTTGTACTAGTTCCGCAACCTCCACTTACTCCCGTAGTACCACCTCTAGACGCGACCACATTGGTTTGACGAGGTGGAAGTGCTGGAGGCTGTGGCATCATGGCGGCTAGGGCTGCCGTCTCCCTATTATATTGCTCATGAGCGGCCTTTGACATCTCATTAGGCCTCGCGAACAAAGCGTCTTTCTCTAAGTTATCGAAAATATAGCCAGGTAAAACTTTAAGTGCTCTACGGAAAACGAGGACCTTTTCATCTCTTTTAGTTGAAGGCTTCTCTTGAAGATCTTCAGCTTCGACTACTGGTGTGCTTTCTTGTTTTTGTGAAGAACCCTCCTGTTCGGCTATTTTTTCTACATCAAGATCTTTTTCTTTACTTCTTCCACCGCCGCCTCCGTCTCCGGGTACTTCGTGAAGATCACGGTCGGGCATGAGGCCCCAAGCGCCGCGCGCGTATTCTCCTAGCAACTGTGTCCTTGACCACTCTGCGCGACCAAAAACGACGCCCATGTAGTCGCGAACGGAACTCCTTAGGTCCTCTATTTTCAGAAAAGCGTCCGCGTCACTGCAGTAAACTAAGACGCGCTCGTCGTCTGAAGCCAGAACGCGGAGTCTAGCGGACGTCGTTTTCACCGAATTGCTACGCGGCACGCGGCTGCGTGCGCTTGGTAGTTCCCGTGATGACGCAGAAGGATGCTCCTGTCCACGACCCTGTCCACCTCCTCCGCTATTCGCGGAATTTGTACGAGTCTGGTTCTGGTTCAACATCTGCGGTCTTCCGGTCCTGCGTTCTTGATTGTTGTAACTGCTTGCGCTTCTTGGTGTCGGGTGTGGTGAATGTCTTCCAGGTGAGAAGTTCTCAGAACCAAACTCTGCAGAACCAAAATGAGTTGTTCCTGTTCCCTGATGTTGATTTTGTATTGAAATTGATCTAGGACTCGTCGATGTTGTCGGTGCGTTGTTGAGGACGCTACTGGCTCCACCTGTTCTTGTTCCAGCATAAGAAATTTTGCTGCTCACGTGGGACACGGCACCTGCGGATAAGCGGAGCATAGCATTGATTGGCGCAGTCAAACTTCTAGCCGCAGATGAAGTAGCACCAGTGCTACTTGTTGAAGTTATACCAACTAGTCCACTTGTCGTTGTCTTAGATCCAGGCGCAGAAGCGGTGGAGAGAGCTGCAGGTGAAACCGATAAATTTGTAGATGAATCCACCTGCTGCAGCTCTTGGATACTACCATTCGGAGGCTGGGATGCACGACGCGAGTGTTCCTCGTGAAGCGGCCTTGGTGTGGTGCTTTCAGACGAGCGTAATTCTCCCGTACTGCCTAGCAAACTTCCTGTCAGAGAAATCGTTGCTGGCGACAATGGGCGCACACGGTCTACTTGATGTTCTTCCACTTGAAGTAGACTCCCATGTCCTTGAGACACACTAGTCGATGTAGTATTAGTCATAGCTGGAAGCGTTATACCAGCGCCAGTTGGGGTTCGAGGGGAAATAAAGAGACGAGTCTTAGTACTGATGTCGGAACTCGCCCTCTCGTGCTCACTCATGTTCGCAGGTATCGCAGGCTTCTTTCTACGGCTATTGCTTGGGGACGATGATTGGTCTTTTTCTTCGTCCTGTTGTTGATGTGCTGGGAGAAGTGGCGCAACCTCTGCTGGTGGTTGTGCAAGAAGAACTTCTTGGTCGCCTGATGTTAAACCTCTGGGAGCTTTACTGCCACCCCCACTACTCCCTTGCTGGTCCAACATACTTCTAGAGCTACTGGTGCTATTTTCTGATATAACCGCTAAAAGGTACCAGGGATTTTCCCGAAGCATAGGGTTTCTAGGAACAGAAGGGTTTGTTGTTCCATCTCCTTCTCCTGAGTGTTCTTCAGGTGACCCGCCAAAATCGCAGTCATCATCCGAGCTCCCGCCTTGTGAACCCGAAAACAATGAAGAAGGTACCTCCGAAGCCGAGGGAAGATGATCTCCCGACGACTGTGGGATCGACAAAAACGTAGAACTTGAAGATCGGTTAATGGCAGCCAGGGGATGGGGAGCTTGTTCTTTTATTTGCATGATCGCGTTGAGGGAGCTTCCCTGAAGGTGATGTTCATCATTATTTGTTGCGGTAGTCGGACGAGAAGCAAGAGATGCTCCTGCAACAACATGCTGAGGGTCTTCTTGGTCTTCGTTATTTTTGTTCGCATCAACATCTGTCGAAGTAGAAGTAGCCCTCTTTATGATCGCAACATTCGCAGGTGCAGCTGGAACTCCTGCAAAGTCTCGCTCACCTCCTACTTCTCCAACCTCATCTCCGACGTTAAGAGTTGGAGAGCAGGGAAATAATGTTGATCGTCCACAAGATGAGTTATACTCCTGCAACTGCTGTTCGTGTAGGAGCATTCTCATACTTCGACTTCCAAGCTTGTTCTGATCCTGCGAAAGCAATAGCTCTTCATCTCCAGCCAATTCGAGTATTCGACGCAGCCTACTTGCCCTACGTCTTTTTCCCCGAATACCGACTACGCCACGGTGTTGCTGAGGATGAGGCGGCCTTGTTTTAGTACTGGAGGACGCATCTTGAAGATCTTCATCTGCTGGTTCTCTATGTTGATTATCTTCTGCTCCAGAGTGAAGAATAAAAGCATTCTTGGCTCCAAGCCCAGCACTACCCACGTGATCACCTCCTTCGACTTCTTGTTCTCGTAGATACATTCGTTGTTCGGTCCTCTGTTGCTCGCTCATGAGCAGAACGCTTTCTGCCAGGATCATGCGTTCTCGTAGACGTTCCTTATCCAATATGGCAAGAATCTGGCACTTCCGCGTCTGACACGGCCCACCGGCTAGGGTAAAGACGCGAACTCGTTGCTGCTCCCGTATGAAATCGCGCAATCCCTTATGCGGACCGTTCCATTCGTCTAGACTCAACTGAATTGGTCTCACTAGATTAAAACCGATAAGCTTCTCATCCTCCTCCTCGTCGACCTGAACAACAAGGTGATATAACAAGACTATAAACATTTTTATCAGTTTGAAATTGGATTTGATTTTTGTCATGATCATGTGAAGAGGTAAGAGTGAGTGAATGTCACGCTTGAACAAGAACCTCGTGAGTCTTTACCAGTCGCTGAAAGTTCAAATTCTATCGGTCTTCAAGGCACACAAAAAAAAATAACAGCACGAGAGGACTACTCAAAAAGTCAAACCATACCAGCATGTAAGCACTGTTTCGAAAGTGTTGGTGCTTCATTTCCACTATGACTCGGATCATAAGCGGCAAAGATTCAAGGCGTGCCCTACTCCTCTCTTCTTCGCGCTCGTGCAGCATCATTCTCCCTACCTGCAAGGCTTCCGGCTGCAACCCCGTCAAATCTTCAAGCAAGTCTCGACGTGATAGTGGCTACATTAGAAGAGGTGGATGTCGATCTGTTGTGCTTGTGCATGATGATCAAGATACTCACCACATGATTCTAGATCTAGATGAAGATAAACATTTAAAGATTAAAGCACCATCCTGAAGTTGTAGTACATAATTATTATACCCGGAAGTTGTAAGTAAGTGGATTATATATTCATCATGGGGAGACGAAGACGATGATGCAGCTTGTACTCGTCCGTCCTGATGGATTAACATTGATTAAGAAAGGATTCTGATCTTTTTACGCCTTAACTGAAACTTGAAGGCTTGCAGGCACAGGTTGCATTGTTGATGACGTTTCTCACGTCCGCCAGCATCCGGATTCGATTGCATATTCAGTTGAATCGTTCTCTGCCATTTTCGCAAGCAACTGAGGTGGACCCATTTTGCGCTACCTTCGCAGCCACACGCTGCAATGAGCTTTTCTTCCAAAGCTTCTTGTTCGCCATCAACTACATCTTTTGATGTTGATGCGCATGCGGAGCTTATAATGATATCACGAGATGAAAAATGGTCGCTTTTTCGGAGTTTCTGAAGACCACCTCCAACAACACTCCTCGGCCAAGTTTCTGTGCCACCTTCTTGCAGACAGAAGCGACATCGCGGAGTATCCACCTCCCCCGCCAGAGGTCCGCGGCCATTCCTTCCTGAGGGCAGCGGCATTTGACAGAGTGGCTGCTGAAGAGCCATGATCAATAGGCTATCATAACGTCAGCTGCTAGTGCTACGTGGTCCAAAGTAAAATTAAATAAAAGTAGAAGAACGAGTGTCATCTTCCTCATAAATACGATTTTTGAGGTGGACCTAGAGAATGTACACAATCGAGGACGAGGAGTTACATGGTTGATACACGACCAATGAATATTCACGGAACACAGAAAGTACAAGGCGACTTACGTACACGTAGTTCTTAGTCTTTTTAGGCGACTTACGTAGTTCTTAGTCTTAAGTGTGTTAAGCGAGTCAGTAGTTGTTACTTACTTACAACTACTAGTAGTAGAGATTATTAGGACACGAACCTAAAGCTAAAGAATGTTCATACAAAGTTAATACAGCGAGAGCGATTCATCAGATTGTAGACATGGATCTGTCGGAATCCCAACAACCGTAAAATATGCAATTGCAATTATGCTAAATGCTCAACATCTTCATGCTGTTAGTTTATAATGTCTCTCTCTCCACCAGTATCATTCGACAAGAACCCCTAGATGTTGTGACTACATTTAAGGTAAAGGTAGTGGGTAAAGGAGGAGGAAGCACTGGGTTCATCAAAAGCAAAACTAAAACTTCGTTCGTGTCTGTTGATAAAATAAAGTTCTCATCTGCGGCAAAAATGATCTGTTTCAGCGTTCAGAAAATAAAGGGGATATGAATCGTCGTTTAGTATTCAGGTGAGGACACAACTGAAAAAAGGGACTTAGCTTTAGACTCTCGATAAAAATTAAAATATTTCAACAATACTAAATCTAGATCATACATCAGCTTCAGCACTCGTCTTTTCACAGTGTAACACCGGGCATGCTTTCTCTCCCTCACAGCAAGTAGAACAACACTGTAAGGTCGCTAAGACAGAGATCATTCTAAGAACACGACAGCAGTTCCCCTTCGATTGCTGCGGGTCACTAACATAGTTCATCACCAAGTAGAAGCGCGCAGGCCTGTCTTTCCTGAAATAATAAAAGGCGACAGAACGGATGTTTTTGTAGATGAAGGTGACTAAAAAAATCCTAAGCACCATATTACGTGGGTCTGGGTGCATAAGGACATCAAGATGAAGATAATCTCCCTGCCTTCACTCAGTAAGAACCCAAGTAGAACACTCATCATGATCATTCGTTCAGACAGAGGTGAATCACAACAGCAAGAACACGACATCCGTTGATTATATCAGGTGCAAAGCACGTGAAAAATCCGAGAGAGATTTTTCTCCCTCTCCCAGCAATCTTTGACTGAAGACCAAGGTCAATTTGATGCTCGTTTTTCTCATTCATGAAAATGTTGAATTATTGATGCATTTTTTGGAATTTTGATGAATATTCTTCTGAAGTAGCAAGGCAATGGTGCAAAAAGTTTAGTATTGATATTGTAGCTTGTTAGCGTTAACTACCGTGTTCTCTAGCAGTAGAATGATCTGCTCACCTAGTACGATTCCACCTCATCCTCGTAGTATGCTCGCCGCCGTCGAGTTGAAGCGCGAATACCCGACAGTGTCCTCTCTCGGTCCGCGAACATAGTGAAAGAGGGATGCTGATCTTCTAGACTTACAACAACAAGTAGACCAACTAATTCTACGAATGTCGAAAGGACTAGACGGCGTTTGACTAATGATCTCTAGTCTTCTATTCCTGCTTTAAATCTTATAATCAAAAAGAACACGCATAAAAGAGGATGGAAAGATCAGAAAAATGAAATCATCAAACAAGTTATTCATCTTATTCTTAATGTTAATCTATCATAATTCAAGGACTAAAAACATCGATATTACATATTCATCCGTGAGTCTAGCCACGCAATTTCAACATTTTCAAATTCCTTCACCTTCATAATAATTAAACTGTCCCGCTTGTGTGATTTCACTGGCCAGAGGTTCGTGATATAGCTCGTCCTGCTCGTCTTCTTCGGGACGTAAAGGCGGATAGATTTCGTACAAGGCGGATGGAGGTTGCAACTGGAGGATTCCTTGCAAAGATTCCACAACCTCGTCGAAATCGTACCTCTGGAGCAACTGACTCGGCTTCTCGGTCATCAGGACAATTAGGAGATGATCGAAAAGAAAAGATTACTTACAGTCTTAGAATATATGGCATGGTGCACAAAAATCCTCCAGATCAGGCAAAGGTAGATACAAATAGATGATCGAAAAGATTACTTAGTCTTAGAATATATGGCTGCCCAAAAATCCAGATCAGTGGCATGGTGCTGCCCAAAAATCCTCCACATCAGGTAAAAGTTGTAGATACAACTGTAGAGAAGTGCTTGCTATCTCTGGTGGTTCTTGTTACGCTCGAATAAATGTTGGCATGGTGCCCAAAAATCCAGATCAGGTAAAAGTAGATACAACTGTAGAGAAGTATAAGATCAATCTTGCAAGTACTACGTGCTAAAGTTAGGATTAAGAGAGAGTAGATCAATGCTGTAACCACTACCGCTTACACGTACTTGCCATAAATGAAACGCCCAATCGTTAGGTAGTTTCTCGCTTAGATCTTCGGCTAGACTGCCTATAGATCCTGGCTCCCCGAATCTTTCTACTGGCTCACTGTCGGCGCCCACAGCACAAAGGATTATTTGGAACAACGAAACTACGTCTCGTCCCGCTACATTGCTATCCTGCTGGTGCTGAGTGGAGGTCTTGCAGCTGCTGTGTTAATTTAGAATCTGGATATCGGTAAGGGAGAACAACATCTTCAATATGGTCTCATCATGTTACGACATGAACATCAACTTCTAACCAGTATTTATTATTCTGAAAGCTCAAGGGAAAACGAAAATATACCACTACAACATGCTGTTCTACTACGAAAAAAAGTGAAGCTCTAGTTGTCCAAGTAATTCATCGATCCTTGATGATTCATCAACAGGATTTTTAGGTCTCAATCTACTCACTGTCTTCGCTATTCGTTGGGACTCTTGGAAGTCTATCTGTAAATGCAATTCTCACTATCATAAGTCTTTCTTCCCACTCCTTGCACGCAAAGCTGAGGCGGGTGCATTAGCCAAATACGGAACCCAGTTTTCTAACCCAACCCGCAAATCCTGCAGCATTGCCTGTCCACCCGCAATATCAGTAGATTCGCCGTCACTGAGATTAAAGAGTGCACCTCGTTTCATCTTACGCAGAACAAGATTGAGCTCTTTGTAGAACTACCTGCATATTAGCGGAACAATAAGTTTGTAGTAGTGGAGGTTTTTCATCAATCCAGATCATTGATTGGTCTGCAGAAAGAAAAGTAGCAAGGAGTGACCTTAATAGGACTACTTCTGTCTTCGGAGCATGTCCTGTCAACTTCTCCTGCTTGCTGTTCATCGTTATGGTTCCCATTTTCGTCTGCTTTTCCACCTCCAGCTTCTGCGACATTAGTATCTTCTCCAGTGCTTGAAGATTGCTTCATTTTTATGTCTTCTTCATTTGTTGTATTCTCAGATTTTTGATTTTGTCCTACTTCAGAGTTTTCAGAGTTTTCTAGTGCATTTTTATCCGCTGCGCCTGGTTCTTCATTTTCGTCACTGTTTTTCACAGCTTGATGTTCATTTTGTCCATGTTCATCTTCACCACTAGCTATATGTGGATCTACTTCGTTCTCCTGTTCTTGTGCCAGTAGTTGTTGTTCATTGTTATGTTGTTCATTTACAACTTCTTCTTCATCGTCTTCCCCTTGTTCGTCTGGCTGGAAGCTCTCCGCTACCATGCGTGCCCGGACACGTGTTCTGGACTGAGGAAAAGACTGTCCTCCAGTGGAAGCTGAAGGTTTACCGCGTGGCTGTCCTCCTGCTCGATCATGAAGAAGCCCATCTTCATCTTCATCGCTGGAATAGTGATGGCCGCCGCCTCCTCTGGCCAACATGGAGCAGGTCCTTCCACCTGGTGCAACTGCACCAAGGTCGTTATGATCTGGTGCATTGATATTCGTGGCAGACGAGGAAGATGAGCCGCCAGCTACCATGCGAGCACCGCCAGCACTCCTACTCTTGGGATACACCTTATTCTTGCTCTTTTGTTTTGTTAGAGGCTGTCACGATCGTATCTATCAGGACTCACAGAAAAGTGGTCCACCTCAAAAATAAACTGAAGATCAAGATGAACAGATGATCATGTGTTCACTGCTCTTCAATAAAAGTACCAACCTCTATCTCTATGTACTACACACAGTTCAATCAACGTGGCCCACTCATGACGAGGACGAGTGGGTAGCAAGAACGAGTACTATTAGTACACGCATTAACTGTTCCTCTGGCGGATCGAATTCGGATCCTCCGTAAGCTCCCTCTCCAGATATGCCTCCACTACCAACTCCATACCTGTTGCGACCACTCTTAGAGTGGGTCTTCTCGTTGTAGCATATGCATCTGTGTAGTTGAGATATATTTTTACTCTGTGGACCTATTTTCCCCGCCTTCGAAGAACCGGAGGTAGCGGAAAGGATGCTTGTCAATCTCAACGTACTTAGATGGTATTAATTATAAAAAAATTCAGCCTTAACACTTTGACCACGTCGATTTCCTGGTGAAGATGTGTCATGCTGAAAATACATAACCTGCGGTCCGTCGTGAGCCTCGGAGGAAACTATGCTACTCCTTCCTGGTGGAGGTGCTTCAGGAGATCTGCTTCGATTATGACGGTTATTTGCGTCATCTTCATCCGACGAGGAAGAAGAACCACCTTCTTCACTCTGGTTGATTAGAGATAGCAGGCGAAGAGTGTTTTAGATGGTGATAGGATCATTAGTAGGATTCAAACATCTTCATCGATCTGGGTTCCGTCATCTCATAGCGGGTACTTGTTGTTGTATTTTTTCGTCTTGCTTTTCTGCTGCATTTAAGTCATGATTTTTATTTCATCCTTAAATGGGTACTAGAGAAATACCCGTAAATTGTATTGCTGTAGCTGTGCAGCACGTTGACGACCTCTCGCGTCTCCGGCTACTCGACTCGAGGGTCGCGCGTCCATAGCCCAGCTGCTGGGCATGTGACCAGCGGGTGGACCGACACTGATGTGTTGAATTTGGTTTAGGACATGATTTCTTGACAAAAGACGTTATAATTTCTTGACAAAAGACATGAGTTGTTCTTGTTGTTTCAAGATAGAACTAGAAGCTACAACTGGTTGTACTTTCTATCTGAATTGTGTCGGAGAGTCCCCGGTTGCACCAGTCCACTTACATAGTAAGGGGGTATCTTCTACTCAAGGGCCGCCAGATGTAACTTCACTGTGTTCCGGGGGGAAGAGTAATATCTTCATAAGTGAAATAAAAAGCTTAAAAAACATCAAGAGAAAGAAACATCAAAGAAAGCACATTTAAGTACTATCGCATCTCTTTCGATCTTTCTCCACCTCTACGTGCTGGACTAGGACTATCATCATCTTCGCCTAGTGCAGCATCGATGTCGTTCATCAGGTTTTTCATTTTCGAAAATTTCTCATCGTTCTCGAGATCCTCCTTGGCCTTTATCTTGGCTTGTTCACGCTTCGTAAGCTGGGCGTCGTCGAGGACATCTGGAAGTAGAGAGGTAGGGGAACAAGTTGTAGGATTGTAACATACGGGAGACAATGACACCAGACAGATCATGAGTGAAAAACATGTTGATGTCAGATATTGATGTAGCTGAATGAAGAAACCAACAAGAGGAGAGAAAGGTAGCAAATCCTAGATGTTGAACTACGCCCAAGTTGGTAAAAATGAAATAAAACAACAAAATGACGAAACAAAAATACCATAGTCCTCATTGCTATCCCTTTCTTCCGAGTTGCCTCCAAACAGCTTATCGTTATCCAGTTCAGCTGCACCGTCTCCGTCTCGACCGCCGACAGGAGAGCACGCGCCGATTTCCTCATCACTATCCTCATCTAGGGCTATCGGAACCTCGATTTTCTGAACCTTTTTGTACTCGTCGCTCTCCAACCAGTCTCGGTTGGAGGGTTAGAAGTAGCGACTGAGGAGGAGGAGAAGGATGAGGAGGAGCGAATACGACAACCCTGTTTGTATGGTTCTGGTATTTGGTTGCCTGAGTTTGATCCTAAGGGTTCTCCTCTTGTTTTCCCGTAGGATCAAATTCAGGTTACCAAATACCGGAACCATTCACTGTTAAGTACTTCATCTAGATCACGACCAAGTAGTTGTAGTTTTTTCATTGTATAAGTAAATTTTTTCATCAGGAAGATGGGGTATGGATTCACGTTGTCCACTACCAGTCACAGACTCGAAAAGTCATAATATGCAGTCATGGCGGCTAGCGCAGCTTTGAAATCAGCGGAGGGCTCCAGTTGCTTTACGACACCTGACAGTCGAGCGTGATCAAGACCATTACAGTCGTGATCAAGACCATTTTCTACCTATGATGCCGCATATGTTCTACTTGTGAATACACCTACCTATGATGCAGCCGCATATGTTTTAGACCAGGATTTTTCTCGTTGCACGACCTTATTTCTTTTTTCGTTTCTGGCTAGCCTAAGGGGGCCCAATTCTCTATGGACCGACGTCGCCACTCAGCCAGACTCGCAGTGGACCCGCGGAGCCGGAGCCCCTCGTCTGGGATGGCAACCAGTGGACTTCGTAGGCGTCCCCAGAGGAGCCGCCTCCCTTCGGAGGCTCTGGTCTGGGAGGCTCGGGAGGGGGTCAAAAGGGGTGGCAAAAAGGGTCCACTTTGACCCCCCAAACGAGGGGGTACAAAAGGCGACACTTTTGGGGCCAAAAGTGTCGCCTGCTGTACCCCCCCAGGCCCCACGGAAGGGGGCCGTTTTAATGCCGAAAAAAGTGTCGACGTTTTATTTTCAAAAATGGGGTGCAAAATGACCCCCATTTTTGTCGCCTCTGCTTTTTTCAAGATGGACCCGTCTTGCGTACCCCTTGGCTCGCTCCGCCGTTTGGTCGGGGTTTGCTATCATTCATGGCGGGCCGGTTCGCCTTGGGAGGTGCTTCGCTGTCGATATCGACGGCGCCGATGGCCCACGGCCGCGCAGCGTCCAAGGCGTAGGGGAGTTCGCCAGGCCTTGCCACTGGCGGCATTTTTGAAAAAAAAGTACGGTTGTGCAACGAGAAAAATCCTGGTCTAAATGTTCTACTTGTGCCTAGACATCATACTCTCACATGCGGTCAACATCGAGGTCCTTGTGTCAAAGATCATGATCATCAAGAAGTTCTTGTCTTGATATAAGTACCTCCTGCCGGTGCCGGCTCTGTACTATGCGGCATCTCCACTCCTCCAGCTCCATCTGCAGTTACACCAAACAGCGATGAAGTTGCATTCATCTGCCTCTTCGTTAGAACTTCTACCGATGAAAATCTATCTATTGTTCAGGAACAATGTTACATCTATCTATTCATAGATGTTACATCTATCTTCTTGATCCAGCACCCGCCTCTATCCAACCCGCCTCTATCCATTTGATCCAACCCGTTTTATTCCCTGTTCAAATAACAAAAGTAGGGAGGACCAAGATGTTCTGCAAGACTTGTTTAAGATACAATAATTGTCCGTCGATCATGTCTTAACTTCGGTTCTGCTCTCTGAAGGACTAGTTGCCATGTTTTTTGGAGCAAAAAATTGGTCCTCTCTGGTTCGTGTCCGCATACTACCTTCAAAGCACTGATCTCGATGCCTTCCCCAAGCTCCGACGACACGATCGACGCCCACTGGGTTAACCTTGAAGATGTTTGTTGTTTCAGAGGAAACGATCGAGGCCCAAACGGGGTGACCGATTCATCATGAAGTAGAGTAGAACGTGCGTATTTTGTCCGTTCAAGTTACTTACTTATTAGAAGATAAACTCTACATCAAAAATAGTTACCATTCTATTTTCTCTTGTTTCGTACTCGGTGTGTAGTTTGCTGGCAGGAGCTCATCAAAACAGTCCAGTGCATATAACTCAAACAGAGCCGCGACTATGTCGAAGAGAAAAGGGCATTAGAAACTGAAAAAATTGTCTCCTCGTTCGCTCAGTCATGATGATCAAAAAACGGGAAGATGCACCACGGGTCCCTTACATCAACACGAATTGAGTACATGATACTTCTTTTTTCACGACTGATACCTCTGAAAATAAGCAGGCGAGATGGCCTAAGAATCACAAAAACAAATTTCCTTAACGAAAGGGAGGCTTTATTAGCCTGTCAGCGGTCAAGCGTGGTTTATCCAATGCCTGCCCAAGTCCTCGCTGCGTCTCGAGGAGCCACTCTGGAAGATCTTCCTCCATGCTATGTGAGGGATCGATGGCGACTGTCATGTCCTTTCCCTCTTTTTCTGTCGTGGTCTGTATCGTTTTTTCTTTATCTTACTAGAACTAGATACGTACTAAAAACTTCTTGTTCTTCTACTACTTCTACTTAGTTATAGGTAGCTTGCTTTTCAATCAATCTAGTGGTAGTGCTAGACCTAGAGCTTGGAAGCGCTTGCGAAGGGATAGGGCAATTCCTCGTTAACATCTCCTAAGTTCTATTTTTATGAGTGTCGGTTTATTCTCTGTTCCTCATCTTGCCCATTTTAACTCTTTCGCACAACTCATCTTCTGTTCTTTAGCTTCTTACTTTTTCGTACATTAACCCTCAGTCCTCTCGAACTCTTTTACTTTTTCATTATCAGCACTCGAACATCAACATCTTCATCGGTTCACCTCTAGTAGTGGATACTGGATACTAGAAAACGACGTAATTGTACTTATCTTCAATCTGTATAAAAAGTAAGTACATAGAAACTGAAACGCCTGTAGCATCATTATAGACATTTGACATTGCTCGATGTTGTAACAAGAACTTTCGTGGAAAGTAGACGCATTCTTGGCTTTCGGCTTGTGCTTCTTCTTATTCACCCTGACGTTGGTAGAAGTTGCACAAAAGAAGGAGAGTATTAGTATCTATACGCATGCGTGCTGTTGTCCCTGTTGCCATAGTTCATGATGACCGTAGAAACGTGGTCTGACAGATTGTCCTCGCTTCTTTGGCGGATGCAACTACCTTCCACCAGAAACTCCGGTCGTATGGCAGGACACTACCACGAAGATGCGGAAAATGACAACATGTTGCCATTGTCATATTCCGCAGCACTATTGATAAATAACAACGTGAAAATAATAGGTAAGTACTTAAGCCCTAAGTCTCAAGGATGAAAAAAGAATGCTGTCAAGAACATGAAAATCATGAATCAACATCAGAATTATTTGCTCAACAAGTACAACAAGCTTCAAAGAATGACGCACTCCTCTGCAGACTGTGACACAGGTGGAGCCGGAAGATCCCCCGTCTTGCGTTGATGCAGAAAATGCTCTGCCTTATGGGATTAGAGAAGGAGAAGGCAGTTTGGGTTTGGTTTGTTACTGTGACACCAGTACTCTTTCTGCTCGTCTGACTTCGCGATCACTGAATCAGAAAATAGAAGAAATTGAAATACGGTCGTGATCATGCTATCTTCGAGGACATCATGTTAAACGGGCAAAGAAACAAGAGAAACAGCGACTACATCACGAAAGAGAGAAAGAGCAGAAAGTGCTTTTCTTGATAGAAGACCACTAAGATGTTTCTTCTTGAAAAGATAGTTTGTTCGCGTTTTAGATCACTAAGATGAGTATCGAAATTTCTTCTCCATAATTCAACGCATCGATCAAGACCAACAAGATGTGAATATCCTGTTGGACATCTTCGTGGGTCTCGCCATCAGTCAGCGGAGGCAACCGTGGCCACTCGTCTTCCTGCTGGAAGTTTTCGCCAGAGGTGGGCATTGTGTCACCAGCATTTTTTTAGCGGGGGTTATGGTGTCCTGTACTTATAAAGTAGGAAAAGTTAGCAAGACATAAGTAGCAGAGACTAGTATAATCTTGGGGATGATGGTGCGAATCTATATCTAATTGGAAGCTGCCATAATTCTTCTTCACCGCCAACCCCTTCGCTTTTCGTCCTGCGCCCCCACCTCCAGTTTCAGCCTCGATGGTCGGGGATGGGATAGCTGATGAAGGTGTATTCTTGTTCGAAGCAGCAGCAGGACCAACTTTGATGCTAGGATCAGCTTTTGAAGTGAGTAGAGTTACATCTGGCGGCAAAGGGGCAGAAGGAAAATTCTGAAGAGCCAATGCTGGTATTGGGAAAGCTTCGGTCTCGAGTTCTTCACGTGGATTAGACGTTGGAGGGGGTAAGCGTAAGCAGCTTCTTCTACTAGGCTAGTAGAGGTTTCTTTTGTAAACGTCAGAAGTACACACAGATTGGTTTAACCCATTGTTGTTCATGTTCAGCAGCTAGTGCAGCTGTTTTCTAGGTGCTGAAGAGAGAGCAGGAGCATTAGCAGTTCAAATATAGAGATAAATAGAGGTGGAGCTTTCTCAGCTTCTCAACCTCTAATGTATTCATCACCGACTCTCTTATTGTCACAAAAAAAAAAGCTTAAGCTATTAATTGTCCTCATAAAAATGCTTTCGTTGTCATCGATGCTCGTCTGCAATGGCCGTGTGTAGTTTGTAACGATACGAATCACTTCCGGCAAGGCCATGTCGTCTACCTCAGCACCGGAGCTTGTAGACTCCCGCCTCTGAGGCAAGTGATGTGGTGGCACAGGCTGAATGCCACTAGAGCCTCCGGTCTGCCGTACTAAGTCGCCAACAAGAGTATCCTCGTCAGAGGAAGTCGGGTTGTAAAATGAGGCACCTGGGAGTGGTAATTGATGAAAACTAGATCTAGATGATTAAGATTATCATCAAGTGAAATTGAAAACAACATTTAGTTGATATAGTTCTTCTGAGATGAAGCACGACGAGCACAACTAAGAAGTGAAGTTCTTCGAAATCGAAATTCGAAAAAAATAGTGTGATTCACGCAGACGCATAAGCAATTATAGCAACAAGAACTGAGCCTGAATGATCTGAAGTCATCAAAGGATGTAGATGTAGTTACTCTGATAATATCCACCGCAGTCCCGACCATCGTAGTAGAGAGCTTCAGGACCACCACCTCCTCCTGCTCCTCCTCGTCCCCCATTCTCGTCTCCACTACCTGAGATCCTAAGCATTTTTGGCAGTTTTGCTAATGTTAGAGCGAACGACTCTAATCCGTCTCGAAGTCCATCCCGGGACGACCGTTTTCCCCTTGGGAACGTCTCGAAGCAGATAGATGCTTGTGCTCCTTCGGAACAAGATGGACATGGATCACGGTCAGGGCGGGAGGCCTTAATAATGTGCGTCTTCTCTGGTCTGTGAGTTGGTCGCCGTGTGTACACAGAATCGCGAAAGGGACGCCTCGTGACTGCAAATCTCCTAGAAGAGCAGTATAGGACTCCCGAAAGTCTTCATCCTCGAACAAGAGCTCTTGCTGATTCGGATCAATGACAAGGAAGACGAAGTGCGGCTCGCTCTCTATCGTGCTTTGGGGATTAGAGGATGGGCAGGGGAACGGGAATCATCAATTGATCTTGCTGTTATTTTTGCGAGGAGAAGTTGTTCTTGTTTTATTCACATGTTTTGAATATAATCAGATGAATAGGGAAGAAGATGGGACACCGACATCAAACTTCTCGTATCAAGTTACGACTACGACTAGCATGCTCACCAAATAAACTTCTAAGTTGTAGTTGACTGATTCATCAGATAAGTAGGGATAAGAAATAAAATCAGTACAACGGCCTTAAGATTCCGCATGACTCGGCGACTAAAGGCTTTTTTCATCTCTGCCTCAGATTTCCAGAATTCTCGGAGCATCAGCCAATATCGCTTCCGTTGTTGTATCACCTTTTCTGGCAGTGCACGACCCTCAAGAACCTGGATGAAACGGAGGAAGTCACGGTCATAGGTGAATTGACTCATTCCAACAAACTGATTGCTCGCTGGTGGGTTCTTTGGGGGGCTTGTGGGCTGCTAGATAATTCTTGGGGCTATTGAGTGAGAGGGACGGAATCAAAGGCCACTTCCACGACCTGGCAATTACGGGGGGACGGGCTCCTGACACATGCAAGAATAACATCTGCAGAGAGACCCAAACGACACCCGCCAGTACCTACTTAACCACATAGCCCAAAAATTAAGCCACAGCCGCCGGCGCGCTTGCTGCGGTGTAGTTCGCGCGCCTGTTCCAACGACAAGCAACAGACAACACAAGAAGCCCACGAGAACAACACCGAGCGGCCCCCGCGGTGTGTGCGCATGTAAGAGGCCGCCCGCGCCTGCGTCAGCCATCTAGCCACTTGGAGACCAGCTGAAGAATGAGCTAGACAGCGCGTCGCCCGCCAAGAGTCCCGTCTTATGATCCTCAATCTCTTTCAACAGCGGGGCGCGGAGGCCAAGACCGTGCAGTAAGGCACGAGCCGCCCCCGCCCTCCTCGTCCCTGAAAGAACCACCCAAAAGGTCACGCCAACCTCCTCTTCAAGGGTCCTGACTGGCAAGAGATTGACCCCTCACGACCTTGCCCCCTCGAAGACAGAAGCCCGGCGAACGCGCAACGCATACCAGGGAGGAAAACTGCACCCAAGCCCGGCGGCCGTTCGTTGTAGAAGAGAGCCAAAGCGAAGCCCCCCGGGTTTGTGAGCCTTCGGCCTGATGGCAAGGCATCGCGCCCCCTGGGAGTCAGGTCGAAAAGGCGACCAAGGTCGCGCCGTCTCCTTTTTCCATGCCAGACGAGATCGAGAACCAAAAACGGCGGCAGCGTCCTCCCTCAGTGAATGCGACGCGACCACCCTTCAGCCTGGCGATCGTAGATCGGCAGCCCGATGGCCTTCGCAGCTTCTCAGGTGAACCGCCGAGAGCGAAAGCACCCCCGCCAGACTCCGGCGCCGATCTGTCTCGCTGCTCAAAGTGCCCCCCTGCTACCGGTCCGGTCTCCCTTCGCCGCGCGCCACTCACTGTGCTCAGGCTGGCCACGCCCTAAACAGTGGCGGAATCTGCAAAGGGGCCGCGACATTCAGAAACGAGCCAGCCTTACCGCGAAACTCGCGGCGAACACCTGCCCACTCGATTTGGGAGCCGGACACAGTCTGGCGCCGCGCGTCGCCTGATTCAGTGGCGGCCGCTGGCGGTCCTTTTCTCACAGGCAAAGCATCGGCTGCGAGGGCATTCCGGCCCAAGTAGAAGTCCCCCCGCCTGCTCTCTTTGCCGCGGGGCCGATATTCGTTCCCCTACACCGTTCGACAATCCTGAAGCGACGGCGGCCCTCCTTGCGCGGAAGCGTCCCCGACTACGACTGCGCGGCAGCTTGCCACGCTCCGCAGACGATTCGAGACCCGCGCACCCCCGTGCTTGACATCGAACCCTTACAGGCTTCCGCGTGTCTAAAACTGCCCCACCATCCTGCAACTGGCTCGCAAGCAACCTCAGCCCATGAAAGCAGCGAGGACTGATAGGCACCATTATCCATTCTCGTTCCCTTGGAATAGACTGCGGTCTAGAGTTGCATGCAATGTAGTACCAACTTCATTTGTTCCAGTTCCTCTTCGCTGTATTCCCGTTGTCCTCTCGTGTCGTGGATTCGTATCGTTTGTGTCAAAGGGTAGACCGAATATCGCGACGTCCCATCATCCGTTCGATACATATTTATAGAGATGCTTCTACTTGAATCATCAATGCAGTTATTTGAGTTCATCAATGCAGTTGCTTTCTGGAAATTCGTGCCTCTTTTTTTGCAAGTTCAAGGACCCCAACAGGAAGGAATTAAAAGCGAATAATGTAGGCTCTACAGGCACTTCTACGCACGAAGAACGAAAAGTGGATGAAGTAGATAGAATTGGAATTGCTAGCCAACGAGAACGAACAGCAGTATTTCTGTATTATTTTATGATGCTTCATTAGCTTGATCTACTTCTTAAATTCTAGCTCCAGGTTCCGGATTTGCTTTGGTAGATTCCGCGCACCAAGCAAAGCTCGAAAACAGGTTCTGATAAAGCTCGTTTTCCCGCTACCCTGAGGTCCGAAAATATGGATGTTTAAAGGCGGTGGCGAGGCTCTATCATGGCTTGAAGCAGTCCCGGACGACTGCCCCGATGATGATGAAGACGCAGATGGCGTTCTCGATCGCCCAGCTTCCTCCCCCCCGTTAATACTGCTAGAAGACGACGCTCCTCCTCCTGAGCCTCCATCGAATGACAGAAACGCACTGCGACTGTAGGTATTGTAGTTTCGTACGGTTTCTCGTAGTTCCTGTCGAAAACGTACGAATTCCGATCCTCCATCAACACGGGCTGAACTCGGAGCCGAGGAGGAAGCAGGCAGAAACGACATTTTCTTGATGGTGGTGTGTTTGTTTTCACATGCTGTAGCTACGTATGAGTATGTCCACTTAAAGAGGAAGCGCGCTTCAAAATCTATCCTCCACTTGTCTTCCAGCTTGTTGCCCTTCTAAGAGACCACTCCTTCGATATCCGTTGACCATAACAGAATCCCTCATCAAACACCTGCTTCTTCATTTGTAGTTTATTTCTCCGCCGGATACATGTCGCTAAACACTGTCTACCCGCTCTACGACGAACCGTCCTTCGGCTGCGTTTTGGCCTTGTGTCTACACCATTGCTAGTCCGTCATCTTGTGGCTGCCAATGGAAAACGAAAATCTTTCATCACATCATACGGGATAACCACAAGAAACTTTCTGTGCGCTGCGTGCGTTAATAGTACGCTTCTTCAGTGTGACGGGTGTTTATAATCATCTGACATCCACTGACACTATATTTTTCGAGAAATTTGCGAAATCGTAGGTTTAGAAGGAGACTCATTCATTTTTATGGATTTATACAGCTTCAACATCAATGTTATCATATCATAGCGCTCCAACATTCAGGCACAACAATCGCGAATACTCGAATATACACTTTCGTTTTCTTTCATGATAACAGAAAGAACGCGAAGAACAGAGCACGCAGGCCGTGAAAACGTCAACCAAACCCGATCGCGCCTCACCGCCAGGCGCTACCTACGCACGGTTGCCGCCGCCTGCACACCTCGCCCGACATGCCATAAAAGCTGCAGCTGGCGGAGACTGTGGCGACTAGACATACCAAAGCCGATCGCAATGCCGACCATAGCATAACACACACAGAGCACAAAGAAATCCGGCGGGATCGTACGCGTTGCCCGGAGCGCATCAAAACAAACAAACAAACAAACGACAATCTATATCTATCTTCATGCGCTTGCACTTAAATTTAGAATGATCAAGATTAAATTCATCTACATTTCATTTTCATTCTCCCCTCCCGCATTCATCCTTTTTGCGCGATATGCCAGATACCCCGTCCAAGGGACTGTTACTATGTTGACGAGATAAATTCGCAACGGTGCGGGAACTAGGAAAAAGTTTGCCGCCTGCACAGGTACCCAGACACTCCAGTTTAATGGCAGCACCGGTAAGACTTCTTTCGCCACAATGTCTTGGATGTTGATTTTAGATGGGTCAACTACTGGGACAGCAGGGCAACCGTTCTGCTCAGAAGATGAATTCTTGTTCTGGTTGAGTAGTTTGAACGCAGTGAAGACGCCAGAGAGTGCTGTAACCGCGAAGACCGTCTGATCGAAAAGAAGCATTGGTAAAGCATGTTTGAAAATTTGGTCGGCAGCTGTGTACCAAGCGTTGCCCAGTGGAGTGAAAAACATTCCCCCGATCAAAAACGAGTGGATCATGCTCTCGCTCTGGATGTTCTTGAAGACGCTGTCAGACCACTCAGAAGCTTTTCTATTCGTCTTTTCTTCTGCGGGGACTGCGGTCTCAATCTTCTCCTCGTTTGACTTTGATTTACCTCTATAATCTTGATAATCATCTTCACCGTTTTCGGACGCAACAAGTTGCGAGAGGAGATCTCCAGCTGCCCATAGAGAACCTCCAAGTAGCATTTTCTTGCCCATATCCAAAGCCCCATATTGGAAAGCGTTCCATCTTTGGTCTTCATGTTGTTCCCTGGAGGAAGTGTTTAGATTAGCGGAAGAACAAGAAGTGTTTAGATTAGAGGAAGTGTTTAGATTAGCGGAAGTGTTTAGATTAGCGGAAGTGTTTAGATTAGCTGTAGCTGCTGATAATTTTCGGCGTAGCTGCAACGCTGCATACTGCGGGGTTGCAGCCGAGACTCGTCTCGAGGCAAAGTGAAACGAGTTGTGAGGTGCCACCTTCATCATTTTCTTTGTCTTGTTTGATGTGTCCAGAAAGATAAAAGTCGAGTTTTAAGTTGTCCTAGTTGTTCTTTTGTCAACATGTCCGGATCGTGATGACAATCATATCACGTCAGTGGACTATAATCGGCATCTAATGCGAGTTTATAAACCTTCTACTTCACTGGGCCACTCCTCCTATGTTCGTTCACGTCCAGTTTAAATTCATTTTTGAGGACCCTGCTACCAAATATGCCAATTTAGAGTTCTACAATGAATCCGAATCGTTAATAACGTTATGACAATCATATCTCACAGTTATGACAATCAATGATATTATCACGTTAGTGGACGATTGCCGTGGAGAACCGCTTTTTTGATGCTCAGGCTTGGCCACGACCTGTGAGCTCTTAGGACGATGATTAAGAGACGAGGCACTCGCGACAACAGCGGAACAAACACCTCCTCCGTAGTTGTTGCCACTGCTCCTTTTGGAACAACCGTGGAGCAATCGTGATGGCTATAGTTTCTTGATGTGCGATTTTAGCTGCGCCTGCGTGTGTGTCTTTTAGGTCTAATATTATGCGTCAGTGTCTCCTTTGGGAGATGGACATGAAGCGAGCAAAAAAGATGTTGATAAGGGGATCGAAGATAATCACGACTCTCAAACGCGTGATGTTGGTTCAAGAGCCTTGTTCTCACAGTTCGAAGGTGGGCTAAAAGGGGATCAGACATGGAAGACATGTTGATAATATTAAATTCGATCAGTATCTTCGACTACTAACTTCATGTCATGCGTGTTTCCCTAATTGTTCTGTTCCTAATCTTTTCACCCGTGGAGATAAGTTCTGATAGTGAACATGACCGAAACCAAGAAGACACTAAAAACAGCTTCGTTAGCGTTTAATGTGAAACTACATATTAAGATTTGAGTTTGAGTATAAAGACATGTGAGGAGGCGGTAGAAGCTTCAAGAGGTGTGTCAACAAATTCAAAGAAATGCTACTTCTAGATATATTATTTTCATAACAACAAACATGTGGTTCCCAGGTAGAGTTCGTTGCGCGCAAGTATTCCTTCTACCTTACTACAACAAAAAGTAGATCCAATTCACGTCTAGCCTTTCAATCCGAATCAAGTTCGATGACGGCACCTCCTGTTCCAGGCGTAGCTGTTGGCGGCCCTGGTACAGCTGGTGCCGCATCTGCCGGTAGCAGCAATTTCTCAGCAGGAGGACCGAGCGTAGCTCCTGATGCTGCAGAAATATTGGAATTCTTGGTGATGACCTCGCCACTTGATCTTTTCTTCTGTTCCAAGTCCAACTGTTCCTGTTGTTCTTGTAGTCGTGCTGTTTGTTCAGGACCTCTGCTACTCTGCAACGCAGACTCCGACGCAGCTGAACTCGTAGTTTCCTGTTGGTGTCCTACTTTCTGAATCGCACTCCTCAAATTTGCGAGACCTGGGTAGACAGGGAGGCAGAAGTTGTGAGCTTGATAAATAGCCCGCCTCTTGATGATTATGTTGGTGGAGCATACCTAACTAGAAAAAACAAAAACCGAAAAAATAAAGGTCAGGCAAGTACTTATCTATTACTAAAACGATAATAGTACAATAATCTTCATTTACAGGCACTACAGGGTAATTATTTCTCTCCTACTAGAAGTTGTAATTGTGAAATCGACTACCATGCCTCGTCTACGACATGGCAAGAAAATGGGAGTAAGAAAAAGTACCCTGCAATCTCCTGCCGTCGGACTGTGGTGCTGCGGGTTTGATAGGTGAAGACCGATCGCGTTAGAGCTATGATGTGTAGTGATAACTCCATCGTGAGATGAAAAAATGCTATTGGAATGCCGTTGCCTCGTCTCTTCAGGGACACTTCTTAGCTTCGAATGAGAAGATGAAGAACGCGACCCTTGTTCTTGAAGATTGAGGAATATAGATTCGTAGTTCTCCTACTTGATCTAGTACTAACTTGTTATCAACGTCTTAACTAGAAGGCAGGTAGCTGAAGGGCGTCTGCTCGACCTCGTGGACTATGAGCTTGTGCGACCAGGGACTAACCCTGAGCTCTCCCAGGGACAACGCCGAAGTTATATCCCACATATTTTTAGAAGAGAATAAAATATTATGGCACTATTATTATTATTAGGAGAAGGGTAGACGGTTATCCACAGACCTACAGACGGCCCGGGGGGCGGAATCTGAAGCACAACGACGGCGATGACAAACAATTGCCGTCATCTTAAGCTTCAAGGCGACAATCTATAGACGAAACCGATTTCAACTGTTGTAGATTGAAATCTCAAGAATTTAACTACTTACATGTACAACATGATTCATCTTGATACAAGTATCAATAACCTCATAATTATCGGTGTTCGAACAACATCGAATGGTCGAAAGCGATCTGGTGGCCCAGGCTTTTCTTGGCGGTCTGTCTTTTTGTCGTCCATCGTCACAAACTCTAATTAAAGGGGGCCAGCAGTCAATAGCCACGATTGATTCGGAAAGACAAGGGCCCCACGCCTCTCCCTTTGTTTTCCCTTCGTTTTCCCCTGTTCTCTCAAGGGGGCCCCACTTGCTTCGATCTCTACTTCAGTGACGAACGACCTCAATGACCAATGAAAGTTGCGCCTTAATCTAAGCGTTGGTCATTGGGACTGGGGATTGTACCCGCAAACTCTTGCATCAGCCGCATCTTCGTTTCCAGAAGGGTTGCGTGACAACTTTTGTTAGAGGATCATGAGAGAAGAAACATCAGTTTGAAGCTCTGATAATTCTTGAATTATTGCTGGGTGAACAACATGATCTACTAGTCGATGATCGAACAAGAATCTTGAGCCGTAACAATCCCCAATCGATTTGCCAAGCGTTGTCGTCTTTTATTGCCGGACTTGACAAAGAAAATGTCCCATTCCGCGACGTGATGTCCGTCCTGAGGAAAGGCAGTAAAGTGTTTGAATTTCTGGCACACAGGAGGAGTGAACATTTCGTTGACTTCAGGTAAAAGACCCGGGATGGCCCCTTGTTGGCAGCGAAGACCGTGTCTCGGACAATGTCGCAAGAGTACAAGCGGCCACAGTCCTCTCCAGGCACGGAAAGAACCTCCTTGATGCGGCACATGAAGAGAAATCAAAAATGGATTAGTTTATTGGCAAGGTGTTCATTGGTCCTGGTACAAGTGGGTGAAAGCTACTCAACAGCTGGCAAAAAGAACGCAAAAGGATAAGCGGAAACCTAATGCTGGACGAGGGACACATGGAATTAAACCACAATTGATTACTTATTAGCTTGTAGAGTAGCGACAAAAGTGAACATCAGATGAACGAAATTTGCTCAAGGACAAAACATGACTCTACTACTAAATTAACTTCTTCTTTATTGTTTCATGTCTAGTACAACTAGAACTAGTACTCCTCATCGACGTTAACACTAGTACCAGGCGCGAGCTCATCAGTTCTTCCTTCAAAAGTGCTTGCTTGTTCCAGAAGATCCAGTACATGTACATGTTGAGTACATTCTGATCATTGTTAAATAAGTACTTTCTTCAGCATAACAACCACGTATTTCCTGTGGCAAGATCGGACGCTGATTGTGCGTTCGCGTAAATAAGCGGACACCGTTCGAATCATCACTGATAATGCTTGCATCACATGAAACTACGTTTCGATCCCACGTTCTCCTATCTACTTGTGTGCCTACAGGCAAATCGTCCCATGTTCGCAACTGCAAAAAAGTGTACGCCACCGAGTGTGGATGTGAGAAGCCCCTCTTCTCGCAATATCCGCCACACCTCAGCAGCACCTCCTTCATCGCAAAAATCGGAAAGAATGGAAAACGAAGGTCATCGTTCCTCGGAAGAAGTTCACCTCCTTTCTGCAGGGCTTCACGAAAAACAGAATATCGCCTCCAATCTGGCAATACTGGCGGAGCGGCTCGACTGCTTATTCTCGTGGCCCTAGCAGACGCGGCAGCAACCTCCACACTTCCCCCTCCAGTATCACCAGTGATATTCGGTGGCGTTTCCGAACCTGCGTTAGGATTGGCTTCGAGGAGGAGCGTCTCTTCTGGATTCTCTTCCTCATTAACTTTAACGCCTCCACCGTCTCCCGAAGATGTTTTTGATGCCATTTCTTCCTCGTAGTTCATGTATTTTTCTGTCGTTTCTAGAAACGGACGAAACTCCTCGTCTATCCACTGTTGAGGGACGAGAGCATAGAGACCTTCTTGCGGCAAAAGAATGTCTTCCACTGCCACATGGCCGTACTCGCGTGCGCCCCACTGCTTTGCAAGATGCTGAAAGCCACCATCCCCATTGTCGTTCTTCCGCTTAGTGTTATTTTCCACAGCATTCGACAACAAGGTGTACATATCCTGAGCAACCGCATCGAGGAGAGTGCCCTCATGCACTTGCCTCAAGAAACTGCCGCCTTCCTTCCCATCCGCCTTCTTTCGCAGGGGTGCGACCTCCTCATCTGTCAGGCAAAAGCGCTTCTGAAGTTCTTTAACGCGTTCGACAAACGCCGATCTTGCACTAGCTAAAGGCGGCATAGGTATCGAAGTCAACATAGCCTCGCTTTGCACAAGGGACGAATCCGAAGCAGAAGGTGGCGCTGATGAATCGGCTGTAGTCAATACAGTCGTGTCCTTTCTTGGTACAACTTCTTCTCCTCCTGCTTTGGAAGATGTTGCACCGCCACTCGTCTCATTCGGCTTCTCCCCAGCAGCAGCGAGGGCAAGAAGATCTTGATCTGGTTCCAGAATGCAGCTACCAGGAGGGTCTTCTTTTTCTATCGCAGCTCGTCCTACTTCTTCTAGGCCTAGGGCAGCTACTGTTCCACCTGGTGCTCCTGCTCCCTCTTCAACACGGAGCTCGTTATCTTCCTCTCCCTTTTCTTCCTGTTCTTGACCACCAGCATGATCAGTCTTTTCGATCAACATAGTACTAGTAGATTCAGCTACCGCATTCCCTGTCATTGTCAAGGCTTCTTCCGTTTCCTTTTCTTCCTGTTCATTGTCCTTGTCCATGCTACAAGCAGCGAGAATCAAGGCTTCTTCCTCTTGTTTCCTTTTGCGGTCCTTTTCCTCGATTTCCGCTGTTTCGACGGATAAAGCCAAGATTTTTCTCAATTCTTCATCTTCATCATCAGCGACTGGAACAACTAGTTGATCTACTTGAGGCTGAGGAGACTGAGGCTGAGGAGACTGAACTAGTTCATTTTGAGGCTGAGGAGACTGAGGCTGAGGAGACTGAACTAGTTCATTTTGAGGCTGAGGAGACTGAGGCTGAGACGGCGAGATGATGCTGTTGCGGCTTGTCTCTTGCGCGGCCTCTAGTTCTTTTTTGAGTGCGGTTGAAGAGCGCAGATTTCTTCGGTTAGCGAGCGTCGCGGCTAAGGCAGCACTAGTAGCTGCCTGACTGTTTGATGCTTCTTGTGAGGGTGCTAAACAAGTTGAATTTTCACGTTGGGATGTTGACGAAGATGAAAAACTTGATGATTGTTGTTGTGCTAGGTGACCCACGACTGCAACTTCCTTTCCTCCGGCTCCGCTACTTTCGCCATTTCCAATTCCACCAAGGTTTTTTCGTAATACGCTTTCCTCCAGACAAGTACGAAGCTGGGTCATCAGTTCCGTCGTGGCATGTTCTAGGTTTCGCTGCGCGATGTTTGTTTGGCTTTCTACCATCTCCGGCGCACACTTCTGCAGAGGCACTAGAGGTATTTCTCCCCTGAGAAATAGGAGACTCTCCCTTGCCACCTTTTTCCGCTCGTTCAGGTTCTTTATTTGTGACGGTCTTAGAGGAAGGCTGCTGGTGGTGCCGGAGACACTAGTATTTTTATACTTATAAATATATATGTACTTATATATGTTGTTCCAGGGCGCGGCTGGCGGGGAGTGAAGGGGAGGGCCGTGCGGCCCTGAGTTATATATAAATATTAATATATATTGCTTGAAGGCGGGATAAGTCTACGAGTAGAGGGAAAGCTATCCGGTTACTTATACTTATAAATATTGTATAATGTACATAACATTGATATTGTATGTTGTACTTATAATATATATTAAGCAGCACTTATACTTAAGTAAGCATGTGCGGAAAGTAGTCGGGTAGAATTTTCTGATATCGATTTCAATCCAGCTGAGTTTCAATTTTTGAGACAAGACCTCCCTAAAAAAACGCCTTGTCTATAAAAAATTTGTTGATTGTTCTTGTTCGTTTACAACAGAAACCCAAACAGACTCGAGTAGACTACTTAACTTTTGTTCCTTGTGCCTTTCTTCGCAAATCGGACACACTTCGTTGGACAGGTTGCTGACATTGTACACTGGGTTGTCGATTTCGGAAATGCCGAGAAAGCTGCAAATCGCCCGTTGTCGTTGCAGAAAACTCTGCACAAACTCTTTGAACGGCATGCGAGGAACGAGCACTTTTGGAATGCTAGGCTCGATGCGGCTCTTCGGAACCGTAACCTTTTTCTGCCTTGCTTCCGCAGATTCCGTCTCGAAACAAGGACAGCGCACGCTTGCTTCCATCTTAAGCTCTTCCCCCAATCTTTCGTGTTCATTAGAGCTACAATAATGATGATGAGTGGACTAGATTCTTGTAGACTGTTCATTATAGAGCTACAATAATGATGATGAGTGGACTAGATTTTTGTAGACTTGTCAGCAGAAGAAGAGTAAGTAGTTGGAGACTTGTCTGCGAAAGAAGTACAAGAAACAAAAACGGGACCCTTCTACTGTAGAAGGGTCCCGTTCTATTTGTTTCTTGTACTCGCCATAAGTATTGCGGTAGCGAACGCCTCTTCATCCGCGTTGTCGTCTTTATTAGTGCCCGCTGGCTGCGGTTTGCTACGAAAAGAATCAAGCTCCATGACACTGCGGATGCATTTTTCTAGCTCTTTCGCTTCCGCCACTAGAGCTGAACCGGGTCCGCGCATTCGAGCAGTACTAGCGGTCTTTTTCGCGGTCGTAGCGGAGGAAGCAGACACATCACAGGATGCCGATGCCGCATTACAACTAGTGGCGGAAGTGGCAGTGTTCTTGTTCAATAAAGAGCTCGCTTGTGCTATACTCTTTATGTACTTCCGGTAGGCGGATGCTTTCAGTACAATCCATTCTTTTCTCTCGTCTTCCTTCGCTTCCTTCGCTTTGTTCTGCAACTCGGCAAGCTTTTCCTTGAAAAAGCTCTCAGGTTTCTTCTTTTGCTCCAAAGCTGCAACTGCGCAGTTTCTCTTCATATGTCCCTCAAAAATGTCACGCAGAGAGCTGGCGCACGTCCAACAAACCCAAGACTTGACAGATCGAACAGGATCCCACGTGAGATCGAGGCCTGGATCAACTGGAACTGGTTCATCTTGTGATACAACACTAGGAAGATTCGCATCTTCTACTTGCTTTGCTGGTCCTCCGTCCTTAAACGAAGGCGCTTCGGGGAACAAGGGCTCCAGCATCGCCCGTGCAGCTGCAAACGGCACTACTTTAGCAGCACCGCTCCAAATTTGAAGCGGCGAGATGAGGCCCTCTTAGATTAGAGCCAATGAAAACGAATGCTCTGCTAAGATCATGCCGCTACAACCAGCGCTTGTAGTTTTCTGATGTACCTACTCAGTTCAAATAATGTTGTCTACTTGTTCATCTAGCCTTAGGTGAATACAGCTTCCCAACTGCTCTACTTGATCGCGCATCAGCTTGCGCGCATTCTCTTGAGCCTGCTGAAGGCACAGATCGACTTCATACATCTTCAGAGAACTGTAGTCTTGGATCCGCCGTTTCGCCAAGTCCGCAACTGCGTCTTGCTCTTTGCGCGCTTGTGTCCCTTTGTTAGAACTGTCCGAAGTTCATCTTTCAAGTGCATCCTTGAGAACAAGCATGGGGGGTATTCGTCCCTTGTAATACATACTCCCTCATGCAACGTTTCAAGGATGCAGTCAAAGATGCATTAGCTAGTACAGCCTTAACTTTGATCCATGCAAGCCAGGCCTCTCCTGGGATGAAAACTAACTCGTGATCGTCAAGACAGCGTGATCGTAGATTAGCAGGCGGAACGACGAGTAGTTCACTGTCTGAGGAAGAAGAACTACTAGAGGACGATGAAGACGATTGATGTTGAGCAGATTTTTCGGAAAGCTTGCGCCTTTTTACTGGAGGATCATTAGATTCAGAATTTATCTGAATGTTTTCTTCGGCTCGACTACTTGTTGTAGTCCCTTTTCTTTTTTCTTCTTCTCCTTCTGAAGCAGTCTCGTCAACAATGCCGTCGTCTGCGTCTTCCGTAATATCTACTTTTGCTACCATAATATTTAGAGTCAGCTTTTATCCATCTTCTCGGTCCCCTCATCTTGACCCCGTTCATCCCATAAAATACAAGGAAAAAGGGGACCAGGATGCCGAGAAGGATGGATAAAAGCTGACCATAACTTATCATCTTCAGGTTTCGCAGAAGCATCTTCCTCTACCGCTCCGTCCAACATCTTGACGCTTTTAGCTCCTGATCCTCTTGCTCCTCCTGCAGATTTATCATCTTCAGGTTTCTCAGAAGCATCTTCCTCCCCTGTAGATTTTGCCGCTGCGCCAACATCAACTTCCTCTTCCTCCTCTGCTTTCACCTCGACGTCCGCGGTCTCATAGAACTTGCGCATGACGGCAGGATTCCACTTGCTGATGGCGATTTTCGCACGCGATACAGCATCGCGATGCTTTTGGCCGATCTCAGCGCACCTGTCTCGGAGTTCCAGCGCTAACTTCCTTTAGATGAGCTCTTAAAGAGAGCTTCATCCTCAGGAGCAGCGTCTTGGGTCCCCTTTTCCCTTTAAAAACCACGGGACCAAGATGCCCGTGAAGATGGATTTTTTCTAGCCTTAATTTGTGCGTTGATGCATCCTTACCAAGTCAGCATCGCAGTGTGGCCAGAGAGCTATCGGAATCGAGTTCACCCAGAATCTCTCTTTTACATCAACTTCGACTTGTCCAGGTTGTACAACAAGGCTTTGCATCTGCGCTTCGATCTCTTTCACGAGAAGACTATCCTCAACCGTTTTTCTGGGGTCATGTACCAATTCGACATCGACTGGCTGTTCTTGATCACGTCCCTCAGATAGAAGTATTGCTCTATTTTCTGCATTTGAAGAAGTTGCGCCGTCGTTCTTTGATACCGTCCCAAGCGTACTAGCTGATGTCGCCGTTGTGTCAGTCGTCGAAGTTGCGCCAGCCGCAGGCCCAGCTAAGGGGTTGAAGTTCAAGTTTAGTCCTGGTGATGAAGTCTTTTCTTCGTCTTCAACTTTTGAGTCTACTGCGCCAGCACGTGATGTACCTGTAGCACTACTACTACTGGTACCGCCAGCATCAGATTGGTTCTTGTAGTTCACCGCCGTTTTCCCATGATCCTCCTCCTCAGGAGGTTCAGATGAATCAGCAATGGATATCATATCGCATTTACTTGCTAGAACTACAGCACTATTAGCCGCTTGATCTTGATGTGGTTTCCTACAACTAAAAGATGACTCGACATGTCCTACTGGATAAATTGGCTTTCCAATGGAGTCTAGAAGGCGTTCAGCAATCTTCTTGTGGCCTGCCATGATGGTATTCGCGTCTTCTGGTGCAGAAGAAGCGCAGGAAGATGAGTTCCGCTTGAAGACGCAATCTCTACGTCTATAAATGAGCATGTAGACAGTCCCACCTGCATCATGGATCATGCGATTATTAGCTTCATGTTGCTTAGCGTCGTTACTTGTTTGAAGATTTTGGCTATGATCTGCTGGGTGTTTGTTTGTACTACTCGTCGCCCCACTAGATGGAGCCGGTGCCATTTTGGGACGCTTCATTTTTTTCGAGCTTGGACGGCCCATGGGTCTTTTGCGCTTACCATTTCTTGGAGCATTATTGTTAGTGCAACCAGGCGTCCACTCGGGATCTTCATCATCATCCTCGTCCTCATCGTCTGTGGTCTGCACTACTTCTTGTGTGCTTGGAGGCCCATGGGCTGCTACATCGAATTCGGTTACCACTTCATCGTTGAAAACATACCATTTTGCGCTTGATGACGAGTGCTGGAGGTGCTCTTGATGCTGTTCCTGTCCCTGTGTAGTTGTACATGAAGATGAAGAGGACTGCTCATTACTATATCCAAAGTCGCGGCTAGCGTCGACTCGGATGGTCGCAGTATAGTGACCACTACCAGCGCTGGCCCCATGATGGTTCAGCATCGCATACAACTCATAGACAGGCTCGTTCTTCTTCGTCTTGTAGATGTTCATGATGTCGAGAGATTGAGAACGTGCCTTTGTCGTACTACTACTAGTAGTTTGAGTTGTAGTAGTCTTGTTCTTGCCCTCTGACACAACTATTTTCCCATTTAGTCCTCCTCCAAGCACACATGGCACAACGACCCCTGCTTCCTCTGCCTCGGCCCCCTCACCGCCTCCATCAGTCATGCCTAAAGCCTCTGGAACTTTCTTTTTTGAAGATGAATGTCCAGAGCCATTAGCCGCCTGGTCCTCACTCCTCGGAGACCTCGGATCTAGTACGACTGAAGGACGTACTAGCTGATGTGGAGGCTTCTTGTCTTCTAGTACTCTGTTGATGTTAGAGGTTGCCGAATTGCATTCTTCAGAACATCCTTGAACTATTTTCGTCCCCTTGAAAAGCAAAAGGAGCCAAGGATGGTAGTGAGGTGGGATGTAATTCGGAAACCCTTAATGAGGTTGTTGGTCTTTGTACTAGCAGAATTTTCATCTGCACCAACTCCTACTTCTAGTCCTACAACAACTTCTTCTTGTTCGTCTACTTCTTGCTTTTCCACGACTACATGATCACCTCCTACTCCACCCTGCTCCTCGTGATTTGTCGTGGTACCCTTCATAGTACAACCTGCAGCTTCGTCCTTACACAGCACTTGTTCATCTTCAGGAGGAAGATCTTCCACGTCGTCAATCTGTGCGTCAGGTTCGCAAAACCGAGACAGATCTAACCTGTCGACGGGAAACGTTAATGGCGTCGCTACCTTTTCCCGAGTGTGGCCACGCCACTCGTACCTGAGGACTTCTAAGGTAAGGTACGGCGGCAACTTTTTTAAGCGCAGTCTTCGCGTTGCCGAGACTCTGGCGGTTTTGCTCTTATTAGATACTTACAGGGTACGGAATCTTTGCATTCCCCAGAACATCCGCCCCGGCTTCTTTTCATCTATTAGGAAAATATTAAGGGCCAAGGGTCGTGGGAGCGCGGGATGATGTAATTCGCAACTCTTAACACTAGGACAGCGAGGACAATGTTCACATTCGATGTCGGTCATTTCCTCGTCATGAAAGTGAAAATCTAGCAAACCGTCTAGCGTGAAAGCGGAACTTTCTTGAGTGCCGAGTAGAAGTTGTTGTTCACGCTGTTTCTCGGCTCTTCTACGGACTATGGCAGACGTGAGTTGTGATTGGGATGTAGTAGAGGTTGTACTTGTAGTTACACCATTCTTCACAACTCCACCCATTACAGCACCTTGATGGAGATGCTCCACCATCTGGTTCCGTGAAGGGAGCCGCAATTTTAGTGCTATTTCAGCCTCTTGCCTCGGTTCCGAAGATCTATGCTCACAGTGTCGTAGGGTATAAAGTTGCGTCACGGCACCTACCACATCGCGCATTCTCTACGTTTAGAGCAGAAGTTGGTATTGCTTCATTTTAGTTTTACCCTACTTCTGCTGTAGACAGAAGTAGATGTCGTGTCGTTAGTACGTGATAGTTCGAATTCATACGTCGCAAGTGCTTATATTCATCGTCATTCATTGGCACAACATAGCTGTGAAAATAAAGCCATACTGAAGATGATTAGTCCTTAAGTATGAAAATAAAGCCATATTTTTTCCTTCCATTCGAAGCTATAGAAAGCGCAAAGGCATCGTTGTCTAGAATCTCAGTCCAGATCTGGTTGAATTCGGAGGCATCCTCCTGGTCGGTCGTCGATAGTTGCATGCGCTTCACCAAGGCAAGTGCGCTACATGCGCGCAGTCTGTTGAGCTGCATCTTTGCAAAGAGAAGCTGCAACTCGCCTAAGAACCCATTAAAGCTAAGTAAACGTAAACATCCTAATCCATCTCGGCAATCATACAGATGGGAGCTGCTCCCCCCTTCTGGGAAGAGCTCCATGATTGATGCTGAGTTTTCGATGCTCCTAAATGTTCATCTTATGAGTTTTCAACTTCATCTCTCGTCCGTCGTCCTCGTCGGAACCAAGGTGGATCATTACGGAAAAAGCCTTAAAAGCACGTGTCATGTCGACGTGAGAATCTTTGTTCTGTTGTCCCGATCCTGGAGAGGACCTTGCGTGGACGTCACCCTTGTCAGCATCTTGCAACATTTCCGCTCGAAAGTTGAAGACCATTTCCCGGATGTGCGGGTTCCAGATGCAACACTGAAGCAGAGAATTGATGTAGCATGTGCCTCCACAATTCATTAGCCCTGCTGGAATCGACCGTCTCTTTCCTTGCACTTGCAAGTTTTCGTTCAAGATACTGTCCGTGAATTGCTCCAGTCCCTCGGCATCGTCCGCAGAGAGCAGTAATTCGCCACAAACACCTTTGGCGTAGCCTACATTAAAGCTCAGCCTTCAATGGTCATCATGACTCTGAACGGAAGGGACCCCCTTCAAAGCTCTCCCCTTTCCCTTCGTTTTCCCCTGTTCTCTCAAGGGGTCGCCAGTGACCAACCCCAATGACCATTGAAAGCTGAGCCTTAACTACAGCATCATCTTTAGGCAGGGGAAGCTGCGTCGATGACGTTGCTCCTGCAGCAATCCTCGGAGGATGATGCAGCACACCTGAAGACGAACTCTTGCTCTTCGCGTTTGCCGTACTCGAAGGAGCAGGTGCAAGTATTTGCAAGCAATAGGGGTCTTCTTTCACTGGTGTTGTTCGCGCAGAGGTGAGGAAAGAATTGTGTGTGAAGTCTTGTAGCCTATAAGCAGCTTCGAATGAAAACTGCCGCTTCGAACTCGCGAGAACACTGTCGTGCTCTTCTGCACCATCTCTCTGTAATTGCGGAGCAACTGACGAAGCAGACGAAAGCTGTACAGCACTATTCAATGACCGTATGTAAGCAGGTGGTACAGCTACGGGTGGAGATGCAACTTGTAGTGAAGGAAGAAGATCCTGTCTTCCCGCATCTGCTGGAGGTTGGGACTTGATGGCATTCATACTGACCTGTTGTTGTTCCTCCAGACCTGCATCTGGCTGAGCCTCGACCGCTTGTTCTGGCTGAGCTTGCTGTTGTTTTGCTTCTAGTTGAGCTTGAGCTTGAATAACAGCGTGCTCTTGTCGTGCTACTTGGGCTTGATGAAACTGTTGAGCCTGAAGATGTTGAAGAGATGCAAGTCTCCTGGTCTCTGCAACTTTCCGTTGTCTCGTCGTCAGCCCGACTAAAGAAATCTGTGGCTGGTCCGGGTCCAGGTCCACGCCTTCATGATCCGCTTCAACGTCACGGTGTGCCCTTTTCGCATTAGCTGCTGCCCTTTTCGGTGCCATGCTGGCTGCTCGTTTTGGTGCAAGGCTAGCTGCTCTTTTTGGTACACTGCTAGTACTAGAGGCCTTTTTCTTCGCAGCCGCACCAGCTTTCGCGCTGGATTTCGCCTTACCCTTAGGAGGCATCTTAATACAGCTACTTTGTTCCCCGTTGTGCTTCACAAGGAACAAGCGAGTTGAGCTCTCGTTTCATCGCACATGAAGAAGGACATCATGGTAGTGGCTGGAGTACAAGTAAAAAGATGCAGTATTCAAATAGATGTAAGCACTCATGAACAACAGTGGAACAATTTTGAATCAATCATGACTACACGAACAAAAAGAATCAAGACCAGAAGAAACTCGTCAATGATCTCCAGTAAAAGAGCTACTCTTCTCTTACCTCTTTACCTTTGAATCTTTGATAAGATTCGATCTTCTCCCAACAAGAATGGAGGAAAAACACGACCTCACTACGCAAAAATTCTTGGCTGCTAGTTGTACTATTGCTATCCCATCATGACTACTAAAGCTGTCAAGTTGATTTGTGTCCTGGTTGTTAAAACCTATCATCCACACATCCTCACATGCTCAACAGTGTGATGATTGAAGATTGTGTAAGACAGCATTTTTCGTTTAGCAATGTTGTTGATTTTGACGAGCGGAACACTGCGTTTTTTCTTGTCGACTTGGACGTGATTTGTCGTCATTGTAGTTGATATAGGTCAATAATAAGTACGAGTTGGTTGGCAATCTCATGCAAAGATTTTCTAAAAACAAAGGGAAGACGAGTTCATCATGATACAACTCTGAAACATCGTGATCTTCGTTCACAATTCATGTTTTACAAATATAGCGACGCCGCAAATATGATCCCCCTTTTCAACTTTGCTCTTCCTTCGTGCAACTTTTGCTGCAATGCTGTATTCCCTATCGTACGCAGAGCATCTGCCAGTTCCCTGAGCATTTCTTCCAGTCTGCGGATTACCCGAATGACGCTGCCTTCGTAGATGTCCGTGACGTTCATCAAATCTTGAAACTTATACCCCTCCATCCAAAAGACACACAAATCCATCAATTGTGGTCTTAAGGCGGCTTCGACGTATTTTTCCAGGTCGAAATTGGGCAGCTTTGCAGCTTCCATTATTCTCCCACAGTCTAGAGCAACAGCCTTCATCGCCTCGAACTGTTGGGCGAGAGCGGGGAATTTGGAAACTGGAGCTGCGCCGCCTGAAGAACCTTTACCTCCTGTTGGAACAATGGCTCCATTAGAACTGGAGTTGGAAGAAGATCCTTTACTGCCTTTTTTACCGCCACCCTTCTTACCACCTCCTTTACCTTTACCGCCTCCTTTAGCTCCCCCGGCATTTCCTGTAGCGCCGCCCTCATCAAAAATCAAGCACGAAAGTAATGCGACAATGTGTTCTGGCGACAAGTTCTCAAACTGATTCCGGAAAACCAGCTCGGTCAAAAGGATCTCGTCTGCTGAGCTGAGTTCGCACGCCAGCTTTCCCTTCAACTGAATCATGTGTCTGTTGTCAACGAAGTCGAGGGCTCGTAAAACACGCATCATCGCATGTAATTCCTCACTGATATGGATGTCGCCTGCAGGCGTAGTTGAGTCCTTCTTTGCAGAAGAGGCACTACTAGAAGAAACGGGTACTATCGCAGTACTGCTTGAACTTGATGTCGAGGCTCCTTCAACAGCTTGCTCCTGATTTTTCTTCTCGTCTTCGTCATCTCCATTTCTAGTAGTTTGAGCATCTTCTACTCTTGCTGTTGCTGCACCAGGAGCATGATCCCCATTACTACTAGTACCAGATGAAGACCCTGAACTTCCTCCCTCATAAGTCCCTCTCATCAGCTGTGCTTCTAATGTTCGCTTTTCCTCCATTAGTTTCAGCCGTTCCTCGTACTTCTCGAGCAAAATGGCTTTGTGGATAGGGTGGAGCTGTGAGAGCTTCTCCTCCTCGATTTTTTCGCGTTGTGCCTTTGCAGTCTGCACTTCGGACTGCAGTAAAGCGATTTTTTCCACATCAGCCGTTTCTAGACCATAGTCTTGCAGTTCCGGGACGCCTCCTTTCGCTTCGAACTGCGAAACAATCAGATCCAAAGAAGCCAGTAAAGGCTCCCGTAATCTCCTTACCTCTTCAGCAGTACGCTTCTCGATTTGTTGGGCTCGGACTTGAGACACACGTCGCAACGTGGAGAGTTCGACAGCAACAATATCAGCGACAACTTCTCGCTCAACATGACCATTGATTTTAGCAACATCCTCTTTCTCCGGTAGGCTGCTCTTGTTCTCCTTCTCTCCTGCAGGAGTGGATGAAGTTGCACTTGGTGGAGCTTTCGTTGAAGTCGTTGACTTTGTCGGCACAAACACGTTCAACAGCCAATCTTGCCAGAAGTCGTCATCGCTGACAGAAACCGCTTGCCTCTTGTCTCTACTATTGATTTTCTTCGCAAAGGAAAAGACGAAGCCCCACCCGTAGCCGTCGACATAAACTACCCTTCCTGCGTTCAGGAATGGCGCAATCTTCTCAGGTTGCATTTTCAGTCTGCGGATTTCCTCCTCGTTGTCGTTGATGGAAGCGCGTAGCCCAAAATAGAGCTGCAACAGGGCAACAACGTCGTCAATACCAGAAGGACACTGAAAAGTAGGAGGAGGTCGCAAAGCAGGTGCATCTGACGATGAACAACTGGTGGCTGGAACAATAGAAGCAGTCCGTTGTAGCTTAGTACTGCTTTGCTGCTTGTTCTTCTTCTTTTTGGATGACTTCTTTGATGCTGCTGAGGCAGTGTTGAGTGCTTCCTCTTTCGCTGGAGCTTCCGTAGTTTGCTGGTCTTTAACTGATGTAGCAGAAGCAGCACCTTCAGGGTGTACGGGAGCGCTAGAAGATGCATTTTCGAGCAATTTTGATGTTTTCTCCATGTCCATGTACTCTTTAACAACCTCCTCTCGGTCTAAATATGACAACAGATCCACTTCCAACTGCCGCAATATGCTCTCCAGCCGTTCCTTTCTCGCCAGAGTCGTCTTGTCCGTCTGAAACTGGCGAAAGCTACGCTCGATCATATATTCTGCCGAGCCGCCCTCAATGCGCAACAGGTTCAACAGCATGTTGTAGCTGAGATAAAAAGCCGATTTCAGTTTTGTCGTGTTCCCCAAAAACATGGTTTTGGCTGTCTCCGGTTCGATCTTTTCGTCTACCAAAACGATGCATAAACCCTGTTTGTCCTTGCCTCGACGTCCGGCGCGTCCCGCCATCTGGATGTACTCCGCTGTGTTGAGGACTCGCGACTCCACACCATCCCATTTGCGCACGGCGGCAAACACCACGGTCTTCGCAGGCATGTTTACGCCCATCGCAAACGTTTCTGTTGCAAACAGCACTTTGCACAAGTTCTCCTGGAACAAGATCTCCACGACTTCCTTCATCACCGGGAGCAAACCGCCGTGGTGAATGCCGATACCCCTGAGTACCAGGTTGAAGAGTTCCTCGATCGCTGGCAAGTGCTGGTCCTCTGCAGGCAAAGTAGAGACGGCATTCTGGAAGACTTCTTTGATGAGCAGTTTTTCGTCTCTAGTGGTCAAATCTAGGGTTTTGTTCAACGCCGTAGCATGTTTTTCGACTTGTTTCTTCGCGAAGGAGAAAACGATGCAAGGGAGGTAGTTCTTCGTCATGCACATTCCAATGACCTTCTCCAGATCCGTTGTCGTTCCTTGGTCCTGCTTTCTGCGCGCATGCTGCTTACTGGTATCTGTAATCTGCTTCTCGGCCGCCGACTGCATACTCAAAATCGCCTTTTGGTACGCCTCCTCGCGGAACTTGCCCAATTCATCGACGATCAGGTGGACTTGGTCACTGCCCGTTGGAAACAGGTAGTGCTGAAGAGGGACTGGGCGATAGTCAGTGTAGATCAAGTGACAACACTGATGCTTGATTCGGCAGATCCACTCGGCGAACTCATTGGCATTCGGAATGGTCGCGGATAGAAAAACCATGCGAATGGTGTCGGGTAAGAGAATCATAGTCTCCTCCCAAACCACACCACGCTCGCGATCTTTCATGTAATGGACCTGGAGAGATTTTGATTTTGACGAGAGGTTCAAGTTTATTTTAGCATCTTCTGCAAAGAACAACCACAAGGACTTCTACAGAGACCACGAGGAAGCTTGATTTGAAAAAGCGACAGGAGCGAGCAAAATAAAAGGAATCTAATATAGTACCTCATCAAAGACCACCCACGCCATTTCTCGGCAGAGTTCGCTACCCCTGTAGAGCATGGACCGCAAAATCTCCGTCGTCATGATCATAATACTCGCATTTGGCTTGATCGTGACATCCCCAGTCATCAGGCCCACGTCTTCGAACTCGTCGCACAAGTCCCGATATTTTTGGTTCGACAACGCTTTGATCGGAGAAGTATAAATAATCCTCTGGTTGTCTCGACAAGCCATGGCAATAGCGTACTCAGCGACGGTAGTTTTTCCCGCAGAGGTGTGCGCAGACACCAAAACGCTCTCCCGTTTCTCCAGACACTCGACCGCGCGTCGCTGAAAGGTGTCGAGGACGTAGGGATACTGTTTGGCTTTGGGCTCGAAGTCGTCGCCGAGCTGGGGGCTTGCGTAGCCTTTGGGCTTCACCATCTCGTGAACGCAGTTGACTGAGTGAGATTTAGCCTTGATCTCGAATCGCTCCCACTCAACTTCAGCCGACAAAGAAGGCATCGCAGGCATAATGCTGGAGCTGGAGCTGCTTGAGGAGGAAGAGGAAGCGGCTGGTTCTTGTTGCGCTTGCGTGGATGAGACACCTTTTCCTGGTCCTGTTGTAGAAGGTGTAGTTGAGGAAGAGCTGGATGATGAAGTAGCTGGTGTTGTCACTGGAGTGGTGGACGAAGCGGCACTAGCAACTACCGCTGGACCTCCAGATGCCTCCACAACATCAGCATTCTCCTTGCTTGAAGTTTTCCGCACAGCAGAAGACTTCTTTTTCTTCTTCTTCGGCAATGAAGATGCCGCTTCATTGCCTTCCCCTGCTGGACGCTTGGTCGGCGCAGCGAAACTCGCAAACAGATCCATGATTTTCCTGCTTCTTGTTATGTTCAGACTTAGCTTGTTTGATTCATGAATTTGAATAACAATAATGCAGATGCAAATGGTACATCCTCAACCTCATCAAGGGGTAGGTTCTAAGAACTTTTGCACCTGCGTCGAAAGAAAAATGAAAAGGCCAAGAATAGCTTTAGTACAGGGCTAAAATTAGTGATGTTAGCTCGTAGTTTCATTTCATTTCAAGTCGGGGCTTCCCTGTTTCTCAGCCCGGTCCTCAGTCCGGTTGAAGGAAGAATCACCAAGATCACACATCCGGAAGTTGATCTTCTAGCCCTAAACCCTATTTCATCCTTCCAGAAAGACGCGTGATCTCCCACCTCGATCTTGGACCTCTGATGTTGAAGATCAAAACACTCCATTTCAACGTGTCTCAATCTGATCAATTGCCATGCGTCGGATTCACTTCTGATGTTGATCTATTCGATTCTGATGTTGATCTATCGTGGGTTTCATTTTCTGTAACTCAACACAATCCGTGTGAAGGCCGTCTTCAAGTAAGGTGCTGGCAGGCAGACTCTTACTTTATTCTACCTCACCGCGTTGTAGTTATACTAGTCCCTGTTCTAGATGTACATTTACTAAACTAACTCTTCATTTTCGTGTCTGCTGGGCTCAAAATTTAACTTTGGGTTTTTCTCTAAAACATCCACATGATGTACATGCTTGAATGCTGACCATTGTTCTTTTGCTAATATTCCACCTGACATCCTCTTTTGGCCTACATCACGTAAACAACTTCTACAACGTTCAAATAATTTCAATTTTCTTACTTGTTTGATTTTGTCAGATCTCTTTGCTGATCATGTTGCGATCGATGCTTTCTGTGGTGTTTTCATGTTAACCTCTTGTTCTTGGTTTGTACAAGTAGAACTACTGACTCTTCTTCAAAATCAAATTAATACAACAGCCATTATTTTACCAGCAACTACCTATTAGTACCTTGATATTCGTATTCCTAGCACTCTACTTGTAGTTCGTTGTACAGCGAGCACGAATCCTCACAATTGTGATGAATTAACTTTCTTTTCTTATCCTTAAACTACTTACCTTTTTTTTTGTTTCACCACTTGAGGACATGTAATAAATTGAAATTCTTTCGTGGTCGTATTTGAGCATATGTTTCCGGAATATGAGTAAAAGAAGTGACACTGAACGAACTGAAGTCTTCAGATCTATTGGGTGAATCCTTTTTCTTCTAGTAGTACATGATACAACTCGCTGACAGCACTACAACTACAACCAATTTTACAATGAAATTTAACTTGCTGTTGAATAACGTATTTGATTACTTTCTCATCAACATAGATAGACACTGCAGTTACGTGGGATCGTGAGGCGGGTAGGACGAAGTGTACAATCGATATATATTCGATAATGATATAATCGGTGAACAAGATGAACCTTGTTGAACAAATAATTAATAGTACATCATCATATTGCTGTTGGTCATGATAACGTCGACAAGGAAGAGCATGACCCGCCAGATGAGGGGACGTTAATCTATTTACTAGCCGATAATCAGTGCTGGTGAAATGATTTTCACCGACGCCCATGCGGACGTCCAGCGAGAATTCCTTTGCCTCCCTCTTGTTCTTTTGTCCTCGTGGTGAGAAGCAGGAAAAATTTCATTAATAACTTTAACAGTGGTACAATATAAATATCGATCAAAAAACAGAAACACAGGATACAGAAAAATCTTCTACAACTACATCTACTTCTTCTTGTTGGAACTAATCATCGAGATCGAGTAAATTTATGAATGCGATCAATTGTGGTTCTTAATATCTGTCGCTATCGTACAATGAGCGGTCTTGTTTAATTAATTGATGCTACCTACAAAGATTGCGCTTTTACTACTACATGTTCATGATCAATACACAACTTAATATCTGGCTTTGCTTTTCTCGATCTCGTCCATCTCTGATTTCTCTGTCATTGTACAAGGGTGATTGAAAATAACTACACATTCACGTAACTCGAATGATCCATCTCTAACACTTGCTCTTTGTCATTCTTTGTGACTTTCGCTTTGATGTCAAAAATTTGATTTCACTTCTTCGTCTCGTAATTACGTGTTTAGTACAGTCATAGTCTTTCCTTCCGTTCTCAACAAGAAGAAAATCACTAGAATTGCTTCCACCCAACTACAAGAGAAGTAACAACTCCTCCACCACCTTTCACCTAATTCCAGTTTCCCCAACTAAAATTCGACAAAAGTAACTCCTAACTTCCAGCACCGACTAGGAAGTACCCACCTACCTAAAAAGTACTCCCAACCCTCCTACGTACCACCTACTTCCAACTATTAGGAAGTACCCACCTACCCACTCCTAACCCTCCTACGTACAAGAAGTATCTAAAACAACACCCGATCATGGCGCTGCTTCCCCCGCCTCGGTCGTGGCGCCCCTCAATGCCGTCATGACAACCCGCTTCCGCCACTCTGGGATCATTTGACTTAATCGCTTGAAATGATACCCAATACCGCGAAGATCGGCGTTGGTTTTTCTTAGAAGGAGGTTTCAAGAAGATGAAAATAAATGAAGCCGAAAAATAAGTAAGTTGAAGCCTTAACCTTCCTGACTGTACCATCTGACTCAATCGCGCCTCCGCTTTCTTTTCGGCTCCTCGGTCCCGTCCGTTTTGCTTCTCTCCGCTTGGGTAACTCGCTAAAGATGAAATTGTGAGGAGGAGGGCTATCAAGAGATAATCATGTCCATGTTGAAGATGTTCAATGAAGACACGACGAAGATAATGTCTATGTTGATCCTCTTATTTTACTCGATCATCATCATGAGCGGACTATCAAGATACGACTACGGAGACAGTCATGTCTTGAATGATGGTGGTATTTGGTAACCTGAAGATTTGGATCATAAGGAAAACAAGAAGGGAATCCTTGCGATCGAATTCAGGTTACCAAATACCAGAGCCATACATGTCTATGTTGATGTTCTTATTCAAAAACTGTAGTACTCGATCATGATGAGCAGGAGAACAATCAATATAACTGAGCCGTCTTCTACAAGAATGAGAAGAACAAATGACTCCCTTTTCTGGTCCAAATTTCAACCATAACTACACACGATTCGAAAAACTGAAATAAGCAAGTAACTCATCAGAATAAGCGAGATACTGATGTTGAGAAGGAAGAGTAGCCTTGGCGCTAAGCTACCTCCCTACTTATTTCAGTCAGTAACTCGGTTATTTTGAGTTTTCGAATACATGATCAACTAAAAACTAATTCAAATTTAAAAATAACGCAACGAACACTGCATCCACCATAACACAAGTCCCGTCAACAATTCGCGGTCCAGAGCCATGTGGTGTTCGCGCTCACTGTGGGACACTACAGACTGGATCCACAAAGCCAATCTTTTGTCTTGTACTGACATCTGATCCCAGGTGACGAAATTTGTCTTTTCCGTTTCTCCATCCTCTTCACCGCCAGATTGGTCTTGCTGTTCTGGCCTTAGAAGGGGTAATTAATATCTTCTTGCTGTCCTTTTTAATTAAATGTATATGTTCTTGAACGCTTAACCTAGCGTAATTCAAGAAGAACGATGACGAGCATGAGTCTTTGTATTCACAACACGTAAGTGCATCTGCATGTAGATGTAGATCGATCTTATTGAATAGGCGACTGTGCTTGCTTCTACTAGTTCTACTAGTACTAGAAAAGATCTTCATTTCATAATTTCGCTACGGCTTCCTCTACCGCTTTCTTGAGGTGCTTGGCCGTACTGGGATTGGTACCGATCAGCTTCTGGATGTATTAGACCACCTCGTCAAAAAAAATCATGTCTTGCCTGCATTTGTTCCTAGTATTCTAAAAAGAAACAAATATAATTGAAATCAATGAGAAATGACAGACTGGCTCTCCCGGGTCTGGCAGAGGCAGAAGATGAATTGATGAATAAGAATATTTTATAATTTTTATTGAGCTGTCTTAAATGTACGTGTTTGTAGAGAAAGTCTCGGTGAAGCCGGCAACTTTCACAGGGTTACCATCATGCAGAACGTATTTGTTCTTCACCGGCTTTGCCACCTCTTCTTCCGCTCCTTGTTCGGCGCCTTCGTTTTTTGCAGCTTCGGCTGGTGCTGGGGAAGTTAGAAGAAGACACGAGGACAGTGGGAGAAGGACGAGTGTTCTTGTTCCTCTTTCCGAAGTACCCTTCTACCAACTACCCGTCTCTATGTTGTGCTGAGTTCCCTATTCATATTCTTCACCTACTTGAGCCGCATTTTCTTTGAAGATGACAGTAGATCTTGACCTTCTCCTTGATCTTGTGGACGGTTAAAAATATGAACCTTGTTCTTGTGGACGTCAATTGTCAACTGAATGTCAGTTCTTCTCTCCTGAACTTTTGAGTGGAAGCCGTAAAAGGGGCGAAGGCGTAATGTGAGGTTCTATTTCGAGGCGCATCTTCATCAGACTGTTCGCTGTGGCCCCCACCGGTTTCACTAGCTTAGAGGCCGTAGGGTTTAGGTTAAATGTACTAATTATTTCCAAGCATCAGTAGATCATGTGCTATTTCTAAACAGTTGCATTGGTGCTGCCTGTTGCAACTCGAAGAAGAACGAAGAACATGCATCTTCAAGTAAAAATCGTGTTCTTCGTCTTCGAGTTCGTCCATTGGAACACGATATTTATAAATTTTCGCTGAGCGGGTCAAATAAAAAATGTTGAAAAGTTTTTAGATTTGTTTTTATCGTTCTTTCTTGATGAAAGAGAACAGCAACAAGTAGACGTAACATCCTCATTGAATATCTATCATCCCTCACAACGTGTACCATAATCAGAAGATTCTCGGCTGCAGACGCGACTCGTACTCGAAGAAAATCGCCCACCGCAGTCCTATCCGGTTTACCAAAAGAGGGGGTCCAGTGGCTTGCCTTCTTTCGCCGCTGTTTTACCATCTCTTGGATGGCATTTTGATGTTGGGCAGAGTATGAACAAGACCTGGGGAGTGGGAAGAATGTAATCTAAATGGTGCAAGAAAAGAACGAGGGCGGGAGAAGGAACAACATCAACATGTACATGATTCAGAATAAATCTACCTTAAAAAGTAGATCTTGTTCCTCTATGTATTTTTTCTATTCTCTAATGAAGGTGCTAGGGACAAATCAACACTAACTTCTAGTACTCCAGAACAATACACTCGCAATTTTCTGTAAAATAAAAGGAATCGGTAAGTAATTGTATAATCCTAAATTCGTTCCTTGAGCAAAGTCCATTGTTTTCAGCAAGTCTCCTTTGATCCCATTCATCGACAGAGTTGGAAAGCTCTGACCTACTTCTGTGCTACCCAAAGCCGGCTTCAGTGGCGGACCGATGAGAAGTGCACCTCCTGACACCTCCTTGATGAAATCGCTCGTCATGGTGCCATGATAGTCCCTGTTGTTTTCCGGGAAAAATCGAAGAGACGCAGGCGCGATAGTAATGCGATCAACAAATATCGGCGCCGCTCTTGTCACTGCGCTAGGATCTGCTGCAGCTGGGTCCGCCTGTTGTGTTAGAGCCTATTACTTGAGAATCGATTCAAATTCATCTTCTTCATATTCATTTCGATTTTCTGCATGTATCAGGAAGTGCATCAGTTATCATGATAGTACGCTAAGAACAACGCCAAGGAAATAATGCCATCTTGCATTAGTTGAAACCAACTTCAAAGAATGATCCAGACGAGCCTTAATGGAGAAGGAACAATGTCCTTCTTCTCCAGATCGCGTTTGAGATCTTTTCCGGCGATGTAACCAAAAATGCATTCCGCTTCAGTACTGCCCTCTTTCTTCACTGTCACCGGAACAGGACAGAAATCAAGCTCACTGTCAGTTACTTTAGAGCTTTATTGATGGGATACATCTATTTACTCTTTGTTTGTAGGTTCTGTTTGACCTCGTGACTGAAAGATACCCGCTGCATCGGGGCTGTCCGGTTGCTAGGTACTACTACATGTGGATCATCTAGTGCAGCTACGGAATCATTTTTGACGTACATACGCATGATAGTGAAAAAAGCGTAAGCGACAGGCCATTCTTCTTCTACAGTGCATTCCAGTTTCCAGTCATTTACATTTTCATCACTAAAGTAGCCAGCCTTAAGAACCTGTACGTTGCTTTTCGCGATTATACCATAGGTATCCTTGAGATGCTCTTTGGTCTTTTCCGCATCTTCATTCCAGGGCTTCAAGGGCTCCGGCTCCTTGCCCTCTTCTCCTGAAGGGCGAGGCTGGATAACAACTAGCTTGTAATCCGTTTCAGATGTGACATCTAGATTTTGGAACATGTCTTCTGTAAAGAACGTTGCCCCACGCTTCAGATTAGAAGACTATCAAAGCAATTGCTGCAAACGTATCTATTAAAAAATAGGATTAGCTCAGATTCTCAAATCAATTAGAAAACTATCAAAGCAATTGCCATTCTTCGAGACTTCTCACCAGTGAACGATGTTCTTGTGCAAAAAGTGCGTGCCCTTTTTGAGAAGAAATATTGATATTTATAAATATATACAAACTCACTCGCAGGAGCCAGAAGTCGTTTTGCTGGATTTGATTATTCTACCTATCCCAGCACGCACCTGATACTGATTCTTAGAAGTTCTTAGTTATTCAACTATCACTATCGCCTTAATCAAGAAGACCATTTCGGAAAGCAAGTCAGCACGTCTTTGATCATTCACCAGCGCAAGCAGGTCGCTACTCGGCATGAATTGCCTTTCCCCACGCACCCAGGTCTCTGCGCAATCATTAGCGTGAGGATCTTCCCTCAAGTAAGATATCGATATTATCTTCTCACGACCCTGCGTTGATAATGATATCCACCCTTGGGATTACTAGTTGAAGATCCATGTGAGTGAGGGTCTTCCCTCAAATGTCTACTTGTAGGAAGAAATGCCTTGTTGTAATAGATACAACTGGTTGAGGGATCTGTCGCCTATAGAACCCCCAAAAAAGAGGAGTATCGTCCCCGGTTTCAATTTGTCTTTGATTGTATACGGTTTCGTTTTAAAAATAGGTATACTAGGATACCGTCCCGATACCCCGTATCTTTAGACTAGTTAGGGAATGATCAAGCCCCATAGACAACATTCTGTTTGTACTATACGCCTTAACATCAGAAGCATGCAAACGGTAACCAAACAGCACCCTTTCCGCCATGGCGACCTCATAGGGGCTTGCCGGTGAGTCTGGAGTACGCAACAGTAGTGCCTCAGCACCTACTTCACTTGCGAAACCTCCTAATGCTGTTCCGGTAGTACCGTCTCCTCCACCTGTAGAGACTTGCAAAGTCAAAAAAAAAACGAGGAGAATGAAGAGGAAAAGGATGACGTTATCTGGAGGTCATCTATCTCTCTACTGCATCTCTTCACAAAAACAAGTGGAAAAAGAACGAGTACTAGAGGAGAGCGTCAAAATCTCATATAACTTTAGGTGGTACCTGTTGTAGCCTGATCTCCACTATCGAGGGTTGTCATGTACGGGCGAAAGATACGGAAAGAGTTACGCCAACAGTGGGTTCCGGCAATCACCTGAGACTGATCGATGACCCAAACATTACGCCTGGTGGTCATCGAGTCAGGGTTGACTTAGAAGCAGAAGGATTCGTGTTCTTCTTCGTATCTTCATCCTTTCTTGGCCGTCTAATAGCCTAATTCTATAATTCGGTGGAGGTTGAACAATAATCTTCACTCAAAAACGCCTTGGACGCTTGTACTTCTAGTACCAAGAAGTGCAAGTACTAGTACACATGTACAGGTACTAGCGAGTGATTTTCTCACTCAGTCAAGTAGATGAAAGTAAAGCTGTATATGTATTGGCCTTAATTATATGCCTCGTGCGCGTCTATGCATTCTTCTACAGTTGCTTTTCCTTTTTGCGAAACTCGAATGAGCTCTGCGAATCGATTTGCCTCAGTGTTCGTGACCAATATCATCTGTCTCGAAGTCGTGACTAAACCTTGCCAATTCAGTTGTGCTGGAGCAGATGGCGAGGTGGCAGCGGCAGGAGCAGCACTAGTCGTGTTAGAAGTAGGAACTACGAAACATAAAATAAACAGTAAGCTCCTGTTAATTAGTTGTAGTAAAAAATTGTGTTGTATCGTCCTTAAGTGGAAAGAATAGTTCTGGTCGGACGTTCTTTGCTGAAAGTGTCAGTTCCCCACCGAACATGACACCTGCAATTTTTCTGTATTCGTGCTCAACCGGTCGTGGTGCTTTCTTGAGGTCCTCGTCCTTACTTAGAAAGAGGTAGAGCTCAAATAACTATTTAATTCATGTAGTTCATCTTGCTCCACATCTACTTACGTCAACCGACACAAGTAATATTGTTCTCAGATGAATGCAAGAAGAAAGGAACCTGAGAGAAGATGAATCACTGATACATAGTGTAAAGATGAAGATGAAATATACAACTGTGAAGATGACGCATTTCCTGTGAAGATGAGTCAACTCATTTATGACTGTTGGTGTGAACTAACAAGATGAATTTACAACAACTGTGGAGACCCCTGAAGAGCTTAACTTCTCATTCTTGGCTTTATCTTTGGCCAAATCGTCGATCGGATCACGCAAAAACCCACTCATGAAAAATTCGTGGAGTGCCTTCTGCGTCTGACGTAGCTGCTGAGAAAATTGCGTGAATTGCAGGGCAACCTGGGTACCCAATTGTTGTCCATGCAAAGTGGACGAGAAAGAATCATCCTGCCCTGTGGCGGCAAAGGCCGTGTTAGAGAGGACCACGCAGGGATGAAATAAGTTGATAATTGTTGGTTAATATAAAGAGATGATGGAGTTATTTACGACATTGCGTTTGCGACTCTTCTTGAGAAAAAGCAGACGCAAGTTGGTTTGTCTCGCTAAGAAACGTGAATTCAATGACCTCCTTGACGACTACAATTAGAAATAAAATGATGAAACACGAACAACGAACATTAGAATTTCGACTCACTGCAATTTCATCCCAGCAATCATGCATAAATTTCTTGTCCTCGTCGGATGCTCCTGCTGTCTCCTCGTCTCCCTTCTTCATCTTCGCGAAAGTGAGGACTTTCTCGGCACTGTCGATCCCTTGGGTTGAGACAGCGTTCAACAGTAGAGTGTGCACCTTAGCGGCAGCGTCTTGCAACACACTTGTTGCAACCTTTTCCAGCGGAGCTGCGACAGCGCCCTCAGCTTGTTTTTCCAATGCCAATTGTTAGACGGCTTCTCTCATTCAAAATTCTAATTTCAATTATGTTTTTCCAATGCCAATTCATTGTTAGACGGCTTCTCTCATTCAAAAACATTAATCCTGGACGTTTATTAAACAGGAAACATCTCAAGAAGCTCAACAAAGAGAAAGATGATGCTTGTGACCGAGAGAGACCAGCAAAGACTTTACATTTTTTTGCATGCGGGGATACAGCTCGGCTATGAGGGAGAGACGCTTTACGTTTTTGCATGTAGGGATACACCTAGCAGGCTACGAGGGAAAAACACTTTACATTTTTGCAAACAATTGAAGCCGTAAGAGTAAGCTTCGTCTTTCACTTTGACCGAAAAACGAAGGCGCAAGGACCGTCTCTCTTGATACATCATCAGCTTTCCATTGGTTGCCACCTCGGTTGCGCCACTCCCGCCCTCTACATTAGACCTACTTACTGATTAGATTCATCTTAAGCAGTCGCATCTTTGACGTGTATGGTCCTTGCAATTGTGCCCGCCAAAGTAAGATCAAGATGCCTCTTAAGATGAATAACGGCAAGCCTTAACTACGACGTAGTTGAAGTCCTTGGGTGCTTCTGGAAATACTCCTTGACTTCTTAACGCATGCCAGAGGACACTCACGAAATAAAAGAAGAAGAGACCCCCGATCAGAATCGATTCCTAACAGCAACCAGAAGATAGTAAGTCGTGAGTGTGGTCTAGCCTAAGTAGGACCTTAACTCGTTTTCATTTGCATCCTGATCTGCAGCTCGAGGGAGAATGTCCACAGCAGTAATGCCGAAATCGAGGAATTTCTCGACGTCTTGCAAGAGATCTGCTTCTTCGGCAACCACAGCAGGGGCCTCAGTATTCAGCAAGCCAGCCTGCAGCAAGCGTAGCGTTTTTTTCCTCTTTGTAGTTGTAGTTGTGTTAGATAATGATAAATTCAAATTCTATATAATACTGCTATTCCCTTTCCGTGTAACGTGATGGCCAGATCCAGTCTTCTACTATAAAAAGTTGTGAGGAGGAGGACTCAGCAGGATTGATCTATTAAATTAGGAAAATAATGAGTTGTAAAGAACAAAAGGCATATTGAGAAAGTAAGGACATCAGCCCCCCCGGAAGAACATTTTCACCAAGACATGATCATAAGAGTTGAAGTTCCACCAGCTGCGCCAGACAATTGCATTCCGAAAATGATGCGTGCGAGACGACGCTCTAATACCCGAAGCGCCTCCCTTTTCGCTTTGCGCATAATAGCCATCGGATCTTTTTGCTTTGCGTCATTCTGCGTATGTGTTAGAGCTAAGGACCAACATTCCACATCTACTTCACAATATTAAGAGCAATAAAACTTTGCAAACACATCCCTTCGGAAACCTCAACCTCCAACACCCAAACCCAAAACCTCCAACACCCGAACCCAAAACACCCGAACCCAAAACCTCCGAACCCAAAACCTCCGAACCCAAAAACAAACAAACCCCAAACCCCTGAACCCATGAACCCATGAACCCATGAACCCATGAACCCACGAACCCATGAACCCAGGAACCCAGGAACCCAGGAACCCAGGAACCCAGGAACCCAGGAACCCAGGAACCCAGGAACCCAGGAACCCAGGAACCCAGGAACCCAGGAACCCCAGGAACCCCAGGAACCCCAGGAACCCCAGGAACCCCAGGAACCCCAGGAGCCCCAGGAACCCCAGGAACCCCAGGAACCCCAGGAACCCCAGGAACCCCAGGAACCCCAGGAACCCCAGGAAACCACGGAAACCACGGAAACCACGAAACCACGAAACCACGAAACCAGGAAACCAGGAAACCACGAAACCAGGAAACCAGGAAACCAGGAAACCANGGAAACCATGAAACCATGAAACCATGAAACCATGAAACCATGAAACCACGAAACCATGAAACCACGAAACCACGAAACCATGAAACCATGAAGCCATGGAATTGAATTTCGGGGGAAAGGGCTTAAAATCAAAAATTTTAGGATCTTAATGCTTCAAACTTACGAAACTCAATCCCAAAGCGACGACAAAACGTGGAAAATTTTCGAAATTTGAAAAACGCGAACCCAAGGAATTAAATTTCAGAGCAAGGGCTTAAAATCAAAAATTTCAGGATCTTAGCCCTTCAAAATCAGCTGACTCACTCTCAAAATGGCGAAAAAGGTGGAAAACTTTCGAAATTTGAAAAACGCGACGCCAAGGGATTGAATCTCAGGGAAAGGGCTTAAAATCAAAAACTTTGGGATCTTAACGCTTCAAACTCACGGGACTCAATCTCAAAACGGCGGCAAAATGTGGAAAATTTTCGAAATTTGAAAAACGCGAAGCCAAGGTATTGAATTTCGGGGGGAAAAGCTTAAAGCCAAAAGTCTTGGGATCTTAGCGCTTCAAGCTCAGGGGATTCACTCCCGAAACGACGAAAAACGTGGAAAATTTTAGAAATTGGAAGAACGCGAATCCAAGGAATTAAATTTCAGGGAAAGGGCTTAAAATCAAAAGTTTTGGGATCTTAGTCTTTCAAAGTCAACGGATTCAGTCCCAAAATGACGAAAAAGGTGGAAAATTTTCGAAATTTGAAAAACGCGAATCCAAGAAACTGAATCCCAGGGAAAGGGCTTAAAGTCAAAAACTTACGGGCTCTAGCGCTTCAAACGCACAAAATTCATTCCCAAAACGACCACAAAACGTGGAGAATTTTCGAAATTTGAAAAACGCGAAGCCAAGGCATTAAATTTCAGCGAAAGGGCTGAAAGTCAAAAAGTTTTGGGATCTTAGCCCTTGACTTCAAACGCACGAGACCCAATCCCCAAACGATGGCAAAACGTGGAAAATTTTCGAAATTTGAAAACGCATATCGCTTACGTTGTTGCCTTGCTTAGTTTATTACTTTGGGGAGGAGGGGGATCCTAGTGGGAGGGATGTTATCGGACGCTCCAAGCTAGTACTATAATGGAGGAGTGTTGCGTGAAGCTGAAGCTCACTCGGAGTGTGATGAACGTGAAAAAGAACTAGCACAAGCATCTTTATCTGAGTATACCCAAACGACCAGTCACAAGCCAGCCTGTATAAAAAAGTGTTTGGACTAGACAGCGATTAAACACAAGACTAGACTAACCCTGCAACTAGGAATCTGCTTCGAAGAACCACTATTCTGATGAAGAAGAAGACTGAGACTATCAGCTATAACCTATATGTATGTGGTCACTTGCCACCCTTCTCGACCATCCGCGTCCCCTTAGAATGGCGTGTAGACTAGCACTAGTCGAGATTCAACTTGAAAAATCGAAATAGGTTACTTTTTTGCATCTTAAACCAGGAGCACACCACCCACGTTTCTTCTCATTCACATGGATCTTTTATGGCCTCATTCAGCACTAGAAAACTGACCCCATGACCAAGATATGATCAACGCTACCATTTTTCCTTCTTGAAAGACTCAAAACTCTATCTTTCTGATGAAGAAGAAGAAGACTGAGACTATCAGCTATAACCTATACCCGGCGTAACTCTTCCGTTTCCGCGACGCTGGCTTCTCTGGGGATATTGACGCTACCAGCTACGTCCCTAGCAAGCGCCTTCAGTGTTGGGGTGAGTGTGTCCTCACGATGATTCATCTGGCTCTGCATCCGCGATATCTGAGCCTCCAAAACAAGACCTTTTTTCAAGAGTTAGAACAAAAGTAGCAGGTCCTGAAGATCATGAAACAGAAACACTTTTTACAATTATATCAACATGTACACGATCATACCATCACCAAGGAGGGAAGTTGCAGCACTTGCTCTACTACTAACTACTACAACAGTCTAGTTCATCACTTTTGGTGGCGTGCATGGCATGGAGTGCATGGATTACATGGAGTACCTAGCAAGAATTTTGCTAACACCCAAGTCTACTCCATGCACTCCGTGCGTGAAAATTTTGAGGGGTGCCCGACAGGCCGGAACTGCTACGATGAAACGACGTGGCGCTCGACGAAGCGCCACACTCCTAGTACTGGCATGCCATCTGAGTCCGCTGCTTAAAAAGATGATGAGTAATTTCTCATAGAAATGTCACATCGGAAACCACAAGATGAAGAACTACAAGCCTTAAAAGAGTCCTGGCACCTCAAGCACTTGAGAGTCTGCATACTTTCTGGCTGCTCGCACGACTACAAAGTCTCGAGCGTCCACAGCGCGACGCAACTGCGAGTATTTCACAGGTTAGCGCTCATAAGACGAGTTGAACTCACAGAACGAAACCAATCTATCATAGTAAGTACCTCTAAAAATAAGATCATGAAGAAACCAATCTATCATAGTAAGCAGAAGCACCTCTAAAAATAAAATCATGAAGAATTATTGTGAGCCTTATAGATGCATTTGCTCCGTTTCTGCCTTCGCATTCTTCTGGTCTGTGGCTTCAACAGGCGGATCATTCTCGTCGAGAACATAGGCATCTTCGCGAAGCTGGCGAGAATCAAATTCTACGTGCGGTGGCGCTGTAGCTGCAGCATCTGCTTGTTCTTTGTTAGGGGTCGCAAGTTGACCGGTCAGTCTAGCTTAGTTACATATCTACTTATGACTTTCCTACTAAGTACTTGAAACTACTACTTGTGCGTAGCTTCATTATGCTACAAATGGAAGAGAGGTCAACTTCAATCCAGCAACCCTTTTCAAATTCAAGCTTAACTTTCTCAATGCCTGGAGGTAAAGTAAAACAACCGGCCCTGTGCTTGTCCATGTCATTCGTGTCCAAAGTACGAAATAGAGGATCGTCCTTTCCCCAACGGGCAGGGGCAACATCACCTGTAGCAGCGTTATTAGAAGAGAAATGCTCTTGGAGGTTCAGGTTCTTCTTGTAGCATTTACTGCAGGAAAATCTACAACTGGAGACGATCTTTAGGTAAAACGAGAAGGGTAAGCGAGAGATGAAAAGCAAATAAAGGGGCAGAACTTACACTAGACGAAGACGGAATGTCTAACTTGCTAACATGTAAAAATAGAGCTTCATGGAGGCGGTTCTAGAAGTAGATGATGATGTTGACAAGTAAAAATAGAGCTTAATGGAGGCGGTTCTAGAAGTACTTAGCTGTTGATGTTGAAGTTGATGTTGTAGTAGGTCGTGGTAGCATCTAGATCTAGTAGATCTACAGCGAGCCGATTACAATTTAAATCCTCCACCATAAAGGCCGGATCATACTCCGCGTCTTCATTATGTCCATAGGAGTCCGGAATTTGCTGCCCTTTCTCTATGGGAAACAGGTTGTCCTTGCACTCATCAGAAAAAAGACCATTTATTAGAGCTTTTAGTAGTTTACGACCATTTATTAGATCTGTGAATCTTCATAAATATCAGTTGGGAGTAGAGCTGTAGCGCTCCATCTGGTAGAGATAAATTTTCAAACCGAATTTCTACTGCAAAACTCTACTACTCCACACGATGGCAACAAGAAGTTGAGAGAAGATATCATCTGGCCACATGCTTGCAAGTTTAAATATATCGTTAAAGTAGTCTATCCTTGTTGAGTAAGTTCTTTTCAAAGTTCCCCTGGTTAAAGTCGAACAATTTCCTAGGAATAACCAAGTCTTCAACAATATTCATCATCATCGTGTTAATGTTAAACATCCAGATTAGATAGAAGCTACAACTTGTTGTTGAAGGCGTGTTAAACTTCCAGATTCAAGAAGCTGGTAAATGGAGATAACAGATGAACTTCCTTAACTTCAGGATGTCACGCCACCTCTGACGCAGCATCTTCAGGAACACTGTAGGCATGCGTCTCCATTTTCCATGATTTTTGTCAGCTGCAAGGGCTGCTGCACCTCCACTTGTGTCAGCCGATGGCGGCGTCGTGAACTTTTTAACGCTAGTTTTATTTCTACTATCCGTAGTTCTAAGTAGTTGAGTGGCAGCTTCCCTCTCTCCCCCTCAGGGCGGCTCAAAAACAGAATCTTCATCCTCGTCAAATTGATAATAAGAGGGAACTATCTATCCACTCGACACTCGCCATAGAACAAGTCCACAGGGGATCGATAGTGAAAAACTTCTAGCCTTAAACTTTTTAGTCGAGGTAAAGTATTCTTCGGCCTGTGTCTTGCCGTTCGGAGAGATTTTCCCAGGACCGGAATCTTAGAGCCTCCCCTTCATCCCTGTCTAGGGATCCCGTCAACATACTATTTCTCTGGTATCTAGTTGACTACTACTAGAAGCCGACAACTGGTTGCCTTACTATTTCTCTGGTATCTATTGGGGTGCATACTGTTGAGGGATGTCCATAGGGATGTCCATTAGGCGAAGCCTTAAGAATACGTGACGTCGAAAACGTCGTCAGTGGAGGTGTAGCCACTGATGATCTGCCTCCCGACAGCAACCTGCGAACGCTCGTGCCGCAAATTAGCAAAGGAGTAGAGGTAGACTCTAAGAACGAGAGGAAGTAAAGTAGGCTCTAAGAACAAGAGGAAGTAAAGTAGACTCTAAGAACGAGAGGAAGTAAAGTAGGCTCTAAGAACAAGAGGAAGTAAAGTAGATTCTAAGAACAAGAGGAAGTAAAGTAGACGCTAAGAACAAGAGGAAGTAAAGTACTAGGCTCTAAGAACAAGAGGAAGTAAAGGAGACTCTAACGAGTAGAAGTAGGAGGACATTCTAACAAGTAGAAGTGGAGGTAGATTTTAGGGAAAGGAAGTAGACTCTAAGAAGTAATTTGCAGTCCAGTATACAGGCTTATCTCTAAGAAGTAAAAATCCGCACCCCGATTCTTTTGTTTTTCTGCATTCTAAAAAGAAGTAATTTGCAGTCCAGTTGCTTATCTTTAGGCAATATCTCTACTTTAAAGCGAACGTCGCCAGGTCGTGCAAATTACTTCTTAGAATCTACTCCTAGTTCTACTTAAAAAAACTTGTTCGGTCTTTCATGGGAATTGTCAACTCTCGTCTCAAGAGAGCTCTTGCTTATTCATTCATTCATTCATTCATTCGAACCACGTAGCAGCTTACTTAGTATTTTTACTTTTTAGTACTAACTTAAGTAGATTAAGCAGTGCAGTGTACTAAAGTGAGCATAACTTTTACGATAAGACCAAGCTCTTGGGCGGCTAGTAATTCGAGGGAAAACTGCTTTGGGTTTCCCTTGCTGTAGCCGGGTAAAGATTTGTGGTCTTCTGACAAGCCAGCGACTCCCGGTTTTTTCGCTATAATATCTGGCATCCAGAAGGTAAGCGGTATTTCCATTTCGAATTCTGCGCCACGAATACGTTGTTCTTCCACGTATACTTAGAGCTAACGCGTTAGCATCTACTTCCCTGGGCACATCCACCTTGGCCCGCTTTTGAAGGAGAAAAAGAACAACTACCAAGGATCATGACATGATGTTAACTAAGTACAAGGACATGCAGCACATGCTTCAACATGACGGTAGCCTTAATATACGGCTTTCTGCAAGTACGACTCGCGTGCACTCCACAAAAAAGTGCTCTCATCACGCAACTCTTTCCATGGTTGAGCATTTCGAACGGAGATGTACATCTCATCTGCGACAATTAGAGGCTACGGAATTACTACATTCCTCAGGACGTCCCTGGCTCCTTTTGTATTGAGAAAAGAGCGAGGGATGCTAGTGCGGAATGCAATTCGGAAACTACCCTTAACACAAGAGACTCCGCAGAGGCTCCAAACGCTGCCCACTCAGCCGTTGGCGCGTTCCTTCTATCCCCTACTCGTCCTCTAGCTTGCGCTTCCTCCCCGCGATTAGAGCAGCTACCGCGCTAATAACACATCTCCCCTTAAATAGTGCATCCTTGTTGCTCCCTTTTTCGAGGAGAAAACAAACAGTGAAGGACGGTGCAACTTTATCAATTTATTATCGGTTAAAATTAAAACTACTAATAGCCATTTTTTATTAGGATCCGTCTATTCTGGACCAAGAATCTTCATGTTGTTAAAGTAGAGGACATGCTCGAGCGGTAGCCGTAACAATACGATGGATCAGATCACGGACGGACACGAAGTGCCCTGAGCTCTCCGCAAACGTGTTCGGAGCCATGAGGGAAGCTCTCGCATCACTCGCAACACTGTCTTTTATCAAGTTGTCCGGGATGTTGCATTTTAGAGGAGAGGAGAGGAGAGGACAGGAAAGGGGATAGGATTCGACTACAGATTCGGACAGGTCACTAGCAAGTCTGTGCCTCTGCTTTGTCGACATAACACTAACGAAAGGACTGGACGGTGATCAGTCAAATTCTAGTCTACCCCTGCACCTGCTGATGAATTAATGACCATTAACGAACGAGCTGTGTAAGAAGGTACGTGGACGAAAGTTGTGGGTGTGTGCTGTAGGGACGAGTTAGCAAATTCTATTTTTACTGCTGTCGACATAACGCTTACTTGTTGAAGTTGAAAACTGGGCGATAAGGTTGTTGTATAACTATATATAAGTAAAAAGTTGCTCGTATAACTAAAAAGTTGCTCCCCAGATGTATATGATTGTTTAAATGCTGGAAGAAGAAATGCAGCGCGAGACCAGTGAGCCAGGGGGCGACAAGAAAAATTCTGGGAACGCTGGAGGACTTGCTCACCTTCCTCTGCAATTATCTCTGGCTGGAAGGGGAGGAAAGTAGCAGGAGGACACGTAGGACGATGGGGTTGGCGATCATAATGTTGAAGTACAACTCTAACTAAATCTAAAGCTGTGTATAGGTATACTTGTGCGTGAAAGAATAAAAGAAACGATGAAAGACATATAGGACGATGGTGTTAAGGATGAAACTTCTAAAATTAGAATGTTGATGTCACTGGCGTTCCGGAGTGGCCTTAAGGATAGAGGCGGACTAAAGCTGGCGCGCCTGCTTTGGAACCTATAGGCTGCTTGGTGCTTTCAATTTTTAGAGCATTCCTCTGTCATTGGCGGGAAAAGAGAACGCTGGCATTCCACCAACTAGCTGCTAACTTCGATAACTTTCGACCAGATACTATGGTGTTCCTTGTCCTATGGTGGACATGTTGTCCCGTGACATTGAGGTTTTTCACTGATCCTCGTGTGCACCCGTTGATAAAGAGCCATAAGACCGACGAGTAATGCTGCATGAGCCCAGCGGTAGTGCTGACTACAAAGTCGAGGCTTCAGCTGTTCTTCATAGTGCGGTGTGTCCCCGATTTCGCCGCGATATTCTGGACTATCTTTGTTACGATAGTTTTCTTTTCCATCTCTTAGAAGATCTTGCAGGAGCGCGAATTGTCTAGGTCTACGACGTGGCCCTTGAAAATTTAATCTCTCTAGCTCTACATGAGATGTAATGTGTTGATCCATCAAGCTCTTAACGAACGTCAATCCTTGATGAACATCACCAAGTAAATACTTGATGAAAAACATCAAGTACTATCATAGTGCATATTGTTTACAGTTTACAACTTGACATCAGAAGTACTTGTTTTCGAGTGTCAGGTGTCCTTGAGTTTGACGCGCTAGATGATCTTGTTTCTTCATGATCACCTAGAGTGTATGTGAACTAATCTATCGAGATAAGGTAACAAGATACGAAAAATTACGAGCACGATTCCAAAGGGAAATGCAAGGCATCAAGTCGCTTTGAAGGTACAACGTTGTGGCCATAAAACAAACCAGTTCACATGCAGGTCGTGTAGATCTACAGTTTCGCCCTTTTTAATTTTACACTCCCACGACGCGGGAATACGCCGCATCAGCGAGTCTTTGTAATCATATTTTAGAGAAGATCACTATCCTCTATCATGTGTTGACAATCCCATTTCTAATGTAACACTACGTACTTTTGATTCGTCCACCTCGTCCGCTTAGGAGGGAGTCACAGTCTACTCATCAGTAAATTCCTCGTCCATTTACGTATATTCGGAGGAAAGGAAAACTCAACTATTAGCCTCCATCATAAGTAACCAGTGAGCAAACCGGTATGCTGGTAGCACGAACTCAGTCGCACAAGGTCGCCCACCAACTGCTGCTCCCGAGCATATATCTCACCATATTGTCCCGCGGATTGCTTGTAGCGCACCTTGTGCCCATTATATGTTTCAAAGAGCGGAAACTTCTGAGCCCGCGGCATATGATCATCTACAATGATCCCCGGCTGTAGTAGTGCGGGCAAAAGCTCAACCTGCAAGGCGTCCACGTTCTGCCCTGGCGATACTTGCGTTTTTTAGAGCAGGTTGTTCAACACGAGATTACCGCAATCTCCATAAACAAGATGATCTCCTCGTCACTGGCCTGGTTTCAATAGAACTACCTAGATATGCTTACATGTTGGCCTATTTTTCAACGTGAAGATCCAAGGTGGCTGGTAGTTATGGTAAGCATTATGCTGTAATCTTGTGACGAGCCATAAGTTGGTGTTGGGCTATTAGTCATCCAATATACTTCCTGCAGTCTTTGTTGCGCCTCCGTCAGAATCGTCGTGATGTCCTCTGGTGCGCCAAGGCATCTTAGAGGTTCTTTCCAAAGAATACCTGAAATAAATCTATCACACCTAGATGGAGAGAAGTTCAACATTGTAGAGAAGCCGAGGCCTACTAAAAAGTACTTGCGAGAAGGGCCTTGTCTTTTGCATATCTATATATGTTCCAGGGCTCAGGGCGGGAGGCCCCCCCCCTTAAGCTCGAGAATGGGGCCCCCTGGGCTTTACGGAATTTCAAATGCGGATATTATCTGGGGCCAAGCGATCGCCAGGCGGGTCCTGCTCCTGCTGGGGCCTCCTGTGGCTCCTGTGGCTCCTGTGGCTCCTGTGGTTCCTGTGGTTCCTGTGGTTCCTGTGGTTCCTGTGGCTCCTGTGGTTCCTGTGGTTCCTGTGGTTCCTGTGGTTCCTGTGGTTCCTGTGGTTCCTGTGGTTCCTGTGGTCCCTGTGGTTCCTGTGGTTCCGCCCCCTTTGTTGATTTTCTGCCAGGTTTGTTGCCTGGGGAACATTTTCCGCCCCCCGGGTTGATTTTCTGCCAGGTTTGCCACCTCCTTGGGAAGATTTTCCGCGCCCCTTTGTTGAATTTCTGCCAGGTTTTGCCGCCTGGGGAACATTTTCCGCCCCCTTGGTTGATTTTCTGCCAGGTTTGCGCCCTCCGTTGATTTTCTGCCAGGTTTGCTGCCTGGGGAACATTTTCCGCCCCCCTGGTTGACTTTCTGCCGCGTTTTCTGTCAACCGGGAACATATTCCGCCCCCCTCTGTGACTTTCTGCCGCATTTTCTGCCTACCCGGGAACGCTTCCCACTCCCCTGGTAGTGTTTCTGCCACCCGGGAACACTTTCCGCCCCCGTCTGTGACTTTCTGCCACCCGGGAACATTTTCCGCCCCCCTCTGTGACTTTCTGCCGCGTTTTCTGCCTACCCGGGAAGGAACATTTTCCACCCCCCTCCGTGACTTTCTGCCACCCGGGAACACTTTCCAGCCCCCTCTTGGACTTTCTGCCGCATTTTCTGACAATCAGGAACATTTTCTGCCCCCCTCTTGGACTTTCTGCCGCATTTTCTGCCACCAGGAACACTTTTGCCACCCCTTCCGCTTGGACTTTCTATTCTGCCGCATTTTTTGCCAAGCTCTGTGAACTTCTGCCGAAGGAGCTTTCCCCCCTCGCCGTCCTGTGGACATTTTCCGCGTCCCTCTTGAGGTTAAGACTGGGACTGGGACTCACAACCAGGGGACCGCTGCTGCCCCTCGTCCGCCACGTCAAAGCTCCCAACAAAGTGAACAGGGGGGAAGAAACTTACAACCAAGCTAATGCGCGAGGCCGTTTCCTATTGTTGTTGTGATCTCAGTCAGCTGAATCCTAAGAAAGTTGCTGACAGCCAAGCCATTGCCACGCTGCTGGTGCTAGCGCTATCGCGTGCTTCTCAGGTTCCTCCTACAGGCTGCTCCGATTTATTTTTGGTGGATGTGCTCACTGCGGTCACAGTTGTGCTGTCGTGCTACATTAGGCGAAGTTAACACAGGCTGGCGCCTCCTCTGTTTACATTTTCAAAATGGTAAAGGAGCGAAACCAAATTGCCTGCACGACTAGAAACCCCGTAAGGCCCAGGGGGTCCCTTTCTCGACCCTACGGCCCCCCCCCCGATCTAACTTTTTGTAGGGGGGGGGGCCTCCCCGCCCCGGCCCCTCTTTTCGAGGGGCTGCCGGGGGGAAGGCCTCAAAGCGCCCACTTCTGACCCCTTCCCGCTTCTTGCATGTACGCTACAGACCCGGCAAAGGTGGCAAAGGCTGGGCCCTCTTGTCGTGTTGCGTGTGCCCAACCCTACGCCAAGGGGGTGGGTTCCCGCCTTTGCCCCCTTTGCCAGGTCTGTAGGGTACATGCAACAAGGCAGCGGGGCCCGGCCTTTGCCTCCTTTGCCAGGTCTGTAGGGTACACGCAACAAGGCAGCGGGGCCCTGCCTTTGCCCCCTTTGCCAGGTCTGTAGGGTACACGCAACAAGGCAGCGGGCCGGGTCGGTGGATACATGCAACAAGGCAGCGGGGCCCGGCCTTTGCCACCTTTGCCAGGTCTGTCGGGTACATGCAACAAGCCAGCGGGGCCCTGCCTTTGCCAGGTCTGTAGGGTACATGCAAGAAGCGGGAAGGGGTCAGAAGTGGGCGCCTTGAGGCCTTCCCGCCTGGCAGCCCCTCGACAGGCCTGGCCAATAAGGTGGCAAGGCTGGACCCCTCTGGCGTGGTCCTCCCCAGATCCATCCACAGGGGGGGGGGCCTCCCTCCCTGGTACATATATAATTATGACTTTTCTCTAAGCATAATGAAGACTGCATCGCAATCGCTAGTTCATCTACAAGATGAACTGTCTCCTTTTTTTTACTTCAAATGTGAATGTCAAAGCCCTAAGTTTAGCAGTGCTCCAGAACGGCATTCCTGTGCTGCGACACGGAAATGATTTACCAATTCCGTCCCAAGAAACTTTGCTGCTTCATCCGACGCCACATCTTCCGACGCCCCATCATGCTTAGGTTTGGCCTCTACGATCCGAGCGATAAAGTCCTTAGCCAAGTCTTTCGCGACGTCCTCGAGCGAATCACTGTTACGTTAGAGGGAAAGAAGGAGGACGACGTAGACGCTATTGAAGATGTTGACAATGAAGATGTTCATTCATTCCTATCTACATAGATGTACTCGAACCATGTAGCAGCTTGCAGCCGCCTGGCTCCGTTGCGATCCGAAATAAGGAGCAGACAATATATGCTGGCTGGAATCTTTTGAACAATCTTGAAGAAGAGGAAGACGTTGGTGAACATCTAAGTACGTGTATGTTGTCCTCTATCAAGTAGGCTAATGCTCATCGTATTAAGTAAGAAGTTCTACTGGAAGGAGAAATCAGTTTTCATGTGTTGAAATTTGTAGAAGATATTGCCGTCTTGTTGAGTATAGAGGAAGAGTGTCTGACTAAGATTCTACTAGGTCCAGTTTAGAGAAGAAGAGTGTCTGAATAGAAGTACTCGTTGATCAACTCTGTTTTTAGTTAACAAGTATACTAGACTGTGTACTGGATAACTACATTAACTACATCCACTTCTCACTCTCACAAACAGTATAAAGTCGTGTCTTTCTCCTAAGTGTAGAGGGTGCGGATAACGTCCTCCTTCGCAGTGAAGCCACCCACTGCATTCACGTCTTTATTAAGGGTTACTAACGGTGGCAGCAATCCGAAGGGTAGGTGCGTCGCGGACCTGCTTGGGGTAAGCACCTGCGGGGCTGCATAACTTCCCTTTGTCAACTTAGAAGGAAGAGCTAGTTGTGCTAGTGAATCAATGACCAAGAAGAGTACAAGTACATCATGATCAAACTATGATCTTAGATTCTACTATAATCAGGATGCACTAGTTGTACTCGAGGCATCAGCGTGAACTTTCAACAAGCATAAAGAATTTTTGATGTCTACGAGGACAAGATGTTGTAGTAAGCACTTAGTTAACCAACAAAGTAAGGCGGTGGCAAACTACTGTCCGAGCCTGTAGTTCCCTCTACCTAGTGCTATAATTTTCACCCATGACGAGCAATACCATCATATCTAGTATCTAGCTAAGAAAAACGGAAAGCAATCCACAAACCATCTAGCCATTGAATTCAATAAATTCTATTCTATTCTTCTACTAAGCTTTGTACTTATGTACAAAATACGAAACTTAGACGAAGTGGAATGTCCAGACAGTCTGGAGTGGGAATGGAATGTCATCCATCCTTTTGTCCTTTGTCCTCCATAAAGTTGGTGGAGCAAATGCAAACCTGACTAGAAAAACAAAAAACCGAAAAAAAGGAAAACTCAGCCAAGAAGTGCTTATCTACTACCAACTAAGCGCCGGCGCTGTCGATGTCCTGTCAGCCTGCCGCAGATGTCTCACCTTCCATGATCAACGTAAACATTTGTAGTTCCATCCATAAACATTTGTAATTCCATCTGAACTTCCGCTTCCTGCTCTACCTCAACTTGGGTCTCGACCTCTCCACCAGCCTCTGCTGCTTCACTTTCCGCACCCATCACCTGTGCAGGGAGTTTGTCTCGGTGCAGCTGCGCTTTCTCCATGACGATAGTGGCAGCACGACGAAGACCATCGAAGAGGCTATGCGGCACATAGCTCGAAACATTAGAAGAGTAATCTACGGTAGCTACCGCGTCTTGTTCTTATACTCGAATGCCATTGCCATAATATCCTTGGATGAGTACTACACTTCTTTTTTCACCCTTTGAAAAAGAAGAGCCATGTTGAGGGTCGATGCTTCAAGTTCAACGGTACCCGTAAAGACAAGCCAACGCAACTTGCGGACAAGTTTTTGCACATTATTCCACACATTCTTGATGGGGTCTACACTGTATTGCACAGGTCCGTTTTCACGCCAAATCCAATCTGGGGTGTCGTAGCTAACCAATGCATTAGACGAGTCAACATGAGTATGCTCTTCTTGAATAAAACCACGAGTACGTAGTTCCTTCTTGTAGAAGATGCAGGTGCTTCACTTACTTCTTGCATTTTCTACTTTTAGAAGGTCCTCGGAACTCCTCCAAACCGTATAAATAACTAAGCAGGCCTGGTCATCTAATATGCCTTAATGGTAAATGGCTTCGTGGCATCGTGCATCAATAGCGCAGTGGCAACGGCATTCAATGAGGGATCTGTCCTCTGCTGCAGTTGTTGATGATCGTTGGGTTGTACTGCAGTGGTTAGTTCTTTTTCCCAGTACTCGTATTGTGTTGTTCCTTTTAGCGCTTTTTCTGCTCTTGTACTCCCCGCTTCCATCCTTGAAGGCTGTGTGATTTCATCCGTAAAGGCTGCAGCAGGCGAGCGTGAGTTTGGCATTAGAGCTGTCACATCAGTTAACTTCTAATATATCTTTATCATTCTATGTATGAGCTACCTACACGACCTAGCAAGGGTCGAGTACTAGTTCAACTAGGAAAAACGCCATGGGCACTACACCTAGTGCGTACTACGCTAGTTGTCCTAGTGTTACTAACTTAGTAATTATGTCAACAACAAATTATAAGAGCCTTAACAAGACGAGAACAGGTGGCACAAAGAGAGCTACATCTCGAACGAGAGAGCACAAGCGCCGCGCGAACGATCCTAGCTGCATCGACAGCGCATCTCCATACTTCCTTGCCTCCACGGAGTCCTCGAACTCGAAGGCAAACGCAGCTACGTCCAAGGCCCTCAGCTTGCGATTGTATCTTGTCTGTCTGGATTAGAGGTGGTGGTTGCACAGATGGGTCGGAGTACTAAGTAGGTAGGGTGGTGGGGTGAAATAGGTGTGTAATGGAGGTGGTGAGAGTATTTGTATGAACGTTGTAGTGATGGGGGGTGGTGGTGGTGGGAGAACCAAGCCGGAAATCTAATATTCATACATCTTTGGGAGGACGAGTAGAGCAATAACATCTTTCTTCAGTCGTTTCGGTCGTTTCTGTTTCCAAGTAGAAACTGACAGTTCTTTCTAGGTGCGGGGAGCGGAGAAACTTAGGGTGGAGGGTCGTCACGAGAAACGCGCGAGGGTCGTTCAAAAGATATTTATTCTAGCGTCTATGGGTTCTTGACCGCAGTAGTTGTACTTACTTCTAGCGATAACTGACACTGACTCGATCGCTCTCCACTTGTATGAGAGTGCCCTCTTTCTCATCGTCCGCATCTCCTTCGAAGAATTGGTTGACAAGCGTCTTGAGGTATTCCGGAGCAGCCAAAGGATGATCTTCCACCAGTGCAATCGAGCCACCTTCACTCCTGTCTCGATCCTTAGAAAGATAAGGAGCCTCCTTCTAGAGAGGTAGATGTTGTCGAGCCCTATCTAGAAAGTCAAGTAGTTCCAGTCAACCCTATCTAGAAAGTCAAGTAGTTCCAGTCAACCCTATCTAGAAAGTCAAGCTCAAGTAGTTCCAGATCCATTCAACCCTATCTAGAAAGTTACGTAGTTCCAGTCGAGCAATATTGGGTGAAGTAGTCAGAGTATTTTTCAACATCGAGAAGGCTGTGCCGAAGTAGCCGTTAGTTAATACGTGTTTCTCTTGGGTTCGTTTCATTTAACTAGTAGTGACGAAAACAAATTACTAAAGATGCTATGGCTATCAAGAGTCTTAACAGCTGCATTTGCATTCTTGAGGGGGTTATTAACAGAGGAAGTAGCGACCCCCTCTTCCAGCACTGGCTCTTTCACAGCGTTAAAAGAAACACGTAGGTAATCTCGTGTCTCCAGACGTTCTGCCACGTTAGTGCCGGAAGTGGCATCAGCTGGATTAGAGCTAGCACGTCGCATCCTTGAGCCCATCCCTGCGCCCTTTAAAGGGAGGCAAAGGACGGTGCCTTACTATTTCTCTGGTAGGTGTGGATCCATACTACAGATCTTGAGGGATCCTTCCATCCACCTATAGAAAAGTAGATGGACGATCGAGCTTCTAATTCTACATTTCGCACAAAGGAAGGCGCAGCGGTAGCCTTAACTGAAGCATCGACGTCGGTCTGGGAAGGCGCCTGCTTATCTACTTCATCACGTTGGTGCTTGGTGAGCAGGTAGAAAGACGCATCCCGCGGTGTGGCAGGAGTTCCAGACAGCTTCGTCTCTCCTTTTGCTTCAAAGGCTTCCCCGTTCTTAGAAATAGAACTTCAGTGGAAGGAGTACCTAATTGTTCTTGTATAGGTCGAAGATACAGCAGGTTGCATCTATTGTTCTTCGATACTTGTTTCTTTTTGCAATCCTATGCATTTGAAGAGTACTCTTATTCTCTCACTCATCTCGTTCTAGTTGTTTCCACGAAGATTAATATGAAATAGGCCGTAAGATAACTCTGCATATTCATCTTTTCTACGTCTAGACTCAGGACTGAATCCGGCTTTTCGCTTCCTCCAGATGCAGCTTTTCCTCCGCTCAATCTTAGACGAAGAACTTGATTGAGTTTCGAAGTAGTAGACGCAGTAGTAGCAGTAGTTGTAGATCGCAGTAGTACACGCAGTAGTAGTAGATCATGCAGATCTCTAATTACTCATGTTGTTGGGTACACGAGGACCTCCTCGAAACACAATGAAACAAGCAGGATAGAGTTTGTCATTAGGTACTGTAAAACTTGTAGGCGCAAGATCATCAAGATCATCGTTCTTCTGTGTACCATCTTAGTCGGTGCTGGACATTTCAAACAAAAATAGAAAAAGAAGAATTTTTAGACCTAGTATTTTTGTCATTCGTACTACTGAAGACCGTACTACATTTCTCAACACGACTACTTGTGCCATACCAGTAACAGTTGTCGCATGATGACGAGTCTGTAACATTCGTTCATATTATGTTTCGGGAGCTTTCTATCCTCTGTCAACTCGCTGCATTTCGCCTTTTTCTGTAGTTAGACCTATCCCCATTTCGTCCCTGTTGAGATACAACCCCAAGAATATGCGCCAATGTGTGTCTCCCCTGTAAGTATAGGGAAGCATACTGCTCTTGAGGGGTCATCTCTATAGAAGAGATCTCCCTATTGTTGAGCTTGTTGAGCATGCATCTTCCCTATGTATAGTAGAAGATTTCTCTTTCTTTATAATATATAATAATGCATCGATCCCTATTTATAGAAGCAGAGATGGATTAGGGAAAGCCTTAATGTAGCGTCTCGATGGCGGCCAGAAGTAATTTCGATCGGAACGCTAACATCAAATCCCGTACTTGCGACTCCACAACGAACGTGACAAAATTAGAAAGTCATAGAAGCTCCTCCTGAAATCTATTTCAATTTCTATTTAACGAACGTGACAAACTTAGAATAAATTCATCCAACGAACGTGACAAACTTAGAATAATCAGTGAATTCTAGAGGTTTGTAAAAGAACAACATGAAACTAAAACAAGCCAAAGAGGGGCTTCTGTCGGTAGTCCTGATCCCCATCCTGGTGTTGGAGTCTATAATAATCTCGGAAGAGACGAACACCTGGATGAGTTTTCCTTGAAAGAGACAAAGAACATTAATGACCTGTACCTGTTTTAGTAGGAGTTGAAGGAAATAGCCAGTGGAAGCCAGTCTACCCTAGTGGTATATCCAGTGGAAATAGCCAGTGGAAGGGGATAGCCAGTGGAAATAGCCAGTGTCGAAATGGTTTGCCAGTGGAAGAAGTCCACACCTTAACAAACTGTTGCTGGTCACTCGGGGGTCGGTACACGAGGCGAGCACGCATGATGCCCTGCGCCAAGAGGGACAGCTGTACCTTGTTGCTACTCAGCACGAATTCATATCCGCCACTTGTTTTCTCGCTTTTTTAGAGAATATGGATAGTGATCATCTAGACACGTTCATATCCTTACTCAGGAAACGATAACGAGTGGTGTTTTACCGAGAAGTCGTGAAAGCCCTAATTTACATGCTCAGGGGCAGGTTTGGTCTTTGCGGCGGGTTTTCCGTGATGTTCTTGATCTTGGCCTTCTGCGTTATCATCCGCAGCGTGAACTTTCTCGTAGATCGCATCTTTGCGGATCCTCGTCTTTTTTACCACGTCACTTGTCGATTGTCTAGGTGCGTCCTCGACAACCGCTTTGCCAAAGGGAACGTCGGAGCCGATGACATGGGCCTGATCGTACAGAACAACGATGTGCTCTCGCAGCTTATTCACGTCCCATAATTAGAACCAAATATGCTCCTTTGACGACATTTTTTAGTTGTTCAAAAGATACTACAGGAATGGCGCAAGAATCACGTTCTTGATCTTCAAACTCATGTGACTGCTACATGTAGCCAAGTAGAAAGTCATCGATTTACAATTCCGCATTACAAATGCTTCATGTTATATCTTCTTGATATATCGATCGTGGTGTCCATAGTTTTCATATCCCGCTAGCTGCGCTATAGCCTCATGGGAGCTTCCTTGGACTGGCAAGGGCTTCGGGATTTTATCCAATGCACACGTTTTTTGCACCTTCAGCCATTCTGTCTCGGTAGGACACCACCACTTGGAATGCTCCCATGCTTCGTGCTTGCGATTCGGGTTAGGAGGCTGCTCGCTAGAAGATGGAGTCATCTTCAACGTCTCAATCTTTGCGCACTTATCGTTAGCGCTGCGTCTGCTTCTATTTACAGAACTCACAGTATGTAAAAATGTGGAAGGATTCACATGAATAAAAAAGGTGTAAAGATGATAATCCAGCACTTTAGAAGGTACTGGAGACCGCTTGACCTACTTGTAACTATGGCAAGGTCCTAGTTACTAGAGACCGTAGTTCAAGTACAAAAAAATAGATTGTACTCCTACCTGCTCGTCAAGCTCAAGGAAAGGTCAGACGTAATAGTAATTGTATCAAACCCAGTAGAGAGGTGCCGAAATTCAGAGAGGTGGAAAAGAAAACTATCCTCGATCACGGGAGCCTTAACGCCTACCGCCTTTCCTGCCGCTGCCGCGTCTTGGACAGAAACCGTGGTGCCGTCCGTTGGATCTGCTGCGCTGAAAAGGTCCTTCGCCTTGTACAGCATCAAGACGCTTTCGCCTAGCTTTAGAGTTCCTTACCGCACTCCATGATCACTGTACGGACCCGGATGGGGGCCGGAAGAATCATATAAGTAGGTACCAAGGAGTAAGGCCCCCCCTGTGGATGGAGCGGCGGTGGCGTCCGCGCGCCCTTTTTTCCGCTGTGTGTGGTGACATGTAAGGAACCCCGGAGGCGAAGGCCCCAAAAGGCGGCGCCGGATGTCCCTGGCCGCGGGCCTCCGCGTGTATCCCACAAGCGTCCCGACCCTTGGGCCCTATGTATCAACGAGACAGCCTTCAAGAAAAGAAGGGCCTTGGGCGCTCATCCCCCCAAGTGGTGGCAGCGTCAGCCGCCACCAAACGCCCGGGGAGATGAAGACCAAAGGCGAGGAGGAGGGGAGCAAGGCGTGCCCGCCTGGGTTCATCTGCCGGTTACATGCAGCCCGGCGAAAGGGCTCCAGCCTTGCCACCTGCGGCCCTCGGAGGCCTTCCACCTCCCAAGACGCTCCCCAGTCGTGAGAAGCCCGCACGGAGGAGTTTTGTGGGGTACATACGGCAGGGGAGGTCTGTAGGGTACAAGCAACACGGCGCGGGAGGTCTGTAAGGCACACGCAACACGGCAAGGGGGTCAAGCCTTGCCGCCTTTGCCACCTTCAGAAGCCTTCCATCCACCCGCGGCCGTGGGTGCTTGAACGGCCTCGGGGCGGGTTTGGCTTATTTGGGGTACAAGCAAGAAGCCGGGAAGGCTCGAAGGTGGGCGTTTGGAGGCCTTCCCGCCTGGCATTCCCTCGAGAAAAAGGGTCCGGGGCTGGTTGGGGACCCCCCCTCAAAACGTTAGATCTAGGAGGGCCTTCAGCCCTGCGCCCTGGAATAAATATTAAGCCAGGGGAAGGAGACGGATTAGATTCGATGTTGAACATTTTGAAGTAGTATTTAGATATTCGCGCTGACTTTAGCTACTTGTCGATTAACACTTGGAAGAGCGGAGAAGGATCGAGTAATTTAAAAAAAGAAAAAAAATCAAACAACTGTTGACTTTAAACAAACTTATGCCCTGGAATTAGTATAATTAAATAAGCAGCGTCGAGCTCCTGGGCGCGCTACGTTCTTCGAAACTTGTGGAAGAGACCAGGCGTCACACCAAGCGCGGGCCAACTCGGAGAGCCAGCAGCCGCCGAGGGCCGTCAAAGTATTGCCATCCGGGGGACCATCGAACCCCGAGAGGCAGGCGCGGGCGGCCTCTCGCCGTCCCGGTTGCTCATTTCGAGCTTGCAACCGCCGGACCCTTTGCCAGCCTTCAACCCTATCGGACGCCCGCAGCTCTCGGGCTGGATGAGTCCACCAAGAGGCGCCAAGGCCAAGGCAGTGGGAGGGAGGGAAAAAAGACCCGAAGACCGCTAGGGAACCTGCAAGCGGATTGAAACAGGGAGGCGCGCGCCTTTTCATGACTTCGCTGGGCACTCTTTGCGCTTGTTCGCCCCTGTCGGTCATTGCCGACGGGGGGGGCCTTTGTGACCTGGCATCCGAGAAGCCACGAGCATGCGCCCGCACGCACGCGCGTCGCCGTCGCGGCTTATACACTAAGAAAACAAGCATTCAATAATCCTACATAAATGTGGATCCATAGTACAGGTCTTGAGGGATCCTTCCATCCACCTATAGAAAGTAGATGGACGATTTTTTTTTTCCAATAAAAATGGCGGACGATGGCGATCAGTGTTCTTGGTCGTGGTTTCTATTTATAGGTTGAGGAGCGATTTTTACTAAGTAGATTCTATCTAAAATAGCCATCATGTCGGTGGCCCCTATAGCAGAGCAATTTATAAGGTTTCACGGCTCGCATGGCATGGAGTGCATGGATCACATGGAGCTAAAGGGGGAGCTTCTTGCGCCCCTTAAAGCTCTGCGCTCCATGCACTCCATGCTACTCCATGCACCATGCGTGCTATAAACTACTCTGCTATAGGTAGTTGATGAATGAGGGATCTCGTCTATAGAGATGTATTACTAGAGCAGTCCTTAATGGGCGCAAATCCTCGTAGAACGCGATCACTTCTTTCTGAGGATTCAGCTTGTTCCAGGAATAGAGCATCTGACAGGCAATCACCTTACGGTCAGCGCGAGCAGCAGAGAGCAAAGCGCCAACATCGACGACCGCAGAGTATTCGGAGGTTAGAGGATGAGTGAAAAGAAGTTGTTGAACTTGAGCATGAGCTGCAGGAGTCACTACTCGCAAAAACTGAAATACATAGCCGAGTGACGTCACTTAAGAGGGCAAGAACTACCTTTCTTGCTATTCTAAGGCTTCGAGTAAGTAAGAAGCGAAATCTACAGTGCTTGTATCTGAATCTGAAAGTACACGAAAACTTCAAATTAATAAGCAACTGACTGATTACAACAAGCGAGATACAGAAAGAAGAGCAGCGTAGCGGCTGCTCTTACATTTCAGTTCACTACTCGCATTTCGAGTAGACAGAATTATTAATGGGTAGTAGCATGAGCACCGCCCATAAGTAGAAGTGTAGAACTCGTGGATACACGCGATCATCTTCCGCAAGTGGCTCGATTGCTTTCGTTTTCAGATTGCGCTTCTGGTATTAGAAGAGGCGGGAAAAGCGTCTTCTAAGTGAGGTAAGATCAAGTACCACTCCCCGAGCAGTTGTCCTTCGAGTTGAAGATGATCTACATATTCTCTTATATGATACGAGGACGCACGCCCCCCCCCGTGGTTGCGCTTGCGCGCTCTTCTCTGCGCAGATTTTCGCGGATTCCTGGGGTGAGAGGCGTCAAAACTGGGAGCGGGAGCGCCCTTGCGCCTCTTTGCATGTTCCCGACAGGCGTCCCAGCCTCTGCCAACCCTCCGCCCACGCAGGAGGTAGCCGGGGTAGAGGGCCGCCGGAGGCGGCCACGGTCTCGAGGCCTGGCCTCTTTTGCTGGGTTGCCCTCATCGAATGCGTGGCAAGAGCCAGCAAGCCGATGACCAAGGGCCCGGAGGGTACAGGCCACACGGCTAAGGGGGTCCAGGATTGCGCTTTTTGCTGCCTTCGGAGGCTCTTCACGCCCGGCACAGTGCTACCGCGGCGAGAGGCCAGCACATAGGGGGCCTGTAGGATACACGCTGGCAGCTGGAAGGGAGTGGGGGGCCCCCTGGGACCCCTTTGGAAGCCTTCCACTCCCGACAGACGCCTCCAGAAGGGGTCCGGGGATCCACGGCCCCCGCCCGTGCTCGGGGGCGCTCCCGTAAACCCTGGAACACATCTTGAATGTTGATAATAAAAATAAAGCACGAAGGAGCAGAGCAAAACAAGTAAGCAGAAAGAATGAGAAAGTACGACTAAGGGAAGAGGGGAAAAGAAGCCACCTACGCCACCTAGTCGTAAGGATAGTTCACTGGCGAACCTTCGGTCATGTGGGGATTCGCATCATCGCTCATGCGTCTTCCAAGCTCAAAGACGAACTTTGCAGGAACTCGCAATGCCGTATTCTCAATGTCCGAGATCACTGAGGACTCTCCATTGTCCATCAAGTTGCGGAGTCTTTCTTAGAGGTGGAGGAAGAGGGGGACCGACGGGGAGGTGGAACTTAAATAAAAGGCGAAGGAACTTCAAATTTTATTCATGTTCTACTTGGAGGACGAACAAGAACTCAAGAAGTAGAGGATAATTCATTTCCGTATCAGGTCGGTTTCAGTTTTGGCGTCGGCCGACGCCGAATCCAGCCTGTTAAAAAGAGAAACAGTAGGTACTGGCACACTAGAGAAGAATTGATATTGAGCTTCAGCCTTAATCTTCTACAACATCGAATTCGTCGGCGTAGTCGAGTACAGGCATACCAGTGCGCTCTTTAGGCGAGAAGTATTAGAGAGTGCTCGTTCTTGATGTTGTATTCATTCCGGTCCCCCCAACATTTAGGTGACCTTGTTACTCTTGTTGTACTCTGTCGTCGTCGATGTCGAAAAGTAAGTACCAAGATGATGAGAGAGAACGAGAAGACGGACCTACGACAAGCAATACCGACCATAAAAGTACTCCAGAGGCCAAGTGAGTGGGTGCCATGTCCACCGCCCAAACTTGGTACCACTGTACCCGCGCGGACGCATCAAGGAGGCGAGCTCCATAGGTCCGGCGTTAGCCTGGATGGGGTAGACCGAAAGCTGCGAAGGATCGGAGAAGACCTTTTCTCGCAAATACCACAACAATAACGCTGCAACGGGCTGTTATGAGAGGGGTGAGTAGATTCTTGTTGTGAGAAGCACGATTGGATACTGCTAAAAACGGTCTAAGTAAGTAACTAAAAAGGAGCAGCTGTAATATGTAATATGTAAATTTGTACCTTCTCTTTCCTGTTCGTCTCAATGAAGTGGCGAAATCTCACTACTGTGGCGAGAGGAGGAACTCCTTCGTGTTCTCCTTCAGCATCGGTCCAAAGGTCCAGGTGCAAGGACTTCATTCCTTGTAAACTCGCTAGGTCATCTGAAAGTCGATGACGTGGCTTGATGTAATATTAAACGTATTTCTAAGTAGCTCATCTGATATCTTCCGTTGTAGGATGACGTCGTTCTTGTGGGATCCACATGCACAGTAATATAGTTTAGGTTTAGACTAGCCCCCTCTATTAGATATTGGATGAGGGGCACCAAACGGGAAGATAGTACGACAAAAGAAAGTCAGCAATAATGAAACAAGTTGAATCAATTTGATAGTACCGTCCTCCAATGTTCTCCCGTTCGCGGTTTCTTTAGGCTCTCTCAGCTTGTCAATCTGACTCAACTCTTGTTTAAAAAGCTCTACTAAGTCCGTACTGAAGGAAGTCGCTGGGCCTGAGCTAATTTCTCCTCCACTATATAAATCAGGAGTGTCTGGCGGCGCCTGAATAACAGCGTGATAATTGTATCGCTTACTAAGTACTCTTTGTCTTTTCGACGTATTTACGTTGGAAACTAAGTTGTTGACATTTGTCGACATCCTCAGTCCCTCAATGACGAGTATCAGTCATGTATTGCGTTAGAAGCAAGTGTGATGCATGTGTAAAGTATTCCCTGTATAATTGTGTTAGTCGTGTTTGGTTGATGAGAATGTAAGATTTCTACCTGAAGCTCAACGTTGCTCCAGTTCATCGCCTCTTCGTTTTCTTGTGGTGGGTTGGAGCCAAAGTACTTATGGCAGGATTTTCGGATGGCGCGAATGAGTCGCTGTGTTTCCGCATGCAGTGACGCCACCGCCCCTAACCCGCCGAGTACAACTTCTTAGAAAGAGGAACAACCAGAACTAACTAAAATAAGTACCAAAATTCATATTATAATGGTTGTGCCACGACTACCAAGTACTAGGGATATCATCATCTATGTATAGGGTCGTGCCCCCTATCGATCCCACTTCTTTCATAGAAACAAGAAAGATACAAATAAAAGCACGTAGTTCTACTTCTTGTGACAAAGATTACCCCCATCAATTACTTCCCTCGCCAACCCGATGAGCAGTACTGATGTAAGGAGAGCCCACAAATTTTGTGGGCTCTATTGAACGTGAAGGTTGGTGATGTCATGTCATGATACCTCGTGATAGGCTAGTCAAACGTGACTGAGGCCGTTCAATCCCCTTGCACCTTTCTAAGTCTATTGAACGCGCTAAATACATACACACATACGCACACACATACATACACACATACGTACATACACTTCCACCGGTCATAGAAGGTCATATCGTTGCCGGCATACGTATTCAGAAAGAATTCTGAATCAGGGTTGTAGTCCCAGCGACTCGACAGGATCGTCAAAACCGTTTTGCTAATTGCTTCGAAGGGATCCTGTAAGTGTAAGGGTTTTTTCTTAATCATCTCAAGAAACTAGTATCTTCATGTTCATACTCAGTATGAAATACAAGATCATAGTGATTGTCATGGCATGTCATGAGCACATGGCCAAGTCGATGTGAGGTCGTTCAGTCATTTTGTAAAGATTTAGATAGACGGAGACAATCTTATGTTAGGTTATTTTAAGTAGATAGGGATACCTTGAAAAGCGACATTTCCGTGACAGAGGTCTCAGATGGTGTTTCTGCACTTTTGTAAGGCATCGCAACTTCGAGTTCGGGCATCAGCCTTGACCTACCGTAATGAATATTGGTCTGCTTCGTCAAAGCTTCTTGGATTAGACGCTGAAGAATGAGCAACGGCTTTGCTTTATTCTTTCAAAAGAAAGATATCCAAGTTGCAATCACATGCGTGCGATAACTAAAATGAAGATGATGAAAGGACTACTACTTACTAGATTGTTGAAGTTCGTATGGTAGAAGCTCCTTCTTAACTTCATTGTCGAAAGGCCTTTCTTCGCTGTGCCCAAGCGTTCTCGAACCGTATTGAACAATTCGATAGATCGAGGCAGAGCAGTGCTGACCCAGTCATAGAAGATTCTTGCTTCAGCTGTCTTATCACTACCGCCCTGAATTAAGTAAACGTGGTGAAGACGCCTGATCCTAATTCACCTTGTAGTTGTAGTTCTACTAGCATGTTAACCTTAATGTTTGTTAAAGCTTCTAGTGATACAACTATCACTCAACTTGATACTATTGGTGTTCGTCCTTTTTTACAACTAAGTAGTCGTACTTACATTTACAATCTTCACTGTAAAAAAGGCAAGATGATGGATATGAAACTCGTGAAAAATACAATGAAGAGAAACCAAAAATAGCAATAAGCCTATTGCTATTGCTATTTTTCGTCAAAGTAGTACTGTTGAAAAAATGAAAATATACCGTGCCTCCCCCGATTGCGACAGAGAGTTCAATGTAGCTGATACAGTAGCTGTCCATCTCATGCAACTTGCCGTCACTAAATCGCTTCTTCCACTCTCCTCCATTTCCATCGCCATCGGCGCATACATTAGAGGTTGTAGAGCAGTGTGCGGTGGAGAAAAGTGTGGGAACAGTGCGCGAAGTAGTGATGTGAGAAGAACAGTGATGTAAGAGGAGTGGTGTGAGAGGAGCAGTGATGTGCGAGGAGCAGTGATGTAAGAGGAGTGATGTAAGAGGAGTGATGTAAGAGGAGCGGTGTGAGCGCACGAGCAGTGTGGGGGGAGAATCCCGAGAAGAGATACTAATACATGCTATTTTTAGGGAGTATGCACTTACCAAACATGTGGGCTCAGGCAGTGTGCGGATATCCATAGTCAAACTAGTATCCCCCCGTCTTCTTGTTCGTACTACCACCTTGTTTTCCCTGATATTCTTCTGCTTGTTAACATGCCATGGGATGCCAAGAAAATTGGACACTGTAAAAAATCTGAATGAAAAAGCCGACCATAACGACGCGTTGTTCACGTGCGAGTTCCTGTCTGACCAATCTGTCACAGACCCCTCTCGCCAATGTGGGCATTAGAAGCACAGGCACGGATGATTTAAATAGTAACTGAAACTTGTTCCCCAGATGTATCATGAGTAGTAGTAGTTGAAGACGACTTAAATACTAGTAGAAGATGTCAATAAATATAAAGGCTGACCTTGAATTTGAAGCATCTACATGATGAACGTGTTTTTTGTACTAACTAAGGGGATGACTTGACTCATAATTTCAGCATTGTTTCTTCAAAAAAAGTCGGACCCAGTTTCGAATGCTCGTTCTCGAAGATGACAGCGAGTAGATTTTTTCCCGCTTTGTCGATCGGTATCACCCAGATTAGCACATCAATGAGGTACATAGATGAAGATTCAACATGCGAGCGCAACATCAACATAATGGAGTAGTTGTTGAGTTTGTTCTAAAAATTTCGAAAAAAGAAATAGAAAATCTCCTGAGCAACACAGTTCATAAGAGAGCGTCTGCCCAGAGTTTAATCATTTCGGACACGGCAGCAATCGGAACCGGTGCTCGTTGGCCCGCAGGCTGGTTCAACAACTTGTCGCTGGCCAGAAGCGTGTCGACCTCAATAAATTAGAGACTCACCCTCGATATCTTTTGAGAAAGCAGATACTTCAACTTCATGATGTCACCCAACATCTATTTCATCTTTCTAGTGTCTCTGACTCTTCAGACTAAGTTGTATGTCTGTATATTAATGTATACGTCGTGTAAGTAAAGCCTTAATCAAACACCGCATCTCCATCGTTTTCTAAGATGCTTCGCACTTCGAAGAGCAATAAGAGGACGCGAATGGTCTCCCCAACCTTCACTGCCTTTCGTTTGAGGTTCGTAGACAACGATAGTTTCACATCCTCTTTTGCGCCATGGGATGTTGGGCCGGCCTTCGGTGCAATAATGTGCTCAATATGCGTGATCATTTCGTGGTCAGAATACGTGAAAATTAGTGCTACGGCGTTCACTATGCTATGGCGTTCCTGGTAGTGGGCAGTATGCTTCTTCTTGGCCCCATTTTCGACTTGAGTGTGCACCTGAATCCTGCAAAATGGGACGCAAGGATAGCCATAGCGAACCAGCTCCACGCAGAATGCTCTATCTACGGTTGTCTTAAGAAAACGTACTCTGGCGCTTTCAGTGTCGCCAACACGTAGTCGAGGAAGGCGTTCT